TTTTAAAAGTACACCTCCTTTTCGCAGTTTTCCTTTCCTGTCGGCCTCACCTCCTCCGCTGAAAGAAGAGAACTACACTTCATGTTCGCCCCAATATATGAATCAACCCCAGTTTATGAGTACAGGCGTGCAGGGAAACGTGGGGAATCAGACCACTGAGGGAAACACCACCCTTGTGAATACAGTGGGGTTGACTATGGGGTCAACCTTCGCCTCGCAAAAGCCACGCCAAACTTTGAGTTTCGCGGTTGAATTATCCCAAGTCCTGAGTCCCCCTGCCGGCCAGAGCAGCCACCAAATTTTTCGTGAGCCTTGAAAAGAATGGCTTGGAAGGTGCTAGAGCTTGCAAAAGAGTGAAGGTTGGAACAACAGTCCCGTGAGCAAAAGGCTATGTCTGAGCCACTCCATGGAACATTTTGCGCCATCTACCTTTGGTGAGTTCGCCTTTGCGTAGGATTTGGATCCTAAAATCAGGGTTTTTCTCCTAGTTTCCCTTTAAAGCCACCACCAAAAAAACGTGTGCCCTGAAAGAAGAGACACCGCCGAGTGTATCTTCCACAGGCTCTTCGCCCCAGCTCCTGCCGGAGGCCGCCGGCTACGCCAAGGAGACGAACAGAAAATCATCGTCCGGGGTTTCCCTGTCAAAAGCGAATGGACCAGACTCACTTCCTGAGTTCATGAACTTTAAACTTTTTGGGATTCTAGTAAATATAAAGTTTGGACTTTTTTTGGGCCATCCACTCAGCAAGTGAGCAGAGCTTCGACCTTTTGTTCCCCAACAGCTGAAAGCTTTGGGGTCTCAGCCCAGGCTCCGGGATGATCCGGGCTGAGATAAGGTTCCACGAGGGTTCCACCAGGGTTCCACCACGGTTCCACCAGGGTTCCACCAGGGTTCCATCAGGCTTCTGCGAGGGCTGTGGGGTGGCGCGAGGAAAACGAGCACCGCATGCTGGGGATATCACCTCCTCGGGAGAGATCCGTTTTAGGGACCCGTCCATTCGGACCCCTTTTCTCTTTCTTTTTTTTTGGGGGGGGGCTGATTTCCTGAAAAATCTTGCCATACCTAGGGTAAATTAACCCGGAGACTAGAGGTTCATACCAGTCCATATATGGGTGTATACATCCAGCCTTGGATTAGCCGAGGTTCCAGAAGGTGATCACCTTTTATTTTTGGACTTCTATTTGGGCAAGTGAGACACGGGGCTTTGTTTGAGTCTCATGCAGGTTGAACCCACACGCGTTCCAAATCGCTTTGGGACGTGCTTGTCATGCTGGACATATGCTATTTCCCAGAAGACTTAAGCAACTGGATGTGTTGAGAGTTTGGGGTGACGTTTTTGCAGATGAATCGAATCCGGACGAACAAAGCGCCAAGTTCTCATACGGATCAAAGTCTGCCTTCTCGGGTCGCCGCAACGCAAAAAAAAACATGCGTTTTCTCCCCTACACTCCTTCAAGAGAAATCAAGGAGAAAAACACACGCCGGCGCCGTCACACTTTTTAGCCCTCACAATGCTTTGGATGGTTGCGAAATCCATTTCGTAGCACTTTGAAACCATGGTTGAAACTACTGTTTGTTCATATTTACAGGGGAATCAAATCATTCCGTTGGGTTTCTCAGGTGGTGCGAAATGGATTTCGTCCATGATTTCGTCCATGCACAGTACCATAGCTTAAAGCGGCGTGAAATTGACCGTGCCACATTTGCCGTGCAAAATGCAACCACTAACCTGACTAAATTGACCTGCGAGCGTGTTTTGGTACACAGTTCTAAGAGGGCAAAACTTTCGTCCTCCTGAAGTAGTCTTGGGCAAGTCTTAGCCTGGAGTGACTTCACAACTGGATGTCCGCCTCCGATCAAACAAGCCAACCCCCAAACATTCCCCCCCCCCCCAACAAAAAAAAACAGAGGACAGAAGGAACTCATCTTCCATCTGCCCCATTGGGAGTGAGTTGGCAAGTGAGTGGACAACCAAATCCCATTGCCATTGGCACTCCCCTTGGATAATGTGCAACCCCTGTGCAACCGAAGCGAGCAGGCAAATGCGGTCACAGTATTTGCCCACCCATTTACATGGCTTACCTTAGTTTGTGTAGGGAGGCAAACTTGTCAACCAGACCGACGGAGACAGGCAGAGGCAGAGGCCAGCAGAGGCCAGACATATGGCATTATGCATGTATATACACACACACACCTAGATGCTCGCATCTATGGGACCTCAGAAGGGTGGTTTTCCTTTTGGTTTCCTTTTAACACCAACCAAAGGAGGGTTCTTGGACAACAGAGAAGACGACAAGCCCTTATTACATTCGTTGCTGAGTCCTTTTGCCTGGTTCGGACACCAGGACAGTTTCGCCGCTCCTTGTTTTTGGCCACTAAATCCAGCCTCTTTCTGTCAGGAGGGCCTCTACTCGCGGGCTGCGGACAAGGCGGCAAGATCTGCACAAGAGATGGTTAGTGACTGACAGATGGGGATGATCTAATGTCGAGGGCGGAGTGGTTACTAACATTCTACTCCTCAATCATGGGCATATTTTGGTTTAGAGTACCAGGCCCTCGTAGTAGATCATGTTCAAAGGGGAGGTTTAAAGGGTGCCGCTGGACAACTGGGCTGCACATCCTTACTGAGGCGATTATGGGAGGGGACTATTAGTCATGTTTCAATCCCTTATGTTACTGTCCCCGGATTTAAATCAGGGGTGTTGCCCGTAAAAGTGAAGGATTCCAACTAGGAGACACCAGTACTCAACAAAAGGTCGATGAATCCTTTGTCAAGCCCGCCCAACCACCCACCGCCCACCCACCCACCAACCCACCCGCCCGCCCACCCACCCACCCACCCGCCCGCTCGCCCGCCCGCCCGCCCGCCCACCCGGGTTCGCTGGTCACACGAAGGCCGATGAGGCTGTGCCAGTGACATTTCTGCCGCTTGACCGACCCGACCGCTGAGTTACGGCCGGACCCGATTTCGGTCACCGACCGCGCGTTTCGCGAAGCCTTGGACTCATATGGACCAGTCATAAGGGTTAATATGATGTATGAATATATGTGTATATATATATATATATATCCATGGTTGTTGTTGGGAAACATTTTACATTTTTGCTTATTGTGGTTTAGTGGGAAATCCCCACTAAAATTTGAATTTTGCTCCCCTTCCAACGTCAACCAAGTATATATATACATATATATATATATGCATTTGGGTAGACTATTTTAAGTAAAGTCTGACACTACGACTTTTCGTGTACCCCAGACATTGGGCCAAGGTTACAAGAGCAGCGGATCTTGTTCTGGCGGGGATGACATTTGGCAAGCACGAAATGACGACCAGGAAATGGGGGGTTTACGGCTTGCTGATCCAAATTCCAAGCTACTCGGAGACAGTGGGTCAGAATCTCAGAAGGGTTCGAGAGTCGTGGATGCTTCTTGCAGTACCAACAAATCTTTGGCTGCCTGTCTCCTTTGAAAGCAACCAGAAACCAATCTTGATCCCTGAGCTGCACCCAAAAATGCCTTTGGCCTTTTATGGCCAAAACCGGTGCCACAACAGGTGCCAAAACAGGTGCCAAAACAGGCCATGAGTTGGCCCCAGCTGTTTTGGGGGGGAGGGTCGGGGGGTCAGCAGAGTCCCTGATGCTCGTGAGGGACTTGTCGCTCGGCTCCTGTCGTTTAGTTCACCCAAGGTGCTCAGTGGTGTACAGGATTGGGGATGGACAAAGAAACAGCACCTCATCTTGCCCACTTTTTTTTTTAAATCCCAATCGCCGCTGAGCACTCCGACCGCTGGTTATTGGCATGTGTACATAGGCGCGTAGGCGTGATGGCAAAAAGAGCGCGCTAACGGATGCCCTAAATATTGCAACGGGAACATGGAGAACCTGGTAATGTTGACCCCATATCAATCAACCCAATAGGGGAGTGTTCCCTTCCAAGAGTGATGATTGCCACCTTTCACCCAGGTTGAAAGCCCCCCCAAAAGAAATAACATAAACTGGGGTTGATTCTTCGCTGAGTCCTGGTTGATTTCACCTTCTGCTCAGAAACCCAACGGAATGATTCGATTCCCCAACGTAAATACCAACAAGCGTTGTGGTTTCAGCAATGATTTCATTTCGTGGTGCGACATGGATTCGTCCATCCACAGTACAATATCTTATTCCTATGGAGGTTGGTGTTCATGTCGGGTTGCTTCGCTTGCAATATTTCGGGGATCCTCTCCCGGAGGGTTGAGGCGTGAGGAACCCTGTGTTCATTGGGGCGAATTCGGCAGTACTTCTTACGGTGGCACCTCCAAAACAGGTTTTGTTTTCCACGTTTCCCTTCAACCATCCAAACAAAAAGTCCAACTATCGGTGGCTCCCCCTCATGTTTTTCCATGTTTCCCTTCAACCATCCAACAAGCGTTGGTTCCCCCAAGCAGACATCGCCACCCGCGTGGCATGGAATTGGAAGCAACCCGTGGCCTGAACCAAAACGACGGCGGTTATCGCTTGGAACGGCCCAAGACTGCGGATGCCTTGAACTTAGGCCATACCTCCAGTTGACATCAGACCTGCAGCGGCGTTTTTTTTTCTTTTCTCCTTTGCTTTGAAGGCTTCCCTTTGGAATCACCCTTTGGAATCACCCCCCCTGGTTGATTTTGATGGGGTGTACCCGTGAAATGTGGGGGATTCGAATCGCTTTTGGAGCACGGCCCGCCCCCTTTTTGAAATCGAAGCGGTTTACTTGTCCATGGTGAACACCTTCCAAAAGCAAACCGAAGGAACTTTACAACTGGGGATGGTGGGAAAGATTGCCCACACCCAAGTCCCCGAAGATAGCGATCCCTTACCTCGGGCCACCCGGGTGCTAAGTCACCCACAAGTTGGAAGCCAGAAGATGGCTACAGGCATAGGCTACCAGGCAACTGGGGGCGTGCGTTCATTGGAGTGAAACGTCTCCGGCCAGAAATCTTCCGGCTCTTGAGGCGCCCCCAAAACTCCCTCCTGCGTGGCAGGTACCCATGGGCGCAGCGCCACGACTGGTCCAAGGAGATGTCTGGGCAGGACCCTTCAGCTCCAGCTTCAGAAGCGGCCGGGAGATTCATTCTCCGGCCTTTTTCTAGGCGTCTAGACGTAGGAAAAGCAAGTTAACGACGAGAACTACCAGGACATTCATGGAGAATGAATCTCCAGGAAAGAGTTTGCTTCCCGTAATTTTTTTCCTCCGGATTTTGGGGCGAGCCTTGGATGCCGAGCCTCAGGAGGTTTGGCCAAGGGGTACCCTCTAGGTGTCCAGTGCCCTGGGCCTCGGGTAAATTGGGATGACGCTGTACATAGTCCATGTTTCCCTTTCCCCCCTGCAATAAATTGGGATATACATATATATATATATATATGGTCACCCCCCATGAACTACCTCTGAACTACCTTGCAAAAAAGTAGTTCATGGGGGGGGGGGGGTGTGAGCATATATATATATATATGTCATATACCCTTTACATGGTTGCTATATCGTGGCGGTATAGCCCATGTTGCCCTTGGGTAGCTTTGGTTTGGGGGTAGAGGGGTTCCACCGGAAGGAGGCGAATGTTGACGGATCTAAGTAGAACCCGTCCTATTTATATGGGTGGGGGCCCCCAGAGGTGATGAATCCCCACATTTAATGGGACACCCCTCGATCAAGAATCAAACGGGGGTTTATTCATCAGGGGCTTTCATTATTGGGATTGTCTCAGTTATCTCCGTAGTCCCAACCTACTTAATGAGGAGTTTGAACATCCAAGTAGGGTAGAATCCGCAAGAACGCAAAGGATATCAGCCACTTGGGGGTCGTCCAAGGTCTTGAACAAGGCGACTGGTTACGACATGGTTGTAGAAAAGAGTGCCACTTTCCAAATTTAAGTCGAACGTATACGTGGTTTTTCAAAGGATGGGTGAGAAGAGGGGGGATGCACTCTTCTGGTTGTAGCAAACTGAGTTTCACCTGGGTGTTCAACCAAAGTCAGGTAAGTAGGAAAAAACAATGGATACAAGGGGACGATCACCCAAGGTACCCCAGTCATTAACATGGTTGTAGCCTACAAACTAAGTTGGTTGAGCATCCAAGCAGGATCCGCCACTTTATGTGATGCCGTGGATGGACAGAATCCCTTTGCCCCAGTTGGTTTATCTTTCATCTATCCCAGCTGATCCGAAGTGGACTTTGTCCATCCACAGTACCAAGGGAATCCTTTTAAAGTCATACTGTCATCATGGGGTGGGCATCAGCCACTTTGCTAAGGTGGATGCCCCTGGCAAGGGGACATTGACGCCTTTCATGTTCTGCAATTGTCCTGTGGCTTTGTGGTTGAGCATGGTTGGTTTACGTCACAATACTCTGGATGCACCACATCCACTTCGCCCCAGCTGGCAGGTGGTTTATCAACCGGTATTTATCGGGCCTCATCAATCCCATCTGCAGGATCTCGTCCATCCACAAGCCATTGTTGAAATTGCAGGGAATACAGAAACATCCACTGTGCTCTGGCGGGTATCGTTTTACGGGGGAGTTCCGCGGGATTGTTGCGAGCTCCATTTCGTCTTGATTCGGTTCCTCAACGCAAACAACACATGTTTATTTTTGATTTTGTCATGGCTTTTCAATCCGTTTCGCGCCTTTCAGAAACCCAAGGAATGATTCGACCCCTCAATTCGTTCAACCGCGGCTTGGGTGGTGCGACTTCTGGTGACTCGCCATCCACAGAAAAGCTCCAAGATCCCCACCCGGGAAACTCCTCCCAGAGCCACAGGGGACTGCCCCCAGAGCCACCCCGGAAACTCCTCCAGAAAAACGGCTTGGCTATAGCAAGCTTCCATTTGGTTAAGAATATTGTTTTAATTTTCCTGTTGGTTTTAAAGGGAATCTATGACTACTGGACATGTTTTTACTTTTTCCAGGGCACTTCAGCAAATGGAGGCCAGGGGGATGGCCAGGAGAGTTTGGTCTTCAACTCCTCGAGCCCGAAGTTCAGGTCAGGCTGACGTGAGCTTTGGGTGGGTTGGGGTGGGTTGGGGTGGGTGGGTTGGGGTGGGTGGGTTGGGGTGGGTTGGGGTGGGTTGGGGCGGGTGGGTTGGGGTGGGTGGGTTGGGGTGGGTTGGGGTGGGTTGGGGCGGGTGGGTTGGGGTGGGTGGGTTGGGGTGGGTGGGTTGGGGTGGGTGGGTTGGGGTGGGTTGAGTGTTTTCCAGGTTGGGGACCCAAGGGACCCAGACAGTGGGGGTGGCTCATATTGCCATGGGTCACAACCCAAATCGTACTGCCAGTGAACATCCGATTCAATCCCCACTACAATACTTCCCCAGAATGAGCTCCCCTTTTTGCTTTTTTGCCTTTTTGGGGTCCCTTTTGTTTTCCACTAACCAGGCAACAAATATATTTTTTTGCTGGGGTCCTAGTTCCAGGCAAGAATAGACTAAAATGGGTGGTGAATTCACCTACCCCAAAATGGGATCCCATTGGTTTTGAAGCATGGCCATATGTCCCTGTGATTCAAGCATTGCCTTTGGTTGCCATGTTCAAATTGTGCGTGGATGGACACACAAGGCTTGTTGATCCCTGGCAACAAAAACCTCTGAAGCCCAAATTTGGGCTTCAGAAAAGAAAAGGTCTGATTCCGCCAACCAGCGCAAACCATTTCGCACCACCTTTCAGACACCCAGCGCAATGATATGATGCCCCAACGTAAATACCACCCAACCTTGTGGTTTCTTTACCCTTGTTTCATTCACCGTGGTGAGATTTCTGGATTTCGCGACTCCATCCACAGTATATACTGTGGATGGACGAAATCCTGCACCACTTTGAAACCACACTTTCCTGGTATGTGGAGGGAAATCATCATTCCAAGGTTTCTCAGGTGGTGCGAAATGGATTTCGCAACCATCCACAGTATCTCCAAGATCCCCTCCCCCCCCCCCCCGAGACAGCTTGCCCCTCTCTCAGGCCTGGGTGGATCTACGTCGCCATCACCTCCCCAGACCTGGCGGCGTATTCCTTGCGCGCCGGGGAACCCAGAATTGCTTCAAGGATCATCTAGGTCCCCCAGCTAGGTGCCCTTTCTCACCCGTTCTTTTTTTGGGGGAGGGTTCGGGACCCTACTGACTACAGAGAAAAGTTGGTACCCTTATTCTAATCTCTCTACTGGAGGACCCAGTCATAGGTGTCAGGAGGGTTTTGGACAAACAACGGAGGAGGTTGGCCCCATTTTCTGGGGGAAATGGCTCGCGGGCTGGGGTCTGTGTCACATTTTCTTTCGGAAAGGCTTCGCCTTGACTGTTTGTTTCGGGGGAAGAGTTCGCCTCATTTGTTGGGGGAAATGGCTTGCGGCAACCTTTAAAATTGGCTGGTCATGACCCTTTATTTTGGGTAGTGACCAACCAGTTTTTAGGGGTCAGAAGGAGACGCCAGGCTCTTTCTTTTTGGTTCCCCTCAACTGGCCTCATCATTTGGCCGTGATCAAAGTCACCCACTAAGTGGCGGGTGAAGGGAAACAAGCCCATTTCCTGACTTTGATAACTCCCAGAAGCAGTCAAAATCATGGCCCCAGTTCAAAACAACCCCGAACGGGCGGTATCCGAGCAAAAAAGACCACGACCCCCATTTGGGTTCCCCGGCCTTCAGACTTCACTGACCCTCTGCCCCAGCCGAAGAGCCATTCCTCAGAACCAAATCTATGACGATGGGGTGACGAAACATGAAACGGAACTCGGATCCAATGAGCGTCACGCTCATTGGGTGTGTTGACCAGTTGACCGGTTGGTCTAGAGCGACACCTGCGATTTGGTGAAGCTTCATAGGCCACACCCGGGGACCTGTTTTGGAGCCTGCGTGCAAGCTATGATCTAGTTGTCATGTTGAAAGGAGTTCAAAAAACACGCGACATGTTCAGATGCAAAGCTTGCGACGGTCAAGCGTGCCACCGTTTCAGTTTCTGTGCGCGAGGACGGTTTGTGCAGGGACCCATCACCTCCCCGAGCCGTCAAAACTTATTTGGTCGCAAGTTTGCCAACTGATTTCCCCTTATGTGTCCAGTCAATATGGCTGGTTATAGGCCAGGGTGAAGACTGGTAATTATTGCAGTTTGATTGCTAAAATGTTCCGTCACTGCTCTTGAGCATGTTGCTTGCCGACATGTTTTATCATCTATCCTCCGCAGCCGAAGCATTGTGCCGGCAATGTTCTCAAGTTCCGATGCCCCACTGCCGGCATTTCCACAAGCAGGAACATGGCGACTCTCTTTGGATTTGACAATGTTTGCAATGTTTGATTGATGGCTGTGGCTGGCAGATCTTTCCGATCGCGAGATAATGTATACTCCACGCTTACAATGTTTGTTCAATTCACTGACTTCCAGCGCCCAACAATACATAACTCAGAGCGGTGTTGCTTCTGTCATCGCCTGGGACAATGCAGAAGATTTTATTCGCGGAATTCCTGGGGATTCTGCCGCTGAGAAAGAACCGCGCAATTTTGGTTAGCCGCTCAAGGTGCCTGTGCCGTTGCAGCCCGACGAACAGTCCTGGAGTTCACGGAAGCAACTGCTAGTCGTTCAGTCTTCATGTTGCTTTATGGCTCCGCTCTTTGAAGGAGCGGGGGCCCACTGCTCCGTGTGGACCCCCCAATATTGCCCAATGCCATTGTGGCTGTGTGTGTGTGTGTTTCTTGCTTTGGGTCATGCCATTGCGGCGACCGTTTTTGTGCATGCGGCATGATGGCTTCGTCATTGCAGCTGCCTTCTCTGCGCACTTACCCACGTATTTACTTTCAGTTTTCGCCTAGGTTGAATTGTTTTTGAAGCCTTGCTTGCTGGCCTAGAACATGTTGCGGGAGGTGTTCCGCCCCCTACACCACGCATGTTGCGCTCAAAACTGCCAATTTAGCTTTAACTTTAGCCGAGTGCCATGTTGAGGAAAGATGATCTGAAGTTGCTCCTGTCAAGAAATGAAGAAATGGAGCGGCGCACGCAGATGTGACGGCAGGGCTGGCTGCCACGCCGCAGACAACCTTGGCCAGTTGGCCCGGCTGAAGCAAGCTTGGAAAGAATGTGAGGGTATCAACCAAACCAAACTTAAACGCATAAACCAAGGGATTGCCGAAGACAGCTTAGATGAACCAAGTGCGACATTTTCCAGAATTTGTTACCAGTGGACGTTACTTGGTAACAGTCAGCAACATCGTGTTTCGGAAAAACCTGTAGCCAGGCTGAGGATGACACCGTGTCATTGGAAGATGCCGAAAAGTTGCGAACTTATTTCTCATGCCTTCGGATTCTCGGCTTAGGATGGGCTGTTGCCGGATGTTGTGCAATCTTCCGCCCGAAGGGAAACAAGAGAGATTGGCACTGGCAGCACGTTTGTCGCACACATTGGCAATGTGGCAAGCAAGGCGTGGGCGCTGCCTTGGACAAAGCGCCCGAAGATGTCGTCCTCAGCTACAGTTTGGACACCGAGGAGACAGTTCGCGTCACTGCCATCGAGCGCTGCCGCTCAGGTTCCGTGCCGCGGGGGCATGCGCTGTCCCTCTGAATGTGAAGTTCAAGGTTGCCTTCTGCGAAGACAATCAGGCGACCATTCATATCATCCAGATTGGAAATTCCGCGCAAATGATGCGCACAGATACAACTCAAAGAACTTCTCTGCCAAAAAAGAGCAGACCTCCAAAGGTTTCTTCAGCCTCATGCAATGTTACCAAGTTGACAGAGCCCTTCACGAGCAAAATGAAATGGGAGCATGCGCGCAATCTTATTGGAGTTCAACGGGCGCAGTTGGACTAGAAAACAAAAACACAACCTGCTCCCAAAAGCAAAGTGCAAGCTGCTGCCGTTTCTGCGAAAGAAACGTACAACCGGCTCCTACGTGAGTTTTGCTGCTCAGATGATTCCAAGCTCGGGGATGAGTCCAGAGAATCCGCACGTGGTTGCAAAATTGTGAGGGTGACGGAACGTGAGAACGCGCTGGCCTCACTCCATGCATGGAAAGAATCTCTCGCATGCTTGCCATGCATATAGGCCTGCTGCAAAGCAGAATGCTTCGATCGTTCAACCAAAGCACTCAAAGTTGAGCTTTGCAAAATATTGAACGATGCCCGGACTTGTCCCCAAAGGCGCTGTCCCAAAGGCAAGGCGTATTGCTGCTGCAAACAGGTAGAGTGTGTGTGTGTGCGAAACGAGCATGACGCCAGCGTGCGTGGCGCAGTCAGGCCCCTTCCAAAAGCCTGACTCCTTGCGTCGGCCTTGCCTAGTGACCCCTCGAGCTTGGCCACCGACCCTGATGGATGTGCTTTGAACTTTCAGGTGCGCGTTGCCTTTCGCCACACGCCGAGGCAATTCTTGTGTCAGCGCTTGTATTTTTGCTCGGACAGCTGTGACGATTCTTCCCATCCGCAGTACATTTGCGCACAGTTGCAGAGTTGCTGGCATTCGAACTCTTGTCGGCGGTACTGCAACTCAGCCGGTATCCAGCACTCATAGTTGCCTCAGCCCGACGGTGGCTGGCAACCCCAGCGATTAAAATAATGACGACTTCAAAATTACAGAGCCAGCTCTTGCAAAGGCTTGTGGCAGTTTATATTTCGACAAGCTCATCTCGACCACCTCGGTTGGCTGTTTAACCCTGAAAAAGGCACCTTTCCAGCGCCCAAACACCCGGTCGTCTTGAATCTTACCTCCCGAACGGTGTACACTTGCAACCGTTGCCTGACAAGGGAAACCAAGTGAAACAAGCGCTTCACTGTGCAACTGAAAGTCGGAAGCTCAGTCCGACAGATGCTCGGACCTTGAGTGGCAAGCTTGCCCACTTCGCATTGTTTTTCTTGGGCCGCATTGGTAGAGGCTAAACCCATTTCATAGTTGAGCAAGGCCTTGGTTCCAGCGCAGCAGTCACGCAGCATTGTCGGACCTTAAGCCACACAGGCAGGTGTCATTGATTCCAAGTCAGATGCGCAGACTCACCGTTTACACCGATGCCTCTTGTGAAGAAAAACCACCGCTCGCCCAAGCAATTGTGCAGGTGTCGTGGCTGGTTCTTGATTCTGCCCATAGTGTAGGTTGTGGAGGGTATACCGTGGCCCCAGAGGGCTCAATCCTTTGTACGGGTTCTGGGGCGGATGGTCTTTGGTGTCGTGAGTGGTGATTCTCCAATCGCCTTGAGTTCGAGGGGGGGCTGCGCCCCTCCAAAACTATTCTACATGTCAGGGTTCAGCTATGAAGTTACAAGCGCATGAGCCACCGGTGCGCGAAACTCACTCCTCGCACCTTTGTCCAATGAAAAACAAGCAGAAGCCGTCTTTGCGGTAATTTCAAGTTCGGACACTGCGTTCGTGAACCCTGGCCTTTTTATGAGCGTTGGGCCTATGGCATCAACCGTCTTTCAATTTAAACGTGCAAGTTTCGGGGCTTCCGGTCAGCCTCTACAACGCATTGCTTTCAGCAGTCCTTCAAGCGCAACGCAAAAAACGCGAATCGTCTTTTCGTTTGCACTTTCAGCAAGTCGCACAGCTTTTTCCCACACCCTCAGTGTCAGCTGCACTCTTTAACCTCTTTCCGACCTGTGAGGCAGAATCTAAACATCTCATTTTCAGTGTAACCCCACCCAGATGTTCGTCAACTCTTGGTTGCGCAGCTACGGTTGCCTTGGCCCGATTCGGTGAGTCGTCGTCGGCTGCCACAAGGTCACTTGGGGCTCCGGGCCGGTACAGCTCAAGGCGCGGAGATATTTTCGAGGGTGGTGGTAGCAGTAGTAGTAGAAGAAGCAGAAGTAGAAGTAGAAGTAGAAGTAGAAGTAGGAGTGGTAGGTGTTTTTTGTGACTGACTGTCCTTTCCCGACGGCTTGAACGGCTGCCAGAGGCCTGTTTCACCGAATCCAGAACCCACGTTTGATGCAAATGGCCCGTTTTGACCGGGCTTGGCATGGATGTCGGCAGCTATCCATGGTCCATGACTACTCGTGCTGTACTGACGTGTGCTGTGGGCTAGCTCTTTTTAGGATTGAAGGGAAAACTAAGGGAACACCATCCAATTGGCGGGCCCGCAACTTGTTCGCAATGTGAGACACATACCAGGATTCGAGGGCGCGCGCGACATGTTATTCACTGGGGGTGGTTGGGAAGGCAAGAAATCGATCTGATTTTGGGTTCCCTGACAGCTCCGAACCGCGGAGCTTTGGGCCACTGAGAAGCTGAGAACTGACGATTCGCCAACGCGAGTCGACCTGAAATGCCCCTTGGTTTTCCTACTTTGCCCACCTGGACTCTCAGACTGCCCAGAACACAGGGAATTCAGCCCATAATTTTGGGGCAATACTCCTTTGTAAGTTGGAATTTTGAGGGTCCAGCGACCCATTTTGAGTCATGGCCCAGGTTCAACTCTTTTGTTTGGGTCCCAGGGCAGCAGAGGAACCAGAAAAGGAAACCACACAAGGGCCCGAGCCCCTTGAGACACACCCATGGCCTGTCTGTTGGTTGAGGCCCGGTACTGGTTTGTGGTTTTAAAGGAAAACCGAGAGGAAGACCAGCCACATTTTGGGGGACGCCCCCGACAAAAGACACTGTGTCCTTGAGGGTCTGGTTTTTTAAAGGACAAGGCAGCCCACATTTTCAGGGTCTATTGTGACACTTGTTGACGGAACAAACAGAAACCTTGGAATGATTCGATTCCCCAATGTAAATACCAACAAACCTTATGGTTTCTTTACCCTGGTTTCATAAACCGTGGTGCGCGACTCCGAGACTCGCGAATTTCGCAACCAGCCACGGAATGTCAAACCGTATCAAGCCCTCCAAAAGGATATCATCCCGTTGCCCGAGCATCTCCAACCGAAGTAGCCTACTGGAACCTGCCGTCAACGCTCAGTTGTCCCAGCCCAACCATCCACAGTATGGCTGTGTCCCCTTTTGAGGGTACCCTGTGCCGGTGGCTTCAAAGGGAAACAAAAAAAAACAACATTTCTTGGGGTCCCCTAGTCTTGCTGGTGGAAACCACGAGTTGGATGCCTTTCTCGGGGTCATTCCATTTCTCATTCCCTGCTGAGCAGCAAGTAGTTTAAGGCACACACACACACACCCACCCACCCACCCACCCAATCAATTGCTGAAAGTATATGCCCACATAGCAACCCCTACTATGAACCCCTACTTTTGGTTGGTTAACAAAACCCGATAGTTAGGGCTTTATGGTTGAAGTCAGCCATCAGAGGTTTTCCCTTTTTTGTATCACCTGTGACGGCTTATTGGTGGCTTGTGTTCTGATTTCCCTTCAAAAAAGAAAAAAAGGCAAAAACAAATGGGGACCCCCCGAAAAAACAAGACACCCATCCGTGAGGTGTCTCCTTCCTCTTTTTTTTTGCAGGACGGGTTCCCGGAGAAGGGCCACGTGCCGGAAAGCGCCGTGCGCTGGTTCTCCTTGCCCGCCGCGGAGGTCCGTCTCCGAGTCATCCGCGCATAAGAAGCCGTGGAGTTGAAACTGGGGTTGACTCGAACGGTTTCCCTTTGGGGGAGATTCGACCAGAAGGGCTTTGCTCCTGTCCCCATGAAACCAGAAGGGCTTTCCAGTTGAAACAGGAGTCTCCTAAGCCAAGTGTTGGGGCTGTCCCTGGTTTTGGGGTTCATTTGAGGGGTTCGCCACTTTTGGAGGGAACACCTTCATATAAATTGGTGGGGCTCAAAATTGGACAACTGGGGCAAGCCGCAGGTTTTGGTTTTTGGTTCCATTTGCCATTTTGATACATTTTTTGGACCCACAGCCAGAAGGTTGTTTGGTATTTGCAGGGCAACGTTTGGGGTGGTTCATAGACTTCCCGGACCGACAGCTTGGTCGAACAAAGTTAGCGCTGGCTTCAGTTGGGTTCTAGTACACCTAACTTGGAAGCTGCCAGAACACCTCTAATGGAACCATGTTGGTCTAGGGAGGGTATTACTAGTGCCCCCTAAAACGGTCCTTGAAATTGCATCGGCTTCCTGTTTGCAAGCTTTTCGGATGACTTTGCAACCAAGAGGAGCTAGGTGTTCGCCGATCTTTGCTCAAGGAACTTCATGGCCCGTGTGATCTGAACAAGATGAATCAAGCATGAATTTCGGTTTTCCTCTTCGCTTCCCTAAAGCCACAGAAAACTCGCTTGCAACCAGCGCGAATTGACCTTTTGGTTTTCCCCCGTTTTTTGTCCAACATGAGCCATCGCCCAAAAGGTTCGCCTTATATTTCTAGCTCCTTGAGGGGCAACTGAGTAGGTCACAACCAGGATTATAAGCCGTTACAGTTGCATTGGTCACAACCACACCTTTAATGAATTGGTCCCCTTGACTGAGCCAACGGGTGCGCCCTTCGCCTTCCCAAAAATCGAGGGACGCCCAGCCAGGAGCAGCCCTTGGCAGTGCGGGTGGAAGCAGTGGCTGGGGACTAGAGGGCCATCGGGGCCACGTTTCTGGGCGGTACCGCTGGAGCGAATCGTGCGGTTGCAGAAAGGTGCTTCGTGGTTTTTGGTTGGCGCAGTGGTTGGGTTTCCATTGTGGCTCAAAAGAAAACGATCGGAGGGGTTAATTCCGCAGGTGTTGGTCTCCATGTTTCCACTTCCCGATCGGGCAACCCATCTTTGCATTCCGGTTTGATTTCGCCACAGCCATTTCACCCACAAGTGGTTGACTTGGTCAACCAAGTCATCCGTTTCCAAAGGGTTTTAGTTCTTTTTAGTTGGTTTGGTGGTTGGGTTTCCGTTTTTGTCCCACAAGTGTTCTCAACTTTTGGGGGATAGTCCAGGGATCTGCGGAGGTTCCCCAAACTTCGGAGGTTCTCCTTCAGCCCAGGAGACAACAAGTTCTTGATGGTCATTTTTCTTTTTCTGGGGTGCGGGGCGGCTTCCCGACCAGACTGAACTTAAAACTGTGCTTTTTGCCTTGAAGGGCTTTCCCTCATTTCCGCTTTCAACCGACAAAAGCAACTTAAGCTTTTGCAGCAGAAGTCTGGTTGAAACCAGGACGCTTGGGATCCAAGCGAATTTCAGGTCACCGGGACTGGTGCTTGGGATTGGTCGGATTTTTGAACTGGTTTTGTTTGTCTGGATGGGTTTTTGTTGCCGCTTCTCCAAGCCAGCCGGCTCCAAAGTCGACCAACTTGTTGGGCGCCAAACGCTAAGGATTCTGCCGGCAAAAGGGGGCGTCCCACGACTCGACTTTGGGTCTCCGGTGGAAATTGTTTTATAGACCAAAGGTGACAATATGCAGAGCGACAGATTTGTTGCAGAGTTGGGCCAATCAGTTGTCTTTTCCTTGGTACTCCAAATACGCGGCTTGTTTCCAAGGTAGATGCCTCTTTTTGCAGTGGATTGACGTACTAGTACCACAAAATGTCGGCATCTGGGCATGTACAGGCGGAGTCAGATCATTCCGTTGGGTGTCTTAGGTGGTGCGAGTCAACGTCATCGTGAGTAAGCACTTTGTGGACGAAATCCACCACTTGTGATGAATGAAACCCCACAGATAAGGACAAAACCACCTAGCAAATGGTGCAGGATGGTTTTCATCCACAGTAGTAGCTTGTTCTTTGCTAAGAGTTGGGAAAGCAGATAAAGGTTACCACCATGTTTAGCCAGGGTTCATGCGTTGCTACCATTCACCCTCAACTTTGGCTTGAGGACATTGAGCAGCTGGGAATCTGAAGACTTTGGACATGCGACTTCCAGACGTCGGCTCGAGTCCCAGGCTGGCGTGGTCGGAATTTGCGTGCAGGAGTACAGGCGCGGCGGTTGTTGTTGTTTTTTTTTGTGCGAGCGCGGGCTTTCTCTTCTTGGGGACCAAAGGCATACGTGTTTAACAAGTCTGGGGTCATGATATTGACAGTTTTATGAGCTTATCAAAGTCAGAACGGGGGGGGGTTCCCTTTAACCTAGCACTGAACGGGGGTGACTTTGATGTGGTGAAATATTGCGGCAATGTGCGTGCTGTTTTCCTTCATTTCCCCTTCAATCTTCAACCAACAAGTCAACTTCTGCCGTGTGGATGGTAGGTCCGTGGGTTGGCTTTTCTGGTTGCTAGGCCCCGTGCAGGCGCACCGCAGTGGTCCAAGTGGGGATCCAGCCGTGTGCGTTTTGATTGGGAGAGTGGTCCAAGTGGAGCTGGGGACTGGGAAGCCGTGGAGTTCAAACTCGTGACGCGTGCTGAATAGAAAAGGTCACCTCACAGTGCCCTGACTGCTCGCAGAAGGTTATGGCTCAAAGCCCCGAGATCCCCCCCACCCAGATTCCCCTTGAACAATGGACCAAACAGAAGGGTTATACCTCCCCTTCCACTCACAGAAGGCCCCTGTCAGACGGCCCCTTTCAGAGGACAATGGTCAAGGGCTTCCCCTTAGGTTCTATGTGAACGGGAGGTAGCTTAGCCCCAAAAAAGGGGCCCTCCCTCTGGGTGTTGCCCCACACCCATTCCTGACATGCTTCTGGGTCGACCATTGTGGGACAGAAGGGTTACCCCAACAAAAGGGGCACTCTGGGTCTTGAGCCAGGTGGCGCCCCTTTTGGGTTTTGCTCATCGGGCTCGCCAGGCCGTCCACCAGGCTGAAGCGGCTTTTCCGATGGCTCGGCAAAGGCGCGGGAAGTGCGCAGCTTGTGGCGGGGGCGGGGGGTGTCCTGTGGTGTCCTGTGAGGCGAGTAAAGTGATAAGGCTGTGGGTCAAAATCCACATCATAACCCCCAGTGAACATACAATTCAATCCCCACTAAAATAGACTACCCCAAAATGGTACCAATGGTTTTGACCCACAGCCATAAAGCAGTGTACTAAACACATACATGACCCACTGTCAATAGTTTGCAAACTTCACTGGAATGACATAGCTGGCAATTGGCCTTCATGCAAGAATGCCTTCCTCCACATATTACGGCTCAAGGCCATTTCGTCGCATGCTTTAAGGAGCAGTCAGATAGAGAAAAGGTATCCTTGCTGAGTGTGCTGATAGACAGCCACTGGGAATATTGAGATGGGATCTCCAGGGGACATGTCCAAGGTTCCTCAACCTCCATTTGAGAATTTCCTTTATACTTTGGACATAGATCCAAGGGACCAAAGTGTACCGTGTGCTTAGGGGTTGCCTCTGGCATCGGGCCACAAGAGGGCAAGGACTGGCTGGCCCAGCTGAATGGGTGGCTTGCCGTTTTGAGACACCCCCAATGCTAAAAGCCAATTTTGGAGGTTCCCCTTCCCAACTATTCTGGAAGCTGACGATCGGGGCTCGAAAGATGAATGTTGTTCAGGCGCCAAGAGGCCCAGTTCCATGGTTGAATAGGAGCCCAACAAAACCATCATAGAACTTGTGAGGGAATCCCCCCTTTTTGGGATCCGTTGAATTGTGGAAAGAATGGGAGAGCAGAAAGCTGAAACCAGTGTACTGAATTTTAGTAGCAAGTAGTAGCAGCCCTTGCAAGGGTTCGGAGGGTTAACTGGGGTAAGCCACTTCGAAGTGGTCAACCAAGGGTCAAAAACCCGTACCCCCAGTGAACATCCGATTCAATCCCCACTAAAACAGGTTCCAAAATGGGTGCATTGGTTTTGACCCGCAGCCATGTAACCAAGGGAGCTACCCTCAAACAGATGCACAAATGGCCGGTTGCCTATGGACTGCTGGACTCCGGTGGCGGTTGATCAACGAAAAGGTCCGCATGGGAAAGCCAGTCGTGAAGCCCGGCAGAAAGGCTGGCCTCTTCCGTGAATGGGAAAGCTACCCGTGGTCGTGATGATGATAGATGTTGGAAGGTCGACACCAAGTTAGCCCAGACCAACTTTGTAAATCAGGCCAAGCAAGGGGTAGCAGCGGGGTGTGATTCAGGGGGGGGGGTGGCCTGGGGACTGGAACGTATATGTGTACATGCATACGTACATATATATATATATATATATGCATATTTATATGTATATATGTATCTATGTACATATGTATGTGTGCATATTTGTATATGTGTATACATGTAGATATGTGGATATGTATTTATGTATGTGTGTATAGGCGTTGTATATATGTCTATGTTTGTGCCCCCCAAGGTTCCTTGGTCCACTTGGTAGTGGTTGGCGTGCGTGCCAGGCTGGCGACACGCAGAAAGCGGCTGGCAACAGGAACTAGGCGGCGTGATGGGGGCGACTTTTTTGGCTGCGAGGGCGCGGCCGACGTGGTGTGTCTTTTCTCGAGCTCACTTGCCCGGTGGCGCCCTTTTTGCCTATGGGAAGGGCTCCCCTGTAAACTCAACCAACCAAAAAGGATGCCCTTCTTTTCCCATAGCCTCTTGGTGGCTCCCAGCCATCTGGTTCCTTAGCTTCTTAACCTTTTAGTGCTTAGTGGTAGTTTCAATTTAGCCTACTAACAGTTAAACGTTTAGCGGGGGATCTGAGGGCAGCCCAGTTTTTTTTGTGGTTTCAAACGGAAACTAAAAGCGGGGGTGGGGTGGGGTGGGGGTGGGGGTGCCTTTAAAAAAACCAGAAGATACTTCGCTCCCTGGTTTGAGACATCGTTTTTGTGGCCAGTTGCCTTGGTGATGGCTGAAGGGGTGATGTAGAGCAGTCTGATATCTGACCTAGGATGCTGCCCAGAGCTCCCGACTGCCCGACTGCTCCTCTCGGCCTTCCATCAGAAGCTCAAAGTGAGGGTTCTGAAGGGTCCAGCATTTGGATGAGTGCTTTGTGGGCTTCCTATCGGCGATCTACCACTTTTTGGAGGCCACCAAAATGTGGGTCGGTACTTGGATGCTTTGCTATTATACTGCCACATTACTCTAAAGATCCTTTGGTTCCAAGGGTTACACAGTGAAGCACCAGTGGGGATCACAGTCAACCACCGGAAATGCGTCTGTTCTTTTATTTTCCTTAGGTCCGGACTGCAATGGAGGGTCCTTTCTGAAGAGGGCCTAAGCAATTGACAAATCAGACAGCGCTTGATGTTGACTTCGAATTGATACACCGCTGCTTATTATCGTGAGGGTGTTTCCCCTCCCAAAGCGTTCAACCCCAAAACCAGAGACGCCCCCCGTATTAATCAACCAGGGGTTCTACCTAAATCCGGGGTTCCCGTTACGATTTCGCGCGCCGTACTGCGGATGGACAACATCCTGCATCTAAGAAACCCCCGGATGATTTGCTTCCCCTGTAAATACTAACAAACTTTATGATTTCTTTCCCATGGTTTCATGCGGATTTCGCAGCCATCCACAGTCTTAATCAACCAGCGCTTCTATTTCTCACTTGCCGAGTTTCTGGATTTTCAACTTTTTGGGTCTGGATTTCTTTTTTGGGCCATCCACTCGATCAGAAGTGAGGCAAGTAGGTTACCACCATGGATATAACCTCCTCACTAAGTTGGTTGAATATCCAGTCCCCACAAACCGGGGGTCAACTGGGGCCAACAGGGGTCAACTTGCTGAAATCACTTCGGAAGTGAGATTACCAACAAAACTGCTGGTTTCTTTCCCATCGTGGTGCAAGACTCGTAGAGTTCGATTTCAGCCATCCGCGGTGCCTTTTCAACCGGGTACCGGTTGGTGTCCCCTGAACACGGAGCCCTGTGGGCGATTCCGCGTCGAGTCCGAGGAATCGAGCTCCGGAGGCTCCAATCCCAGAAATACGGGGGTGGGGTCAACTCGCATCCGGGGTTAAACCTGAAAAACGGCGCCCACGGGCGCGGAGTCGACCTCGAAATGGGTATGGCTCAAACTTTTTCAGAGCTGGGGCAAGCGGCGGGTTTTAGTCTTTGGTTCCATTTACATTTAGGTGCCATTTTGGGATTCCACATTTTTGAGCCACGACCATATGGTTCTAGGAGTACCCTCCCCATTCTTTCCAAAGATCCTTCTTGGTACAGCCAAATCGAACATTTTGGTACTTTTTTGAGCCACAGCCAGAAGGTTGGTTGGTATTTGCAGGGCAATGTTTGGGGTGGTTCATACTCCAAGGGCAATTGGGTGTGTCGTTTCTCGGGGTTTCGACTCCCCAAAAGGTGCCATTTTGGGATTCCACTTTTTTGAGCCACAGCCAAATCGAAAAATCGAAAATCGGAGGCTGCGGCTTCTGGGCGGTGGCCAACGCCAGCGCGGATCGCCTGGCTGCGGTGGACCTGCCCTCGAAGGGCAAGGACTCGGCCACGGCGCTTCTTGGCTCGGCGCTGAAGACGCCAAGTGGGGTTCTTCTCGGTTTTTCGTGGGGCGAAAAACCGGATAATCCCCACAAACAAGGGCGGGCTGTCACTTTGTTGTTTGTTTTTTGTTTGGAGGGTTCTGTTTTTGTTGTGTCAACAGACCCCAAGGGGGGGGGGGTGCCATTTTTGGAGGTGCTGTTTTCGTTTTGGTGGTTGTAACTTGAAGCCAACAGGAAAGCCATGTTTTGTGTGTGGAACAGGGGAATCCCAGAAGAGCATTTTCTCTTTTTAAGAGCACCTCCAAAAGTGGCTTTCTCGTTTGAATGGACAGGGGAAATCTGAAATCCATGCTGTGTGGGGGTGTCATTGGAGGGTACTCTTTTTGGTTGCTTTTTGGAGGTTCCCCTGAAAACAGGACGGTCCCAAATGGGTGGGTGTTTTTTTTTTTTATGTTTACGGAAAATCACCCTCCAAACAAGGGTAGCCTCAGCACCTATTGGTAGTTGAATGCTCGGGCCCTTAGGAGGTGGTTAGCAACCAACAGGGTTTGCCCTTTTGGGACTTACAACAAGTTGTTGTTTTTGTTTGACTGCTTGCTAACCGGTTGCTTGAGGAGTGTCCAAACGCCATTCTCCAGCTCATTTGTGTTTACCCCTTTTGCAGGTTCCATATCCTACACTTGGATGACCGCCTCACTTAGTGGTTCATCCCCCCCAATAACAAGTCACTGCGCTGACATTTACCATACATGCTGTGCACAAATTCCGCTTCGCGCCAACGTTTATCCCAATATTCATCGGCCTGCCATCCCGAACTCGTGGTGCGCAGTGGATTTTTGGTCCATCCACAGTATTCTCGCCTGGGAATTCGTTGTCACAGGTTTTCTTCGGTGCATTTTGTTTGGATGTTAGAACTTTAACTTTTTGCCAACTAATGGGTTTTCCATTAAACCTCAAGTTAAACTTTTAGCAGGGGAGCAGCAAGCGACCAAGTTTTCTGTTTGGAGTGACCTAGCCACTCGCTTGGGTTATGACGTACTAGTATCAAGGTTAAGCCTCAGGGGGACTTCTCAGCCAGCGGGCTTAAGCAATTGACAAATCAGACAGTGCTTGATGTTGACCCTGGATTGATGAACCCCTGGTCTTCCCCTCCAAAGCGTTCAACCCCAAAGCCAGAGACGCCCCCCGTATTAATCAACCATTGGTTCTACTTAAATCCGGGGTTCTCGTTTCGATTTCGTGCGCCGTACTTCGGATGGACAACATCCTGCACCTAAGAAACCCCCGGATGATTTGCTCCCCCTGTAAATACCAGCAATCTTTATGGTTTCTTTCCCATGGTTTCATTCCGTGGAGCGAGAAGCGGATTTCGCAGCTATCCACAGTATTAATCAACCAGGGCTTCTACTTCTCACTTCCTGAGTTCCTGGACTTTCAACTTTTTGGGTCTGGATTTCAGTGGTTTGGACAAGTTAGGTTAAGGATTTTGTTGCAGCACTCCGATGGCGTAGCCAAAGCGAAGCAAAAGCGGACAAGCCCGCAGCCCCACAGCCCAGGCTTGCGCTACTGGGCCTGGGGCAGCGACCTTGGGATGGGGGAAACCCACTGCGAAAGACATATCTAAGGTCCTGTCAAAAAGTAACTCGGGGTCAACAACAAACAATACCGTCACGCGTTTCCCCCCCCCCCTGAAGAAGGTCCCATTAATGGATGAGGCGTTTGTTTGTCCACGTTTTTGTTTTTTCTTCTTTGGTCTGGTTTGCTTGATGGTTGGTTGGTGGGTTGGTGGGTTGGTGGGTTGGTGGGTTGGTGGCTTGGTTGGTTGGTTGGTTGGTCGGTCGGTTGGTCGGTCGGTCGGTCGGTTGGTTGGTTGGTCGGTTGGCCGGTTGGTTGGTTGGTCGGTTGGTCGCTTGGATGTTCAACCACTGTCAGGTAAGGCTTGTAACCGTGGTTATGACCTACTTACGAAGTTGCTGAACATCCAAGTAGGGCTGGTCAATCAACCTTTGTATAGGGAATTTAGACAAATGCTACGGGAGAGAGCGATGACAAATAGTCACTATTAGGTTACTACGGCGCCGACTTTACTTGGGGAGGGTCTTGGGGGGAAATGATCCTTGGCCTTGGCCAAAAGACCTACCTAGTCATTCGGGGTTAGGGCTGGCAACCTCTTTTAGACCATATGCTTGGACTTTCTACGCAGAACAGAGGGATCTGTCATGAGGGGTGCCTTTCTTTTTTCTCCGTGCCATTTGTGGGGTTGGTGTAAAGGCAAGCAAAGGAAAGTGACCCATAACGTTGACCCCGGATAAATAAACCCTTCCCATGAATGTAGTGGTTTCGCCTCCAAAAGTGATGCTTCCCGACTAAACCCAGAACCCACCCCCCCACCCCCAGCCCCACCCCCAGCCCCACCCCCAGATATTCGAAAATGGGGGTTGATTACCAACATTATCCCACTGAAAGTTCAACTGTTTGCCAGCATCCACAAACCTCAAAGTCTTCATATGGCCATGCGTACCTGCAGTGAACATCCGATTCAATCCAACCACTAAAATAGGAAGCCTAAAATGGGTGGTGAATTCACCTACCCACCAAAATGGGATCCCAAAACGGTCTTGACAACCACAGCCATATGGAATTTCGACAATCATCAGGATTCCTCCGCGGCCATGGCCTAGGACTGAATCTAAGGCCTTACCCAACAGTTCTGCATGCCTTACCTATTAACCATACAAGCATGGTTGTTGTTGGGATACTTTTTTGCTTGTTGTGGTTTAGTGGGAAATCTGCACTTAACTGCTAAGATTTAAATTGTTGCTGCCCTTCCAACGTCAACCAAGACAAGGAAGGGCAAGCCACGAAAGCCAGCTGTTGCCAGCGGGTCCAAGCTTGAACTTTTTTTAGGCTGTAGCTGTAGCTTTGAATTCTTTTAGCTTTGAATGCTCCAAGCTGTAGCCAGTGGGTCCAAGTTTTAACATCTTTTAGGCTCCATGCCTGATTCAATTCGGGTTTGGCTGGGTGGGTGTTGGGGGGAAAGGCCTCAGACCAGCCTGGAATCTTCAATTCCCTGCTGGCCCACGCCCGCCGCAGAAGCAAATCCCCAGAATGCTAGGGGTTGATTCCTTCTCCATTCTTTTCAACAATCATTCTTTCCAAGCACCGGATCCGTTTTCCCTGGGTTTCTAGAGGGTTTCTAGAAAGAAAAACAGATCCCTGGAAAGAATGGAAATGGGAGGTACCCCTAGAATAATCTCGTCCAGGTTGCAGCTTTTGGAATCTTTCTCATAAGGACCTGGTGCAAGTTTGGGTCTCAATGACTTCCTGGATGTTCGTGTAGTGTTGCCTAGGTCCCGCAGTGGTGCCCTTTTACCGTTTTTTTTTTGGGGGGAGGGTTCTCCCCTGCCAAAATAGACAACAGAAAAAAAGTACCCTTATTCTAACCATCTCTACTGGAGGACCTAGAATGACTTCCTGGATGTTCATTTACTGTTGCTATTCAAAAAATATATTGGCATCTCCTGGGCCCTACATGTTATTGTTGTTTTCTGGCCAGCTTTCGTTGCCTCTCAAGTTCTGAACCAGAGGAATATGTACAGTGGATGGCCCCTAACCTATTTACCTTTTTATGGCCACTGTTTTTGGGGTATGCACATGTGGGGCCCATGTGGCGGGGGGGGGGGGGGTATGTAAGGTTTGTGAATGGACCATATCCTTCACCAGTTGGATGGATGAACCCGTTTGACTGGAATAAATCCCCTACCAACCAATACAGGCGTGGTCCATCCATAGTACAGTAGGACGTTGAAGAATGCTTTTTGGCGGGAGCGGTCTTTAGGATACCTTTGCCAGACATGTTGTATTTCACACCAGCGCGCCCTAGGCAGGGAGCCGCGAATGCGCGGGCCCGTGGATAGAGGAGGTGGGTTGTCAAAGATATCGCCTGCCTTATTTTTGGACCAATCCCTATGTCCATCTCAGATTCTGGTCAAAACCCACTTCACGTCATACACCAGCAGCCAGCCAGCCAACCAGCCAGCCAGCCAGCCAGCCAGCCAGCCAGCCAGCCAGCCACCCACCCAACCAACCAACCAACCAACCAACCAACCAACCCACCAACCCACCAACCAACCAACCCACCCACCCACCCACCCACCCACCCACCCACCCACCCACCCACCCACCCACCCACCAACCAACCAACCAACCAACCAACCAACCAACCAACCAACCAACCAACCAACCAACACAGACACACTTCCATTTGGGCCTGACACCCTTTTGGGTACCATGACGCGCTTTGAGGGGTCAGAGTCGCTCAACCGCCGTCTTGGAGGTTTTTGCCTCGCCCCTTCCGGCTCGAGGGGGCAACAAAAGAAACCCTCACGTGCCAACCAGGACCCTCAAACTACTCACTAAGAAGATAATTTACCCCAGAATCTTGGGGCAATAGTTTTTTTTGGAATTTTGAGGGTGCAGGAAGGAACAAAGCGAAGTCTTGAGTCTTGACATCAAGCTTAGGGTTTCCGAGCAACTTTGCGTGGAACCCATCAGAGAGGTTCCACGTGAGGGATGGTACCCATAAGAAAGCCGCATGGATAGTTGGTTGCCATCTGGTTGTGGAGTTGGAATCCAAGGGGAAACTCAGTTCCAGTTGGTGGTCCGCTCATTTTCCTCCAAAAGGGTCTGTGTGTTTGATACTTGACAACATCTCATGATGTGTAGAACTTTGATCCAGGTGGATTTTGATCAGGGGTATACCATTTCAGATCCGAATCACTCTTCTATTTGTTGGTTTTGAAGGGAATCTATCACTACTGGACATATTTTCTAACTTTTCCCAGGAGGCCGTGGGGGGGCACACCCCCCAAATCCACCCAAGTTCCAGATTGTTTTTTTTCATCGCTCAGTACATGCCACCTTTGTCTCGATGACTCACCACAAATGGTTCACCCAAAACTGCACATGGGTGTGTTTTTTTGTTTAAAGGAAACCCTTTGTTGGGTTTGTTTTGAAGAACAACCCAAAAACCAGCATTTTGCTTGTTTCTTCTTAGAACTTCCTTTCTTTTTTTTGGGGGGGGGGTCCCGAAAACACCAAAAAGACACAGCTGGGTATGTATTTTGTAAGGGTGATTTTTCCTTGTGGTTTCCCTTTGAAGCCGCAAAACAAGCCGGGTACATCCGCAAATAAGACACACCCAGCTCCCGTTCGAAGAATTGAGACATGTGGGAGGGTAAAGCTGGGAGGGTTGCAACGGTCAGAAGGTCCCGAGAACATGAGCTCGAGGTCTTCGGCGTGACGGCGCTCGGTGGAGAGGTCGTGACGTTGCTGGAGGAGGGCAGCGGAGCTTCGTTTCCGTTCCCCCCCCCTTTGTACGGATTTTGGAAGGTGGGTTGCGGCGAGCTTCTCTTTCTCTTCTTCGCATTTTGGAAGGTGGCTATCAATTTTATTGGGCGGAACCTCCTGAAAAGTGATTGGTGGACATAGATCCCCACCAATTTAATTGATGGAACCAGGAAGGTTCGCTAATGAAAATTCATACCCAGGTGGGGTTGTCGTAAAATTAGGGAAGCCCCATGGATTCCGGTGTTCCTAACAGGGTTACCCGGGTGGACTACGGGCTTGTGTCCGGGGAAACCCAAGATTTGGACCCTGAAAAAGAAGGCCCCTTTTGGCGCTGATTCCCCGACATGTGCCAACAAACGTCTCGCGGCTTCAACCATCCACAAGAACCGAGCCGGGACGGAACGGGAGCCCCTCAGAGTGGGTTCGGTCTGCGAGTCTTTTCTGACGTCAACCCGCAAGAACATGTTCCTCGAAGAGACTTGTGTAGGTCCCCAGTAGTGCCCTTTTACCCATTTTTGGGGAGGGTTCCCCAGCTAAAATAGACTACAGAAAAAAGGGTACCCTTATTCTAACCTCTCTACTGCAGAACCTAGTTGTCTAAGATGGTGTCCAGCCCAGAAATATACCGTTTCTTTTGTGGCTAGTGACTGTATATCCCATGAAGCCCCTGGGTAGCGGTTTGGGCGAGGTGGCCTCACCATTTTAGCACCTGGAGCTCTCGAGGATTTTTTTCGCCTGGAACTCGAGGAATTTCGGTCCGAGCCTCGCTTCCTCGAGTTCCTGGGCTCTAGAGGCGTTTTGGGTCGACGCTCTGGGGACTTTCTTGGGGCCAATTCACTGGATTGGAAGTAGGGGGAAAAAACGAGCAAGAGCCATGACACAGGTCCCTTACTTGGGAATCCGAGTCTTAATTCATCTTTTGGAACAATACATTTACAGATATATATATATACATCTCACGCGCTGTGTCCAGCCCTTGGCAGAGTCTTTTGGAATACTTTTCTGAACAAGAATGCGGCCACTTTCCAACCCGCGAGGCCTCGGCTGACCGAATATAAAGCTTATCGGATGCAACCAGCTTCCGGGAGCCGACGTTGCTGAAGCCTTGGAGATCGGTGAAACCGATGTTCCCGTTTTCTTTTTTTTGGGGGGACTTAAAGGGGCATTGTACTTAGTAAGTAGTGAGTAAGTCAGGTTATAACCCACTTGCCATGGTTATAAGTCTCCGTTCTGTGGGTTCTCTCACCTGGCTTACTAAACACTGACTAAGCACCCTGCCCCTTCAAGTATCCGATGCCCGTTTTTTTGGGGGGTCCGTTAAGAATCACCCGGCTCCAGGAGCAGACCATTCTGGTGGACTCGCACCCCGGCCAAGACGTTTCGGATTTCGGGGGAAGCGATTCATTCCTCAGACCCTGAGGTCCATTTCGGACTTTTGTCATTTCTTGGGTCTGGACCAATTTGGTGGTTAACCAAGAGTTTGGTGTCCTTTTTCATCTTTCCGCTGGTTTTTTCCCGGCGCAATAGGCGATGAAAAAGAAACACGTCCTGCAAACTGGTGGGAGCTGGCTTCACCCGCAGAGACGGGCAACAAGGGAACTGCCTTACCAAACCAGCTGGAACAGGGTTGTGGGATCACTCGAGGTTGATCCCACACTTCTGTCATACTTTTGGGAGTCTCCCCTGTTTTATGTGGGGTTCGTCTTTAGGATGTATCAGAGAAGTGGATTCCAGTTCCCCACAGCCCCGGGCGGTTTTTGCTGAGGCTCGGCCCTTCCTGCTGCATGAAGCCGCCCAACCTGCGCAGACTGCGGGGAGTCCAAACGGGAAGCGTTGCGTTGCAGGGGTTCGCTTTAATGGGGGGCCTGCTCCAATACTCTATCATTGTAGGGTAGACTGAACATGAATCAGAAGCTGAAAAGAAGCAAGTTTTTTTGAATCAGAATCTGAGATTACATGTCTTTTTTTTGGCGGAGCCCAGACGAGGGCCAAGGTTTGAGTATGACTAACCACCCGTTGTTTAGTCAATTCTCGCTCCCTGAGTTCATTGACTTCGTTGTTTTTGGGGGAGATGGCAAAGGTTCAGACCTTTCGGCCAATCTCCGGTTCGGCGAGCGATTTGCCAGCGATCGGCCGGCTTTTGGTCCCCACTCAAAGTAGGGAATCCCAATGCAAACTATAGAAGACACTTTGAAACCGCCACAGAAAACACCAATAGAACAGCTAGAAGCCGTTTCAACACCAGCCTAGGTGGTGTCCCGAGCGGTATCGCTTGAACACGGGGCCTTCCAAGTCCTGTCCCTAGATCGTTCTGCAGGGTTTCCCAGCCATGTCCCTGTAAGGGAACCTCCAAAAGTTGCAGTTTCACTCGGGGAAATCCAGTGACCGGCTGCATGTGTCTGTCCCTTTGCAGGTTTCAAAGGCAAACACATATTTGTGTGAGGTCCAAGCTTAAACATTTCGCGCCCGCCCATAGAAAAACCTGATCTTGGGCCTTTCGGAAGGCCTTTCAATCGACCCCTCGATGCCTCGCGGCTCGCGGCGGCCGACGCCCGCGGACGCGCGAGGTACCGGCACTTCACCCGTGTGCCCAGCGGCAGCCTCCAGCTGCTGGTGACCCCACTGGGCCCAGGTCCCAGAGTGGTGCCGTCTCTTTGGCTTCCCTATGCGAAGAAGCCATACCCGCCACAAAAGGCAGACCTGTACCAGAGCCGAAGCCGGTGGGCGGAAGTTTCAAGAATTTATAAACCGTAGTGTTCGCTTATGTGTTATTCTTGATTTTTCTCTTATTGCTGGTTGTTTTCGTTCATTTCTCCTGTCTTTTGCTGTTTGTATTTATTTTCCCACTTCGTTCTTTCCGTCTTTCATTATTGTCCTTTTTCTTTCTTTGTTTGTTTCATTACAACTGTTTTTGTTTCTGTCTCCCTCTTCCTTCTGTTTGTCATCGTCTTTGTTCCTTTCTTTCTTTCCTTCTCTTTCTCTGCCTACATGGCTTTCTATTTGGCTACTTGTCTATCTACCTGTATGTCTATGTATATCTGCCCACACCTAATCTATCTATCTATCTATCTATGTATCTATCTATCTATCTATCTATCTATCTATGTATCTATCAATGTAGCTATCTAGCTATCTAGCTATCTAGCTATCTAGCTATCTATCTATCTATCTATCTAGCTATCTAGCTATCTAGCTATCTAGCTATCTAGCTATCTAGCTATCTAGCTATCTAGCTATCTATCTATCTATCTATCTATCTATGTATCTATCTATCTATCTATCTATCTATCTATCTATCTATCTATCTATCTATCTATATAATCTATCTATATAATATATCTATCTATCTGTCTGTCTAATCTATCTAATCTATCTAATCTATCTAATCTATCTAATCTATCTATCTATATCTATATCTATATCTATATCTATATCTATATCTATCTATATCTATCTATCTATCTATCTATCTAGCTATCTAGCTATCTAGCTATCTATCTATCTATCTATCTATCTATCTATCTAGCTATCTATCTATCTATCTATCTAGCTATCTAGCTATCTAGCTATCTAGCTATCTAGCTATCTATCTATCTATCTATCTGTCTATCTATATCTATATCTATATCTATATCTATATCTATATCTATATCTATATCTATATCTATCTATATCTATCTATCTATCTATCTATCTATCTATCTATCTATCTAGCTATCTAGCTATCTATCTATCTATCTATCTGTCTCTCTATCTATCTATCTATCTATCTATCTATCTATCTATCTATCTATCTATGGATCTATCAATGTAGCTATCTAGCTATCTAGCTATCTAGCTATCTAGCTATCTATCTAGCTATCTAGCTATCTATCTAGCTATCTAGCTATCTAGCTATCTAGCTATCTAGCTATCTATCTATCTATCTATCTATCTATCTATCTATCTATCCATCTATATCCATCTATATCCATCTATATCTATCTATATCTATCTATCTATCTATCTATCTATCTATCTATCTATCTATCTATCTATCTATCTATCTATCTATCTATATACTCTATCTATATAATATATCTATCTATCTGTCTGTCTAATCTATCTAATCTATCTAATCTATCTATCTATCTATCTATGTATCTATCTATCTAATCTATCTATCTATCTATCTATCTATCTAAAGATCTAGCTATCTAGCTATCTATCTATCTAGCTATCTAGCTATCTAGCTATCTAGCTATCTAGCTATCTATCTATCTATCTAGCTATCTAGCTATCTAGCTATCTAGCTATCTAGCTATCTAGCTATCTAGCTATCTAGCTATCTATCTATCTAGCTATCTAGCTATCTAGCTATCTATCTAGCTATCTAGCTATCTAGCTATCTAGCTATCTATTCTATCTAATCTATTAATCTATCTATCTATCTACCTATCTATCTATCTATCTATCTATCTATCTATCTAAAGATCTAGCTATCTAGCTATCTAGCTATCTAGCTATCTAGCTATCTAGCTATCTAGCTAGCCAGCTATCTATCTATCTATCTTGCTGTCTAGCTATCTAGCTATCTAGCTATCTATCTATCTATCTATCTATCTATCTATCTATCTATCTATCTATCTATCTATAAAAAAGATCGGTCTATCCGATCTTTGCTTGTCAATTGCCTTATTGAATCTCACCAGGAATCCGTCTTTCGATTTATGTATCCTTTGGCGTGTCTATCTCTCCGGATGCGCGGCTGAATGTCTAGAGTTTCATGTCAGCAAATCGAAAACCCACAAAAAGGAGGGTCTGTCTCGAAAACAGTAATCTAAATTTCAGTGTCCGAAAACCAGGTTTTGGAATCGAAAACGAGGTTATTTGCCAGAACCTCCATTTTTCCGGGTCTTGGATGTGCTAGTTTCACATGTTTCCAACCTATACTTGTCTGTCCATCTATCTATCTAACCTCTATCTAGGCATCCATCTATGTATCTACCGATCTGTCTATCTATTGACCTACCGACTTGTAGGCGCCAAAGCAGACTTTCCGGGCTCTTAACATTTGTTTGAGGGGCAGGGGGAAGCCTGCGACCTTCGCCCATGACCAACTCCTGAAAACGACTTGTGGGGGGGGAACTTGGTTTGAAGGGAATACAGGGACAACCACTTTGCCCCCCCCCCCCCCCGGGCATGTTGACACGTACCCTAAAGGTCTCCAAAAGATTCCTGTTCCTACGCTGAAAGGTTCATGGAGTTTACAGGATGTTTCTGAAAGCTGCCCGAAGCATGATCAACACATTGCGAGACTTACTGTGGATGGTCGAAACCCATTTCGCACCTAGGAAGCCATGGAATGATTCGCCTGCACATACCAACAAACAATGGTTTGTTATGGCTTCAAAGTGGTGCGAAATGGATTTCATCCATCCACAATCCCTCACCTTGTCGCAATTTTACCTTTTAGGTAGAATGGAACATGTGTCCAATTCCGCCAAACTTTTGATGGCTCTTGGGGTCTAACACCTCGAATAAAACACCCAAACTGCCTGCGCCTTTCCTGGTTTCCCTCCAAACCACCCCCCAACAAAAGGCGAACATCTCCCCACGGCCTTCCTCCGGCTGAGGCGGCAACATTGGCGGTGCGAAGCTGGCGGCCAGAGCACGAGGCCGGGTGGCCGGGTGGCCGCTGGGCGGTTGTGAGGTGCTTCATCCCCAGCTTTCGACTGGGAGAGTATCGTTCTTTGCAATCACCGGCTGTTTCCAACCGGGTTTGGAGGGTTTCCTGAAAAGAAGGGTCCCTGGGAAGAATGGGGAAGCTTCCACTAAATGGGGCTGTCAAGGGGAGTTTTTTTTTCTTCAGAAGTTCGACGCTTCCCAGCTCAAAGTGCTGAAGCCAGCCGTAGCATTGGTCGATTTTGTGGTGCCCGAGTCCCCCCAGAAAATAAGAGCTGGGGAAAACGTGTTTGCGTGTGGTGTTTTTTTTCTGGACCCAAGCAAGGGTGTGTCGATGTGTTTTGTGTTTTTTGGGGACCAAAACAGAGACTAAGGGCTTCCTTTTGGTTTTAACCTGAATAGGCTTTGCCCAAAAAACAAGCCACACTCAATAGACCATAGGCAACCATTTTATATGCCACCAAGGGGGGACCATGTCAAATCTAGAGGTTGGAAGAGTGCCTAGCTGCAGTACCTTCTCTTGTGGTAACTGGAAGCACTGGGCCATAATGTTTAGTTTTCCCAAAAGGAAGGAACCAGGGCGTTTGACAATTTCTCCACACCCCAACTTGGATAAATCTTCTATGTGGGTCACATGAATTTCCTAAGCATGATTTTGGCAGCGGCCATGCAGCTCGTGAATGATGTCGCTACCATCGCCCCCCTTCCCCCCCCCCCCCCACCCCCTGCAAAAACACCACGGCCTAATGCCAACACGCCTCCCTCAACATGGAACCTTTTTGTAGGCCCAGCGTATTTCAGTGATGTTTTCTCTGGCCTCATGGAGCGATAAGGGACCCTACCGCCCCTTCCTTGAAAGACGCCCCTGCGAAGCAAAGACATAGAAGAAACACTGTGCCAAATCCAGGGAATCCTCCAAATCAGCTGGTGTCTGGGTGATTGAACCATCCAGCTGGTTTTTGTGTGATGTTTGACCAAACAGCTGCTTCTTGGCGAAAAACCTGGCTCGAGCGTGGATTTCTTGCGCAGGTCAGGCGGAGTGGTTCCAAGTGGCTCAGGCTCAGGACCTTCCCATCCACTTGCTGGGGGGGTTTTGAGGGTTGGGGGTTTTGGCCGGGACAGGTTGGGTTGGGGGCTCATTTGTTCTTCGTGATTCGATCATCCCCTTGTGGTTGCCTTCCATTTGCTGAATGAATATTTTTGTATTGTCCCGTGTTGGGTTTTCAGGGGATATCTTATCATGTCTTCCAAAAAACGAATGGAAGTTCCCATCCTGTACTGATGGACGCGAGTCCATGTCACAGAAACCATCAGCCGGAAATCATGGGGTGGGATCCATGTTTGGAGTTGGTGCCCCTGTTTGTTTTTTGTGGTTTCAACATGAACAACACCGTTTTGGGTCCCCTCAAAAATGGCACACCCATTGTCTGCTGGTATCCACAGGGGAATCATAGCATTCCAGGTTTCTTACCCTAAGAGAGTTGGTACCCCGGTTTGTTTTTTGTGGTTTCAACATGACCATCACCGTTTTGGGTCCCCTCAAAAAGGGCACACCCATTGCCTGCTGGTATCCACAGGGGAATGATATCATTCCAGGGTTTCTTCGGTGCAAGATTTCGTCCATGCACGGAATGGTTTGTTTCCTTTTGATCTCCCAAAGATCACCCGAAAGGGGGTCCACCATTTTGAGAAGCACCGTATCAACATATTTGGGGGTTCTGATGCTAGATCTTGTAGACAACGTATGATTGCCAGAGTCAGAACCTACTGTGGATGGACGAAATCCTGCACCCAGAATTCCTAAAGTACTGCGATTCAACGTAAATACCAACAAACGTTACGGTTTTTTCAACTTCATGGTTTCATTTCGGTGGTGCGATTTCTGGGTTTCGCAAAAAAGAACCGACAAAATGGTCGGGTGTCCTGTTCGCTTCCACCAAAAAGGCAACCCAAACGGGCAGGTTCTTCTCGTGTACCGACCTTTCATCTGGGCACGCGAGCCTCAAATAAGTCGTCGAGCTCCAGAAAGTGGTCTGCCCAAAGGTTCCTCGATGAATGAAGTTGTTGTTTCCCTCTTTTTTTTCTAACGCACATGAACGACACACACACACACACGTATATATATATATATATACGTACTCATATATATATATATATATGGTTGTTTTCTTTTATTCAGTTTTCGTTTGTTGGGGGGATGGTTTCGTTGACAGGAATTTCCTTAAGACCCACCCCGCCTTTCAGCTCGATTGAGGTCCAGGCTGCCAGGCTAAGAGAGAACATGTTTTTGTTGAGGGAACCCCAAAAAGGCTAGTTTCTTGTTGTTTCGCCTTTGAACCCCCTCCAAAAACTACCCTTCACCCTCTTCACTGTTCTTGGCACGTGTTTGGTTTCTGTTTTTGCCTCTCTCTTTTTTTGGCTCTTTTCATTTTTATTGGGTGGCTGCAAAAGCAAATGTTTCTTGCTGCATGCCAAGAGTTGTAAACCCAACATGGACGGGTTTAACAGGTCTTAAAGAGAGACGGGAACCACTTGTTTGGGGGGTGCCGCAAAACAGGAACCCAGATGACTTTTTGGAGTGAACTCAAGAATATGTTTTCTGTTCCCTTTTGGTTTCAAAAGGAATCTGTTACTACTGGAATGATGTTCATTTTTTCCAGGGGCCTTGGGAAAATGGAAGTTGCTCGTCATGCAGCAAGTGTCTTTCTTAAAATGTTTGCTCGTAGATGTCACTGGAGCGCCGCTTTGTCCGGCCATACCTGATCAAGTCTCACTTGTTACTGGAGTTTGACATATACCGCCGACTTTCACCCAGCGCAAAGCATCACTTGCGCACCTGTGGGACTGTAAACTGTTTTTGGAACATCATTTTCTGGGGTCACCTCTTAACGTATATTGCATGTCAATGTTGGCTCAACCGGAAAGCATAATCTCAACGTAATATTTTTGATTCATCCCAGATTCGGGAAACGTTTAGTGGTAAGTCAAAAAAGTGGATCCACCAGAATCCACCCAACTTTGCAAGCCCTCAGCAAGCCTACTAATTGCCAGATACTTGAGGGGCTGCCTTTTTTGGGGGGACCCCATTTTTTTTCTTCGAGTTTCCTCTTGGTTTCCCTTTCAAAACCACAGACAATGGGTAGCCTCAACAAAAGGACAACTGAGTTGCCCTGCCTTTAGTCCTGCGAGCGCAGGACGGGCTCCTACAACTGCAGATCCCGCTGGATGAGTTGGTGGGGCTCCGACCTCAGTTCATGGATCCGGTTTCGGGTTCGTGAGCACACGGACAATATATGCACACACATATATGCACATATGTATATACACATACATACACATACTTACACATATGTATATATGCCAATTTGTATGTGTGTGGTGTGGTTGAGTGTTGAACTATATGGGTGGCTCATCTGTTTTTAGGTTGACCCACCAACATGAGCTTGGTTTCTTTGTTTTTGGGGATGTTTTTTTCTTTTTTCCTTGGGAGGGGGGTTGGTTCAAAGTTCAAAGTGAAACCAAAGGCAAGCGAAGCGATTTTTGGAGGGTCCCCCTCAAGGTTCGATCACCGGGTTCAACCAGAAATCGAAGCAAAGATTGGTTCGACCTGAGACTCAGGTCCAACGGACTCAGAGTGAAACGACCCACGAGTCCCTCAAGATATATCTGTCAAGGCCGAGACGTCAAAGTGAAATGACGTCCGTCCACAAGAGGAAGTCTTGGGCGTCAGTTGGGACTAAACTTTTCACCTTACGCCCAACTGACTGGTGGTTTAGGCACTAGGCACCTGCTGCATTTGGAGCCACCAATCCAAACCAGCCAAGGGTTGTTCTACTTGCTGGTGCGATAGGCAGGGAATGAGAAATGGAATGACGCCCATAAACCATCCCCTATGGGTTGCTTTAAGGGAATCCCCACGTTCATTCTCGCATTATTTGCTGAGAACCAGCAAGTTTAACTGCGGTGTTGCTTGGCACCTGGGACGATGCCAAATTCTGGTCCGATTGCGGGACAAGGTGCAGAAGCAGTACATTCCAAGTTGCTTTGGATCTCAAAGGAAGCTATTTTAATAGCCCCTGTCGTGATAAGCTTGTCATCGCTTTTTTGCTTCAAAAAGTCGAACGCTTTTATTCGGAGGAGTCTTTCGTGAGGGCACCCTTTGAGTGGGGGATTGAAAGGGAAAGGAAAGGAAGACCATCATGAAGTAGGGGGTCCCCCTGTTTCAACACATACTATTCTACCTGCCATGTCGATTGCCATTCTTGCGACACCATCACCCAGCAGATACTGTATTACAATGGGAGAAGCTTTCTTACCCTTACCTTCCATTTGGAGTTGACCTGTAGCGACCTCAAAAAACATGGGTCACCCCAAATAACAGGCTGTTGACCCAAAGTTTACGGGGTCGGAGAGAGTTGGCAGCTTGGTGGCACTCGATATAAAGACCGAAAGAGAACTCGTCTCCAAGACTTTGCCCGGGATCCACTGAACGCCCTGGACCCCTGGCCACCGGTCACCAGGTCACCGGGTCATCGGTCCCGCAGGCCAGATCTCCGGAGTCTCCACGCGGGGTTCTGGCTTGAAGCCCGGCTGGAGGCAGGGCTTCAGGGCTTCTCCACTGGCGAACCCCGGATGCCGCGAAGGGCCGCGAAATCCGAGAATCTAGTCGCGCACGAGAAAGCCGGGGGGGTATTGCGGCCCACGACTTCTTTTCCGGGGTGCCGACTGGTTGGCCAAAGCCGGAAAAGCCGCCCCACCCCCCAAAAAAACAGGTACTGTGGATTGTTGCGACATGCTCATTTCGATCTCGCGCCACCGAACTTAGAAAACCGGAACAACATGTATATATATATATATATATATATGATTCCCCAACGTAAATGTCAACAATCGTTGTGGTTTCATTCCCATGGTTTCGAAGGGTCACTCTTCCCATGTGGAAAGCAAGTTGGCTACTTACCATGGGGTATTTTTGGAGTTAGTAGCTGATGTAACCTACTTACCAAGTGGTTGTGGAATTTCTAGGGGTGGGAACCATCGAGCCCGGGTTCCTTAGGGAGCCTTAGGGGAATCCCCCCCAAAGGGACCACCCTTCTTAGGGACTCCATAAAATGGGAGTAACGCTAGAAAACGGTTCGGATGCGGGGAATCTGTGGATCCACCCCTGTAGAATATGAAAAGAGTACTAAAAACAAATCTAAAAGAGGAGGGGGAAGAGCTGGTGAAATCCTCAAGCACAACTCCAAGCCCGTTTTTTTTTTTTTTGGTTTGCAGCACGTGCTTGTCTCTGAGCCCTGCTATCATGGGTCTGTCGCGATTTCAATTCCAAAGCTGCGGCCTCATGGTGGCTCGTTTTGTGGCAGTACCAGAGGCTTGCCGCCCATCTGACCCACCAGTAAGTTCATCAGAATTCATCCGCTTGGGAATTCACATTTTGACCCCTGTCAAAATTCCCAAACATTGGGTTGTTTCATTTTGGTAAATGGAAGGGATCAAATTCGACGATCCTGGTAGTCTCATTTTGAAATATACCCCAGCTCCCACTAACATGGCACCTGACAGGGATCCGGTTTTTACAAGAGGAACATCATCTTCCAGGTCCCTTCTGTTAGTGGGTGGGAGGGTAGTTATTGTCCTTCGGGTTGCTGCTTCTCAACAGAGAATGAGAGAATGACCCCCAAGACAAACCATCCCTCCGATTTGGTGTCCTTTCTTCGTGAATCCGAATCCAACACCGGTTCACTCTTGTCCTTTCAAGCAAGTGGGCTTCTGAAAGGATCATTTTGCCAAGAACTGGCCATTGCAGAACGGACGTGGCCCTGGTCTTGACTGCTGATGGGTTGGATCTTTAGACTTTAACTTTTTGGAAATAAAGGTGTTTTCGATTAACCCACAAAACGTTAAGCTTTTTGCAGGGGGGTCAACAGCGACCAAGAGGTGAAGTCGAGATTCTTCGGGGTTTTCCCACGGCTACCGCACCGCCCAGCCGCCGTTCTCCAAGGGCGCCGCTTGGCGCGCGCGCGCCGCTTGGTGTCGCGTCGCTCGTCGCTCGTCAGGTGCAGCGGCCCCTCAGCTTCAGCCTAAGCCTCCTGCACGACTTCGCCACCCGCGAGGCTCACGGATCGATCGGCCGGCGGGGGGGCAGGTGGGCGGGCTGCGGGCCACCCAAAATCTTTGCGCTGAATGGTTAGAGCAACGGTACCTCCGATTGCCAGGGGTTGAAACAAGGTACCAACAGTGGGGTAATTGGAGAGGAGCAGTCCAAGTTGGAAAGTTTGGAGCAACTCAAGTTTCCCTTTGCCACGGGGAACTTTGGACAACCCAGTGTTCGCTGACGAAACGCATTTTGTTTGTAGGAGCCACATGTAGCCAAGACTAGATCTCAGTATTTGGCGTATTTCACAAAACTACACCTGATGCCTGCCCTTGGCTCCGCTGAGGAATTTCCCGGGTTTCCGGCAACCTCCAAATAAGTCACGTCCTCAAAGCCCGGGTAGATGAAGGCTAAGGGACAACGCAACTGTTGCCGCCTTTTTTCAATGCGACTCATCGATCGGTTTTGCTTCTGACTCATTTCAGCCTCTTTTTAAAGAAAAAAATATTTTCATTGGTGACCAAGATGAGCTTGTGCATTTTCCCTGGCCGTTGCCAAAGCCCATGGTGAAAGCCTCAAACCCACGAGGAGTAGCTGAGGGCTGTGGCAGGCCACTGCCACTCCTAGAAGACCTGAGCAACCTCTGCAGCCCCAGCAAGTGGATGGATTTGGACGGCTGCCAAGTCGGATGTGGAGAAGCCGAAGGGCAGGAAGCCTTGTATCAGGTGATCAAGACTGAGCAGGCTCTGTGGAACGCATGGAGAACACCTTGTGGCACAGATGCGGAGGATGAAAGCTGGGGGTACACCATCTCTCTTATCAGAATCGGTGTTGGTTCTGACTCAAATGCCCTTTGGAATCGAAAGTCCCGGTGGCATTGACCTTAAAGCCCGGTTTTGGAAAGCGGCCAACACACAATCTTATGGGCTAGGTGGACTCTTGCTTGGCTTATTTGGGATAGTTAAACCTAAATTTACACCTTTCTCACCTTCCGATCGAACCAAAGATCATGCTTCGATTTTGCTTAGAATCTGCTGTATCTTCTCCTTTGGGTTTTCTAGGTCCCCCAGTAGTGCCCTTTCTCACCCTTTTTTGGGGAAGAGTCCCCCTAAATAGACTACAGCAAGAAGAATCGGTAGTTTTTTAAAGGGAATCGATTTGCATCTATTTTATGGGGAGCTCACCTTGGGGGTACAACGAGCCCATGATAGAGGTTCTTTACTTGGGGGTCCGATTCTTAACTCAGCTTTTGACGATATGGTTCTGGCCATGGTTCAAAGCCGTTTTGGGATCCCATTTTGGGAGGTGAATTCACCACCCAGTTTAGGCTTCCTATTTTAGTGGTTGGATTGGGATGTTCACTGGGGGCAGGGGGTTTTGACCCATGGCCATATATTAAAATTTGCAGAGTCTATCAACCGGGGAATTTAAGCTGGAGGTAGAGGCCTTTTGTATTTGACCGCGAGGCCACGCCGGTCACCACGCGGCTGGTGGCGAATGCACCTCGGCTGCTGGTTGCGGATCTTTTATTTCACGCGTTGGAATCGTTGTAGAATGGCGGCAAGCGACCTTTTGGTGGATAGACGTTGGGGTTAAGATAGAGAAGCAAGTTCGGATTAAGAATTCCACAGCTGGTGCCTGCTCAGAGTTTATTTTGCCATGTACGTTTGCTATTGAGGTGTGACTCTTGCAGTTTGCTAGTCGCGCCAGTTGCAGATGATGCAGGTGATGCTGGAGAAGTTGGCTGGATGCCAGATGCTCGTTCATTGTGTTGAGATGAAAACTGATTTGTAAAAGCAAATTCTATTGCAATGGTTCAATTTGAAATAGACGTGTTCGGATCAACATTCTAGTTTGGAATGTTTCTTTGTTTGATTATTTCCTTACTCAATTCTATTTAAGCAAAGAGGAGGATTGGCCCGAAAGCATGGTACCGCCATTCTGTTTTTGTCAAGCCCCCCGATGCGCCCACCGCGAGAAGAAGAAGCCTCACAAAATGGGAGTGTTCCACAGAATGAGCTAAAGAATCTGCAAATTGCTCTGTGCAGTGGCTCTTTTCGAATGCTCTGTTGCGCGTGTTTGCACCTCTCTTTGCGCAAGTTGCATTGTGCAAGTAAGTTGATCTCTGCGCGCTCGCCCCAGACATCGCAACAACAGAAACCACCAGTTTTTACACATTGACCACAGAAGTCGCAACGAAAAACATCGTTTCCCGAGCCTCCAGCTCGGCTTGCGCTCTCGCCCCGAACGAAGCACAGGTCCCTGTCTCCGGCAGTCTCTCCGAGGCGTGTGCGGTGATTGGGGATGGGGGTCGTCACCTAGGGCTTTTGAACAGCGCAGGTGGTTTCCTACTCCAAATGATGTTCTTGGGTAGCTGGTTACCTGGAACAGCCGGGTTCTCCAAAGCAACGCCTTCTTGGTTGTCGGGGTTTGACATCTGACATCACACTTTGAAAAAGAGTGGGTATGTTTGGGAGTGTAGACTTGGTATGCGTAGAGCATGATCAGCTGTCATCCCTTGATGCCTTGCTTATCATTATTTCTGTATGGGGATTCCTGACAAGTGTCAGCCAAACATTTCTGCTTCAGAAAGGGTTAATGTGAAACATGAGCGCCTTTTAGCGCGCGGGCAGTGCAGAGACCTAGCCTTTTTGTTATGTTTGGACAAGCAGAAGCCGGTTTTACGAGTAATTACAGCATGGCTTTTGGTCAGGGGTTGCCACCACGTTAAGACAGTATTGCAAGTCAGGCGTATCACGGACCTATGGACCACCCCCCAAAGACCCCACCCCACCCCAAACAAAGCCTTCCTTATCCTTAGTAAGGCATATGAGTCTCGAACCCTTGGGGGTCTTCGGCCCTTTTGGTGGGGCTTTTGGGCCTGCATGCTGGGGGGCCAAGACCATCGTCACCTCAGATCAGTTTGGTTGGGCTCCGTGAGCCTGAAAGATGCGCGGTTTACCACATCAGTCAAAAATATGTGCCGTCAGCCCATGTCATAGGGGGGGAGACTGACCGTGCCTCACATATGTCCGTTTTCATTGGAAACCACCTGGCCACCAAAGGGTCCGAAAGGATCCGGGACCCCGTTAAATTCACATCCACATTGCAGGGATTCCGAGCCGTTTCCCTTTAAAGACCACCTCCAAATTTGGCGATCGTTTGTTTCAAGGGACGCCGCGAGTAAGTTGCTGAGCTTGATTTGGGGGAATCCAGTCACCCCGTTTTCCCCCCTACTGAAAGCGATTCGTTCCCCAAGGATCAAGGGGAAATCCAGCGACCCCCGAGACTTTTTCTGCTTCAGCTCAGAAGGTGATTTTCGGCTCACCATAATTTCCCCGAATAGTCCACTCCAATCTATTGCCTATTTAGTTTATTTAATGTTATATACTATCCCAAATAGTATATTAATAATGTCTACCTGGAGTCTCCATGACCCTTCAAAAATGGTTGGTCATTACCCCCAAATTAAGAAATGGGTCATGACCAACCATTTTTCATTCGGGTCAGAAGGAGACTCCGGGTATACTTCCATTTGGTTAAGATTTTTATTATTATTATTATTATTATTATTATTTTCCCCTGTTGGTTTTAAAGGGAATCGATTTCACTACTGGACATTTTATTATTATTTTTTCCCAGGGGACAAAAACGCAAATTGAGGCTTACCGACCAAGAAGGCCCGGCACAGAACCATTGGGTTTTGAAGATGGAGAGATCGTAGGAGAATCGCCTTGTGTACAAAACGGGCATTTACCCCATATGCGTCGAGCAAGAATCCTTACCTCTTAAAAACACAGCTTTTCTCAACTTTTTGGGTAACATGGGCTATATGTCTGTAAAAGATGAGAACTTCCCCAGGGCGCAGGGAGTTTTAAAGGGTAAGAATCCATTTTTGAGGGAACACCTACATCTCAGAACTCCTGAGACCTTTCGCGGGCTCCTAGGCTGCGGAGGCGAGGTACGCTGTTCAGGCCAATCCAGAGGAGGCGTCGGCGGGGGTGTGGCATGGGCGGTGGGGATTTTTGGGACCCCAAGGTGGCCGGATTTCTTTTTTGGCGCCCACATAGACTCCAGGGTTGTGGTTGATCACTCGGGGTGTATCCAACTACTTCTGTGATACAAGGGAATCCCCTGTTTAAATGGGGGTGGTAGTCTTTGGGAGTAGCCTGGGTTACAACCTGCTTACTTCCTTAGGTGACCTACTGTGGATGGACCAACCACTTTTTGCACCACCGTTCAGAAACCTTCGATTCCCCAACGGAAATACCAGCAAACAATGGTTTCCCATGGTTTCAACGTGGTTCGAACGGATTTCGTCCATCCACGGTAGGTAAACAACAACTCAACGCGGCGAACGATCCAAGTAGATAGCTCTATGGGGGGTCTAAAGTACTAGTCTAAAGGCTTATAAATGCGGGCACGTTTGGCTTGGAGGTGGGCCAGCGCAAAGAATTGTGGCATCGAAGGGGCAGCAGTTCCTGTGCACTTTGTAGCAACCCTGCTAAACTTGCGAGCGACCGGTTGACCTGGCGGATGTTTTTTGATCCAAGATATCCCACAAGCTGCTCCAAGGCTACAGAGCTCAAAAAGGGCTGATTGAGGCCGTAACTAGGGATTTTTTTTTCAAGTCAGATATCCCCTTCGCCCCACTTAGAATGAACGTGATCTTGTGAACGCCCATGGTCGCCTATTGTTTGTTTGGGGGGCGGCCCGCAATTTCAACCACTGGCGACCTTCCTAGGGATGATACGCTCCTGCGTCTTGCGCTTGGAGCATCGTCAGCCTTTGGGATTGGAAAAAAACAACCGACCCACCGTCGTTAAATTCTCCGAACCAAACAACTTGTTATTTTGGGGTTGGTTTAGAACAAGACAGCTCAGACACGGCCCTTGCTGGGAGGGTCCAACCCCCGGGAGCATTTTCATGGACCCAGTTGGGAGCCTTTGGGAAGATTCTGCAGGGCAGGGAACCGGCTTAACTCCACTGGGAACAGTAGTATCATGGGGGCTCTAAGCCCTGAATAAGGCCTCATTCCTCCCGCTCCCTCCCCCCCAGCCCCCATGATACTGTGGATGGACAAAATCCATTTCGCACCACTTTGCAACCATGGGAGATAATTCTTGGTTGGCATTTACAGGAGAATCATCCGAAACCTGGGTTTCTGAACGGTGGTGCAAACTGGATTTCGCAACCATCCACAATAATTAGTAACGACGTCGTTTTTTTCTGCTTTCCGTTTTTCGGGTCTTCGATGGTCTTCGGTGTGTTGGATCGATCCGACAGGTGCAGATCTGCCTGCGTCCTTGCGCGAGGCTCAGAGAGTTTTTCGCGATGTGTTCCGACGGCGCCAACGGCTTACGAAAGCCGGGTCTTGCGAGTTGCATAGGTGTCCTTTTTGGTGGATATGGTTAAGGCAATAGGTGGCGATTCCTGGTATTCCTTCTGGTTCATCATCTAGCAGGGCCATCTATTTTTCCAAAAAGGACACCTATGGCGAGTTGCCCTTTTTTTGGGTTGGTAAAGGGAAGCCAAAAGGAACCTCTTGTCATTTTGGAGGGGTCCAAATCCAAAGGGTACGCGCTCCCATGTTGCTACGGCACCTGACAGGGATCCGATCCCTACAAGAGGAACATTATATTCTAGGCGCCCGCCCTCCCACTGCCATGGGTAAAGGGAAACCACAAGTTGAAACCGTTGCCATTTTGGAGGGGTCCAAATCAAAGATTGACACGCCCATTTCCGGGATCTTCTCCAAAATGTTTAGGGTGGACTATTTATGAAACAGAACCAGAACATTTCATTTTCTGTGTATGCCAGATTTGGAGAATCCGCATGAGTTTCAGCTTTAGGTGTTGGATCATTTTCAGTGGCAAACAACATGTTTCGCAAGTGAGTTGTCCACCTCCGGACGAAAAGGGGCTCATTTGGTTTTATGTGGATGTGGAAGACATGTTCGCGATTCTTCTTGCCTCTGGGAAATGAAGCAAGGCGTACTCTCACCCTAGGGCCGAAAGGACTATGGCGAAGGGCTACCTGTTACCTAGGCTCATGACCTCTCCAACGCGGGCTTTTCAGGGGCCCTCCAATGAAGAACCAGAAGCAATTCCTCAGGTGCCCTTGAAAACCAATCCATTTTGAAGGCCCAAAAAACCAATTGGGTCCGTCTTTTTTTTAGGGAACCCCTTCGGCTGGCCTGAAAGGGAAACCAAAAAGCAAAGCCATTTTGGGGGGTCCACCAAAAACACACACACACACACCCAATTGGCTTGGGACTTTTCTGGTGTAGTTCTGCATTTCCTTGCTTTATGACGAGCTCACCTGGGACCCGTAGCACAAGCTCACCGCGGTTCCGGTCGGAGCCAGCAGTCAAGCGCCTCCAAAGCCGAGGCTTCGGGCAGGTGCAGATGCTTCTCTCGTGCGCCTTGCGCTTCGGGTGTGAAGGGGCACCCCTAGGTCCCCCAGCAATTGGTGCCCTTTCTCACCCCTTTTTTGGTGAGGGTTCGGGACCCTACTAAAATAGACCACAGCAAAAGTTGGTACCCTAATTCCAACCTCTCAAATCTGGACCTCGCCTGGGGTGCCTGGTGCCTTTAGCGCCTTTCCGCGGGTGTTCCGTGGCCTTGGGCGGAATTTTGCGGGGTATCCACCGCAAATTCCGGCGATTCTGCTGGTGCCTTCCTGAAGACTCAGAATAAGACTCAGAATTCCCCTAGACAAGTTGGGGTCATGACCCCCAAAAAGCTCTTTCAGGCGATTTGCCCCTGATTTTAGGGGTATAGTTTGAGGTTCAGGTTCTCTCTTTCCAGAAGTTGACGGCGAGGTGTTGGAGGATCCGCTTGAAAATGATGGTCGGACGCTCGATTTAAGAAACCCTGGCGGAAGAGACACTTGTGTGGAAAATCGGTGTTGAGGTTGCCACTCACTCTGAGCGGCCGAGGGAATCGCCTGAAACTAGAATTACAAATAGTATCTTTGGTGCATTTTGCTTGAATGTTAGGACTTTCACTTTTTGCCAACTAATGGGTTTTCCATTAAACCACTAAAAGTTAAACTTTTAGCAGGGGAGCAGATTTTGCAACCAAGGTATGAGTATGGAAATCACTTCTGCCCCTCGCAGAATGTTGGTGCCGGCCCATGAAGGGCTTGGCGGATTCCCCGTGCCAGGTACGACGGCTTGAAGTCGAAGGTTCAGGACTGAGGGTGGATCCTGTTTGATGAATGGCTTGAAACAGGATGCTGATGTTCAACCATGTTCTTTGTCTTCGACCGCCAAATTTGGTTCATCGCCATTCTGAGAGTGTTCCCTCTCAAAGTGCAGGATTCCTTCAAGAATCCGATCCCATTCTTCACGCACCAGTTGACGGGTCCTGGGCTTCCATTCAAGGCCAAGAAGGCGAACTGAGGCCAGGAGACAAAGGCCGCTAGCTGGTGGTAAGGGAGCCGTTGGGGAGCTCGGGAGCTACAGGAGTTCGGCATGGACATGCTCTTGGGTGAGGGTTTCTTTGGGTGTGGCTTGTCCGGGAAGCAAATATGGGTGTGGCTCAAAATTAAACAGCAGGGGCTACGCAGGTTTTGGTCCATGTTTCCACTTACCAGGGTTCCAATTTGGTACCGGTTTTTCGAGCCACAGCCATATGGCTGTTTTGAACGCCTTTTCTGACGGATCTTCAAGCTTAAGGCAAGGCAGAGGAGCGAGCATCCCCAAGTGGGATACCCTCCCACCAATTAGCATGGAACCTGGCACAGGGGTCCCTTTAAAAGGAAACTGGTTTTCCAAGACCCCTGTCAGGTTCTATGTTAGTTGGTGGGAGGGTACCAAGTTTCTGGACGTCGATCAACAAAAACAACGCCCAAAGCTGGTCCCTTCAAGCAAAACGAGTTTCTGGACCAGAGGGGGTCCCGTGTAGTATCCAGGGCTGAAGTCCGTTTTTTGGAACAAGCACGCGGGTCCAAGTATCGTCACTTGGGCCCTTTTCAGCCCAAAGACGTGCCCTTAAAATGTGTTGCGTGGCCATGGCTCGTGCATGTACCAAAGCTACTGTGGATGGACAAAATCTTGCACCACCTAGGAAATGCTGACATGGTGATTCTCCTGTAAATGCCAACAAATAATGGTTTGGCGTGGTTTCAAGGTGGTGCAGGATGTTGTCCATCCACAGTAGGGGCCCTGTTTCGGTTAACAAAGCCCATGTTGTCCAGGATGAATACCACTTAAAGGGGCATCACAAACATCCTTGAGCAAGCTACAAGAAAGGATATTCACCTCATGACAAGGGAAACTTTGAGGGTCCAGGAAGATGCAGTGTTTGGGTTTCGGGGGGGTTTGACTTTTGTCTTTGCGAGGACCAGATTGCAGCTGGCAACTGCACGCCCCTGGCGGCCGTCTCGGACAGCTTGGTGCTCGAGAGAGGGGAGGGAGATCAGAGGGCAAGCAATTTTCAGAAGGAAACGGATCTGGCCTGGGGTTCAGGCAGGCCACCATTAAAATTCAATGGTTGGGTTGGTATCACCATTATTTAAGGTTCATGATTTTCCTCATCCACATTGGGTCCTTGCCATTCTTTTCAAGGGTTGAACCCAGATTCTGGTTTGAGGGCCGGGTCCCATATCCCCTCCGCACATTACCAGCGATGTTTCCCGGGGAAGATTTTGAGAAGCAAGATGGTCTTCGCCAAAGGCAATGGCTCCTTTTGTCAGCCGGGGTTGACCTTGTAGCCTTGAAAGGGGGCCTTCATGTGGCAGTCTGGCGACTATTGGATCACATCGGACACCCGTCAGCTGGCCGCGGCAGAGGCAAATATTGGCCTGAAAGAAGGCGTGCAACTGGAAATGTGGAAAACTTTGCTTTGTCCATGGACAACATTGCCCTGGAGCACTGGATAAGCTTGCTTGGAGGTTGAAATTTGCTAGTTACGTCCTTCAAGTGGGATTTACTCAGAGACCCACTGATTGGGCTGTGTCTCGTTTTGAGGGTATCTTTTTTAGGGCTGGCTTAAAGGGAAAGAAAAGGACACCTGGGGCACGTTGGGACCTGTGAACCGGACGAAATTGGTCACAGCCAAAAGTGCTTCCGGCTATGATAGGTAGCCAGGAGAACCATCATGTAAGAAGCCCTGGATCGTGGCAACTGGAGTCTCCTCCAAATCGAGTATATTTACCTGGACCCTCAAAATACCTTTTAAATCATGGGTGATTTTCGCTTTTATGGGTAGGTTGAAGGTCCAGGCAAATAAGTCAATAAACAAGCATATAGAGATAAGTCAAGTAAATGACTGGGTAAATACCTGTAGAAATATATATATATATATATATATATATACATGTATATGTGTGTATATATGTATATGGTCACCCCCCCCCCCCCAAGGGCCTACCTTTCCTCTCTTCTAGTTTAAGGTGTCAAGTCTACTCCGTGTGCCCCGTTCTTGCAGATGCCTGAAAACACTGTAAAATACTGTGTTTCTGTTGGTGTTTTCAGTTTCGAGTCTGGCTTTGATTGAAAACACTGGTTTTTACAGTGGTTTTGAGTACACCACGGAAAACATTGAACAATTACGTATTTTGCGGCTTTGAGCTCTGCAACCTGCACAGACCCAGAAGCACAAAATCTGATGAAAATGAAAGCTCCGACGTGCCAAACAAATGTCCAGACCAATTTTGTGAGTCTGGGGATATTTGCCTGATTTCTTTCCAGACTAAGCTCTATGCCAATTCAAGTCATATGTGGGAAGGGGTTCTTACATAAATAATTTCTTATGTGCAAAAGCCAATTGAAATCTGTTTGCATTAAAGTATATTTAAACTCTACTGAAATGTTATCTTTTCTTATTTGGACAGGTACTCCTGTTCAAATTCTGATCAACTATAGAAGTTATGGTGAATTATGAATTGTGGTGAATTATGTCCTTACTAAATTCTATTCAATATTCAAATTCCAATCGGAGCAAAATCTGACGTGGACAGGAATGTATTATTGGACTTGTTGGAGGACTCCCGGCTCCAAGTTGTAAGGCTTGCAGAATCCAGCATTAGACAGCTCGAGGATTCTGATCGCCAGATTCTAGGTTACAGGTGTTTCAAAATGGACAGGGATTAGAGATCCAACAAAATGCTGTAAAACACAGTGTTTTGAAGAAATTGCTCAGATTGTGTTCCCTTGGACCGAAGACTGTTGTTTCCACAAACAGCATTTTTTCGCTTCAACATTCCAATTCAATTCGCAGTATTTGGAGAGGAATCTATATTTGGACATGTTGGAGGACTCCCGGCTCTAAATTATGAGGCTTGGAGAATCTAACGTTAGACATTTCGAGGGTTCTGATCTCCAGATTCTAGGCTACAGGTGTTTCAAAATGGAAATGTCAAGCGACAACAAAATGCTGGAAAAAACGTTGTGTTTTGCAGAAATTGCTGAGATTAGATTGTGTTCCCTTGGACCGAAGACATTTTGCCTCCTTCAACATTCCAACTCATTTCGGAGTAAAATCCTTCTTGGAAGTTCTGATCTCCAGATTCTAGGTTTTAGGTGTTCCAAAATGGAAATGTCAAGCGATGAGAGGTCCAACAAAATGCTGGAACAAAACGTTGTGTTTTGCAGAAATTGCTGAGATTAGATTGTGTTCCCTTGGACCGAAGATTGTTTCTTTTCCCAAACAACTTTTTTCCCCAAACAACATTCCATTTGCTACGCATATTAAGCCTACACAAGGTTATAAACTTGAAGGACAGTTTATAAACCTTCTTGAGTGTTTGGCGTTTTCCCGCAACAAGGCAACACCCTGGGAAGTCAACAGAGAGTGTATGAGCTAGAGTCGATGGGCTTGGTGGGAGAAGGTCAGTGCGACGCCTGCAGTCTGGGTGCTACGCAGTGCCAATGACAAGTGGGCGGCCACAGTACACGATGACCTCCCCGAGCTCGACACGATCTCAGGCGCGAAAGATGAGGCATGCCGACTAGTTTCACCACTTGTAGGAACAAGGCGCTGCGTTGAGCGGTTTCAGTCAACACCCAGTACATGTCAATAAGCTTGAACACACGGTTGGAGACATATCATACCTGGGTGAGCCGATGAAGGTTGAACTGAGAGGGGGATCGGTCACCATGGATTACACAACGGGCCTAACGAGCAAAGGCACTGCTGAGGCAGAACATTGCAGATTCCTGTCTTGCTGGTAGTGAGGAGTGTGACGCAGGCATGGTGCGGTGTGTGGACTCCCATTGAGGATGAGCGAAACCGTCCATTGGCAACGCTGTGTCTGCCATGAAGAACAGGCACTTCAAGATAGACGCCGGAGTGGGCAAGATGATTGACATTGGGAGAAAACATGTCCAGAGAGCATGCTGCTCAAGAGGCACCTCATGCAGTGCGCGTATGAAGATGGAGCGCTTCTGCATGTCATGGACGTCCTCAGTGTCATCCCAGAGGAGTTGAAGTCGGGCAAGTGGACGGAGGAGAGGTTTTTGTCCGCGCTCAGAGTTGCGGGAGTAGATTGCGCCCGCGACTTGAAACGAGACGTAAATGTCAAACCGAATGAAGCCCTGAGCAAGGCTAAGCCGCGGGCGATCATATCAGCAGGGGATGCTGGTGTGATACGTCGCATTTTCGCTGCGGGAGTCCTTGAAAGGGTGTTGTTTGAGACACCCGTGTACGAAAAGCGGTCGATAAAACACGCGACCCCGAAAGAGTTCGCCTGCCGAGCGGGTGAAATGCTGCGCAACTACGACCACATAGCCAGCATGGATTTCGGGGCGTTCGACGGTTCGTGCACAAAAGAAGTCAGGGATATGATTGAAAATGACATTATCGTTTCAATGTTCTCCATCCTCTTTGGGACAGAGAATGACAAGGGCCTTTTGTACCAAGCCGTCCATGACCGGATAAAGGACAAGGCCCACGTCAACGTGAAAAACGTCATCAAGGGCGTGATATTTGACATGATGCGCGAGTCCGGGGACCGCGGGACATCAGCACATTTGAGCAGCTCGGGAAGAGCAAAGGAGGTTAACACCCTCTTGTGGAATTGCCTTACACGCGTGAAGTGTGCATTGTTAAAAACTTCGCCCCCCCCTCCCCCCGTCCTCCCCCCCCCCCTGTCCCAGACTTCTCAACCTTCTTCAGGGTGCCCAGGTGTTGCCAGGTGTTGCCTTGTTGCAGTGAAACCGTCACACCCTTGACATAGTTTATAAACTTTCCTGAAAGGTTATAAACTCTTCGCTGGTGCTACTCAACAGACTTGTCACCCACACAAAAAGGTGCAACAAGAGCACCCCTTGTCTTTAAAATACGAGGATTCTGTGGAAAGGTAGGCCCTGCGGGGGGGGGGGGGGGGGTGTTTAGCATATATATATATTTTCTATATTATTCTATATACATGTATACGTATATGCATATATATATATATATATACATATATATATATATATACATATGGTAGTTGGACTAAATATGAAGCTTCCCGAGCGAAGCTTTGGACCTCCAACAGAGTAAAATTCTGTACATCTCCCTCCCGCATTTTTCTTAAGAGAATCCGGACCCGAAAAAACTCGCCAGAGAAAGCTGGAACGCACCGGCCACAAGTTTGGGTGGCGAAAACATGTCTCACGTTGAGTTGGAGTTGTGAGGGTCCAGGAACTTACCTCTTAAAAACACAACTTTTTCAACTTTTTGGGTAACATGGGCTATATGTCTGTAAAAGATTAACTTCCCCAGGGCTTGGAGTTTTAAGGGGCAAGGGAATAGACACCTGATCTTGAATGCGATGATCCAATCCTTTTGGGTTCAAAGGTTGGCCACAGGAATTCGGGAATTTGAGGGAAATCGGTGCGTGAACATGTGCGCGCCGTGGTCAAAGCACTCTTTGACTTGGGGCTATTGGAGTTGCATTGATGGAAGCATGCACCCGCACATACCCGGGCCAATTCTGGCAACCTCAGTTTCTTTCATGTAGCACCTAGTTTAGATCGTTTTTTAATATAGTGCTGCGAACCTCAAAGCAATGATGAAATGTTGGGGCAGGAAGGAGTGATGATTCCCCTGAACAATGGATTCAACCATGGTTTCATTTCGTGGTGCAGGATTTCTTCCATCCACAGTATGGCTGTGTCCCTTATGGCTGTGTCCCCTTTTGATGGAGGTGGCTTTAAATGGAAGCCAAAAGTAAATCCAACAGTCTTGGGGATCTCAAGCTGGTTAGAAACCCAGACTATCACCCACCTGCAACTAGGTAACCTCATTTCGGGGTGTCTCCCCTTTTTGGATGGTTTTAAACGGAAATACCAAAGGACACCCTATTTGGAGGGGTCCCAAATTTGAGAAACACCAATTTAGGGGAATTCTATGTGCGTTGCACCCCTGGTTTCAAATCACTTGCTAACCCGTCCGCCCCGACCTCGATCCATCTCCACTTCAGGCTCTGCATCAGTGGTGGCGCCGCGACCTAGTGTTCTCGGGCGGTTGACAGGCATTCCTGGGGTACTCACTTCCTGAGTTCCTGCACTTCATACTTTTTGGGAAGACCGTTTTGGTGGCAAACAAACAGTTTGGACTACTGGTCAATGCACTTAGGAAGTGAGGGTAGGTGGGACCCTTGTAATGGTTCCATATACTGTATATGTAAATACATATATATATATATATATAACTAGCAAAATGTACACACCTGTACTTGGATGACCGCACCACGTCAAACTAGTGGTGGCGGTGTTTTTTGTTGCTATTTTTGATGGTACCCCTGTTTTGTGGTTTTCAAGGAAAACCCCAAGGAAAACCATCACTTTTGGGGGTCCCCTAGAAAGACCCCCCTGCTAAATTTCTTCACTTACCCAAACCCACTTGGGGAACTTATTATTAGCTGGGGATGTTAACAGCTTTCCAAGGCGTATAGGTCCTACAACCCAACCAGGCTATTTCACACAGCTTTTCCTGATGGTGTCCTCTCTGGTTTCTTACTGTAGTGGTCACTGGACACACGAATAAATTCCTGGTCATATTAGGGGTTTTCTTGTTGCCTACTTGCGTACCTTTTTTCAGAACACAGAGGCTGCTGGAAGATGAGTTTTCCATGTGGGGCGGCTAAAGTCGGCCCTGACTATGGAAACCAGTTGTTGTGAAGGGAGTCTCGTTTCTAGTGGGTTTCTTTCTTGGGGGAGAGCCCTTGCTAAAAAGCTGGGGGGTGAACCACCAGAGTGACACACGGCTCCAAATTTCCGGCGGCCTTATTGTGACTAAAAGAGGATTTCGCATTTCGTGGTATCGGGCGGGGCTGGATCAATGCTTTTTCATCTCACAGCGACCCTAGCAACCCTACCCTTGCTGTGGATAGACGAAATCCATTTCGCACCACCTAAGAAACCACAGAAAAATCGTTTCATTCGTGGGTTTCTGAAAGGCGGGGCAGGAACAGTGGATTTCACAACATCATCCACAGTATTGTGTCTACTTTTGCGGAGAAGCCACCATCTCACAGCGACCCTAAGAACCCGACCCGTCCCTAAGATATATTTTTTTGTTCGAGTGTGTGTTCGAATAGACCCCCCAGTATCACTCGGACATTGGAAGGGCTGGGGTTGGGGGCAGCTCTGAGTTGGAGAGTTGCGACGGAAGATTCCGTTCGGGTTCCGGACTGAATCGGATTAGATTCTAGGAAGGTCCCTTCATAAATGACGCTCTTGCTCAAAAGTCTTCAACAAAATCATTTTTTTTACGGGTAGTTTGCTAAATTCCAACTCAAACATGGGTGAGTTGCAACCCAAACTTCGGTCGGTTTTGACGGGAAGCAATTCAAAGGACACCATTTGTTCATCCATTTTTGGGGATAGCATCCCCTTTTGGATGGCTTCAAAGTCGGACAATCTAAGGGAACTTGCCCCCCCCCCCCCCCCCCCCCCCACCACCCCCCGACCCCCCCCCCCCCCACCCCACCCGGTTGGGAGGCGTCTCGGGGATATTTTGAGGTGCGGAAGCTCTCGCCCCGCGCGAGCTTCGAGGCCGGCACAGAACGCACGGACGAGCCAAAGAGCTTCTGCTAGGAACCCCCCGGCTGGGTGCCCGCCCTTTCTCACCCAACTTTTTATTGGGAAAGGGAGGGGCTACGTGAATTAGGACTAAACCTAGATCCCCCAGTAGTACCCTTTCTCGCCCAACTTTTTTTGGGAAGGGGCTACAATTGGGCGTGAAATGGGACTAAACCTAGGTCCCCAGTAGTGCCCTTTCTCGCCCAACCTTTTTGGGGAAGGGGCTACAATTGGGCGTGAATTGGGACTAAACCTAGGTCCCCCAGTAGTGCCCTTTCTCACCCAACCTTTTTGGGGAAGGGGCTACAATTGGGCGTGAATTGGGACTAAACCTAGGTCCCCCAGTAGTGCCCTTTCTCGCCCAACCTTTTTTTGAAAGGGGCTACAATTGGGCGTGAATTGGGACTAAACCTAGGTCTCCCAGTAGTGCCCTTTGACCAACTTTTTTGGGGAAGGGGCTACAATTGGGCGTGAATTGGGACTAAACCTAGGTCCCCCAGTAGTGCCCTTTCTCGCCCAACTTTTTTGGGGAAGGGGCGTGAATTGGGACTAAACCTAGGTCCCCCAGTAGTGCCCTTTCTCGCCCAACTTTTTTTGGGAAAGGGGCGTGGATTGGGACTAAACCTAGGTCCCCCAGTAGTGCCCTTTCTCACCCAACCTTTTTGGGGAAGGGGCTACAATTGGGCGTGAATTGGGACTAAACCTAGGTCCCCCAGTAGTGCCCTTTCTCGCCCAACTTTTTTGGGGAAGGGGCTAATTGGGCGTGAATTGGGACTAAACCTAGGTCTCCCAGTAGTGCCCTTTGACCAACTTTTTTGGGGAAGGGGCTACAATTGGGCGTGAATTGGGACTAAACCTAGGTCCCCCAGTAGTGCCCTTTCTCGCCCAACTTTTTTGGGGAAGGGGCTAATTGGGCGTGAATTGGGACTAAACCTAGGTCTCCCAGTAGTGCCCTTTGACCAACTTTTTTGGGGAAGGGGCTACAATTGGGCGTGAATTGGGACTAAACCTAGGTCCCCCAGTAGTGCCCTTTCTCGCCCAACTTTTTTGGGGAAGGGGCTAATTGGGCGTGAATTGGGACTAAACCTAGGTCTCCCAGTAGTGCCCTTTGACCAACTTTTTTGGGGAAGGGGCTACAATTGGGCGTGAATTGGGACTAAACCTAGGTCCCCCAGTAGTGCCCTTTGACCAACTTTTTTGGGGAAGGGAGGGCCTACCCCCTGCTAAAATAGACGTCCAGAAAAAAGTTGGTGCCAACTTATTCTATTCTGTCTACTGGAGGACCTAGCTGAAACCCAGAAACAACCCCGGAACTTTGGGTTCGGGTTTTATACCAAGGGAGCTCACCAGCCATAATTTTTCATGATGCAAAACAGCGCTTTTGAGTTGGAGATTTGAGGGTCTAGGTAGTGGTGAATAGCTTTACTTCATAAAGCCCATAGAACGGGGACGTCGCTGGGGATATGATTCACTTACTAAGTGGGGCGGTGATCTAAGTATAGGTCCTTTACCTTCCAGCGTTGTTCACCAGGTTTTACACGATGGGTTCCTCTCTGGCTTCTTACTATTGGAAGTGGGTAGGCAAACACTGGGCTCCGGCCGATTCTCAGCCAACTTCTTCATTTTGGATGTGGATTTCGCCAATGTCTTCCCACGTGCGGTGGAAACCACGCTTTCAGCACTTTTGCAAGACCCATCCAGAAAAGCATCAAAAACACCATAGAGAACCAAGATGATTTGCCCAAATGGCCAACAAAGAGTGTTCCTCATTTTCCTTGGAACCAGGAAGGCTCATTTTGGTGAAGGGTCTTGCCACTAAACGTGCTTCTTTCCTTTTTTTTGCGAACCGCAGGTTTTGGGGTGTAATTTGAAAGTTGCCTTCAGAGATATAATACTGTGGATGGACGAAATCCTGCACCACCTAAGAAACCCTGGAATGATACATTCCCCTATCGTAAATACCAACAAACTTTATGGTTCCCACCACCACGGTTTCATTTCGCGGTGCGATTTCTGGATTTTGCAACCGCCCACATTCGGGGTGCAATATTCCTTCACTTTTGAGGGAAATCACCGCCCTGTTGATCCCCAAATTGTATGAATCGATTAAAACAAAACAAGGTATGTTCGACCCAATGGCGGGTGTGGTCATGCAGTCGGGGACCCGGGGACGGGGGAAGCTATCCATCCATGTGCGTACCAAGTGGCTATGTATGCCAAAAACAACAGGTGATTGTATGGAGCAAAAAGTCTGGCTATATGCCAAAAACAACAATGATTGGTTGTTGTTGGACCAGGGTACAACCCTACGAGTGACCACAGCCGCTTGAACGCTTGGTCTACTGGCCATAGAACTTTTATTTGGCGGCTAAAGCGTGGCCGTACTTGCCACTAAACCGCTGGTCCCGGTAGCGGCTTGGGTATATAGTGGAAACCATAGTAGAATCTGAGCAACTGGAAATGTCCTGTAGTCTAATGATTTGGAGGGATGCTCACTCGCTCAGATCGAGCTGGCCACCCGCGTGCGGGAGGAGCACATCCAATTGCCGGACCCTCCCGTGCGCCCAGTTCATGCGAGTCCCTAGGTTTTTCCAAAGTACACCTAGCTACGCTTTCAACATGCCATGTTTTTTTTCAAGAACATTGGGTGCATTCTGACAGATTTGGGGCTTTTAAGTGAATTGCTCCATGTTTGGGGCGGGGGTCAACTCCAAACACCAGTCTCGAGTCTCGAGTCTCGGGAGCATGGACATTCCGGCTCGAAGGCCATCTCATGCACTAGCTTTCTCTTGGGTTCCTTCTGACAAGCGTTCGGTGGCGTTCGGTGCCCGTTCTCACCGTTTCTTCTTTGGGGAAGGGAGGGTTCGGGGTTCGGGACCCTACTAAAATAGACAAAGCTGGAAAGAAAGGGTACCAACTTGTTCTAACCTCTCTACTGCGGGACCTAGCTCTTGTAGTTTCAGCGTAAAATGGTCCTGTTGGAGGTATGAGTTCAGGTCCAAGAAGCCAACGAAGAAGCGTGACACGGGGTTCTGGACCCTAGAGGGTTTTGGGCCGCTTCTTCTTTACGGGTGCCGGTCAGAAAATTTGTCTTGGGATTCCAGGCTTCATGATTAAGTTCCCAGGTTTTGACTGGCAAACCGGGGCCCAGTTGCCCAGCGGATTCCTTTTGTCATTTTTTTCGGGAAAGGCTCCCCTTTAAACTCAACCAACCAACAAAGGATGCCCATTTTTTCCTATGGCCACTTGTTCAAACTGAGTGGGAAGGCCAGAACCAGAGTTAGACCACCGGGACTGGTTGCGATATTCTGCTTACCAGGTTGGTTGAACATCCAAGTATCCTAGGGTTGCCCCAATCCAGTACTTGCAGGGTCCAACAGGGGCTCATAGTGTTGCTTTGGTGTGCCTTTTTTGGGGAACGGGGCCTGACAAGCAGGGGGCAGGAGTACCTTTCATGGCGGATCAAACCCTCGCACTACCCCATACAAAAAGCAAATTCGCCAACCATAATTTTGAGTTGCAGTATCCCAGTTTGAAACTCGCGGATCTGGGCTCGAGGTATTGAACTTCTCGCACTACATGCGGCCCTGCGGCAACTTCGCCAAGAAGAACTGCTCGGGCCCAAAAACGCGGCCGCTCAGCAACAACGCGGCTCACCGGGAGTCGCCAAATGAAACACGATTGAAACCTGGGTCGTTTTGTTACATGGATTTGGGTAGATGATTTAATGCCAGGTTTTGACGGTGACTCAAATGTGTCGCTAGAATGAACGCGGCCCCCACTTATTTGCTGGTTCCATTGGCAGGGAACGAGAAATGGAATGAAGCCCCGAAAAACGCCATCCCTGGTGGCTGCCAATAAGGGGAATCTTCATTCCCGAACCCCCAGGTCATGACCCCTACTGAGCAGCCAGCTTGGAAGTTGATCCCTTCTTTTGCGTTGGGTAAAAACCTGAAAGGTATCCCACTTTTGCGGGGTAAAACCTGAGGAGGCTGGGCTTCTCCAGGGGCGAAGGCCCGCTTTTTTCTGGGCAGGTTGACGTCAAGTTTGGGTCTTGGAGCCGGGGCTGGGTGTCTCTCAACAACTCAAGTAATCTCAACATCAGACAGATGCGGAGTGCAAACAAGGGGTTCCCGTTTGGGGGTGAATTTACACACTCCATGATTTGTTCGGGTAAACCGATTTTCTGGGACTACATATCTCAAAATCCATGATTTTCTGTGTACTGCAAATTTGGCTCACGTGCCCAAACCCGACTTGTCACTTTTTGGTTTTCCAGTTTTTGTCCATTTCTATTGATGGCCCAAAGGTTATCTGGCCTTTTGGGCCAAGTTAGTTGGGCCATGGTTGGTTGGTTGAACATAAGTTCGTCCAATCTTTGACATCGCATAAGTTCGTCCAAACGCGAAGAAAAAAGAAAAAGATCGAGTGGGATGCCTAGAGCACCAAACAGGCAGCATTTCCGCCGAGCATCAAAGCGCTGCATCTCCTAAAACTGTTGGGTTCTTCCGGCAGCGTCAGCAAAAGCTTACATGAACGCAGCTGAAGATTCTCCCGAAGCCTGTTTAGGTTTCCTACATGGAATCAACTCCAGGAGACCAGCACTAGACTTGACAACTCCATTTCTGGCGCACAAACCTACACCAGCACAGTCCCCACATCTGGACAAAGAGACGCATGCGCCTGGGGAGATGAGGCAGTGGTGCTCACGAAGAGGCTCCCGAATGACGAAGCGTAGGTTATCCCAACCGGTGAGGGACAAAAAGTAGGGTGTCAAGAACCCCCTCCCCAACCCGTTCGTTAGCCCCTGAATTCTTAAGATTTGAAGGGTCAACAAAAAGACCCCCCCTTCGGTTCTTGCCCTTCGTAAAAGAAGTGCTCGTTTTGAAACCGATTCTGCCACCTAAACAATACTAGACATAACTCCCCTTTTTGCTTCTTTGCCCTGGGTGTCCTTTTTTGTTTTGACCAAGCTGTGCCTTTCAGGTCAGACGACTCGTGCCATGTTGACCCCAGATTCGTACTTCTGGTTGATTCACAGGGAGGGTGTTTTCTTCAACTGGAAACTCGGACGCCTTTTGGAGGTTTCCCCACCCCGCCTATGACTAGGACGGGTTTTATCAATCTCGGGTTCCCAGAAACCCCCCGCCCCAGCCCCAAAATCGGCGCCGGCCACCCGCGAATCGCATCCGAGGCGAGTTCAGCGTGACCTTCTCCTTCGACACGGCCTCCATTGGGCTCTCCTCCTCAGGCCGAGGGATCTCGACGGAATCAAATCCCTGGACCCGAAGGAACTACCTGGACCCTTGAATTTGACCATAGGCTGTGAATTTGACCCTTGAATTTGACCCTAAGAGACCCTGAATCGATTCCCTGGACCCCTAAGAGCCTAAGACCCGCTTTTTCCCGCACCCCCCCCCCCACCCCACGCAACTTGAATTCTGCCCAGGTGCTCTCTTTTTTTTCCCTGCCCCCCGCCAACGGCCGTCTCGGTGGAAACATGCGCTATGTTCCAACGCCAGGCTGGGGCTCCGAGCCGGAGATCAGGTACCAGGTGCTGGCGATGCCCAAAGCCCAGGGGATGGAAATGCGGAAATTCCCACCACGGTTCATCCCCAAAACCCGGCGAAAAGTCCTTCCCTACGGGTTTCCTTGAAGGGAATCCCCAAAAAAGGGTTCGTTCCCAAAACCCGGAGAAAAGTCAGTCCGCACCTAGCTATCCCACCAGCAAGTCTTTTTTTTTCTTTCAGAAGCGTTCCCTTTGCCAGGGTTTTCGAGCCGTTGCGCTTTGAAGGGAACCTCCAAAAGCGATCGTTTCAATGGACACCACCAGCAAATTGATCAACTTTATGATTGGAAATCCAGTGACCCCTGGTTTCCACTTTTGTTGGTTTTGCGAGTTCCCCTTTTTGGTGATACGATGCGTAAACGGGACATATAAGAAGCCTCTTTTTTTTCCGCTTCGGCCAGGTGTTCTTTTCTTGGGCTCGTTAGGTGGGCAGTTTAAATGTGTTTTCGCGTCTAAATGTTTGGTCAGTTTCCCGAGGGTTCCTTGCCCCCCATTAAAACGAAGGCCAGGACCCAATGTTGATGATGACAATCCTAAGGTAAACAATGGTGGTAATATGAACCTCCATTGTTTTACTTGGGTTTGCTTTGAAGTGACCGTTTTGTCTTTTTCGAGGCGGGGATAGGTGTCCGACTCGTTGGGTCAGTAGGCCCATGGTTGTTTTTGGTGTAGGGCCAGGGCCGAGGTGGACGTAGGCGGGCGTAAGGATGGGTGTGTGTGTGTGTGTGTGGGTAGGTGTGCTTTACCAACTAGCTGGTGTTTTCGTTTTTCGGGAGGACCAGAATGGGGTGGATCACTCAACCTTCCCACAACAACCAGACCACTCAACTTTTCGTGTACCTTTGGGCTGGTTCTCAGTGGGGAAGCATGAGATCTGCAAAACAAGTCGGGATCTCCGGGGAAGTCACCAGCTGGATGGTTCAGTTCTGGACCCGCGGTTCAGCCCGGTCAAGCCTTAGCACTGACCCTGTGGTTCAGTTTCCACCACGAAAAGCAATGGGGGTTTCCAAAAAAAAACCTCCTTGGCCTTGAAGAAAAGCCCAGAATAGGTCCTGGGGTTCGGTTGCAAACGATGGTTGGGTTTACAACACCACCATTGTTTACCAAGGATTGTCGTCATCTAACTTGGGCCCTGGCCTTTGTTTTGATGGGGGCGCCTCGGAACCCCAGGTTTTTTGTCGCATACGGAGACTCATCCAAGACACGAAGCTAAGGAACCCGCAAAGGAGGGGCGACATGTTTTTCTGTGAAAAGGAGCAAAGGAGGGGCTGTTGAGCGGATTTTTGTCATCCAGATTGGGTCCTGGCCTTTGTTAATGGGTGCGAATCGGACCCCTAGGGCTGGGTTGGGAACTGAACTCTGCGAAGCGATCGTGACACCCGAAAAGGGTATCACCCTGTGGATTTGGACTAGAGAAAGGGTCACCTTGGATGGATGAGAAAACAACAACTAAAGCAAACAAGGGGAAAAATACAAAAATATGACCTTTGGTGCATTTTGCCAAGGGATGTTAGGACTTTATAACTTTTTGCCCACCAATGGGTTTTCCGTATTCAACCACTAAAAGTGATTCGCTTTTAGCAGGGCTTCGCAGATTTCGCCACCAAGGGACCATGGCCCCCCCCCGAGTTTCGGGCAGTGGCTCGGGCCCTTTGTCCCCAAGGGAGCCGGCAGAAGATCTGCACCCGGACCTGCCGGGAGCCCCGGAAGTGTGGGTCAGCCTTCGGCTCTTTTGGCTCCCATGGTGGGATCACGCGGGGGTGGCACCCCCACCTTTGTGCTACAAAGGAATTCCCCTTTTGATTGCGGGGTCTTGGGAGCCCTTCTTGTTGTATCGCAGATGTCGTTTCCCACAGCCCTGGTTTGACTGGTTTTCTAGTGCAAGGGACGCATACCTTGATCTTCCAGAACCCTGAAAAAGCAGGCCTTTGCTTGATTTTCCGTTTTCAACCAAGAGCAAAATCAAGAAGGACCCTGTTTTTGCAGGCTCTTGGAAGACCAAGGATAAAGGTATCCTCTCTCCCACTCACAAAACCTGGAGGAAATCCATCTTTGTGGTGTCCCGCACTCTCCGAAAGTTGGGTGTTCAACGGTTAGGCTGCCCCCCCCCCCCCGTGAATGTGGGGGGTAGCCTGAGTGGGTTATAAGTTATAACCCAGGTGTTACTAATTTGGCGAAGCGAACATCCAAGTAGTTGTGCAAGGGACCCTGTCCAAGGGACCCTTAAACAAACATACACCACACCACCAGCACCCCCCAATGGCTGGCCATTGGCGCCAAGAAAAGAGAAGGTCACTTTTGAAAAAGACGGAGCCACCGCTGAAGGAACAGAACTGGCACACCACGAGGTCAATTGGAAGGATTGGTTTCTTTTGACTGTTCTTCAAAGGCCACCCCATGGACGAGCGCCAAACAACAACAGGCCCCCCCCAATATGAGCCACGTCCTCAAAACCCGGGTAAGTGAAGGTTAGGGATGGTCCCAACCATGAATGCAGCTGCCTGTTTAGTTGTTTGCCTGGCTCCGGGTAGGCCATTTCGCTACCAGGTTTTGAGTATGATTCATATGAAGCTCCGTCAACATATATCCAGTCGATGGTGTGTGGGTTCACGCCTGTGTAAAGCTTGGTTTTTGGGCCTTTTTTTTGCGATCGCAAAAGAAGCCCACTCTAAAACCATCGCAACAAATTTTTAAGAAGGCTTGTTTCCCACCACAACAGCAAAAGGGTCAATACCTTTTACAGGAGGCCTCAGGCTGGTACAGTGGATGGACGAAATCCTGCACCACCAAAGCAACCTTGGAATGATTCGAATCCCCTGCAAATACAAATGGTTTTCCGTGCTTCAAAGTGGTGCGAAATGGATTTCAGTATGATCATCGACCATGTTAGCTAGGTCCCCTAGTAGTGCCCTTGCTCCCTTCTTTGGGGGGAAAGATTCCGTATGATGGAAACTAAGGCTCTATTTTGCAACCTCCTCTTTCATTTAATGTATTGATGTTTAGGTTTCCAGGCTGCAAAATAAACTCTAAGTGTCCATGGCACGGGAGGGTTCCCCTAGTAAAATAGACAACAGAAGAAAAGTTGGTAGCCTAACCTCTAACCGCTCAACTGGAGGACCTAGTTCGGCTTCGGGTGGCAGCCGCGCCGAGCTTTGGCAACCCTCCAGGCCCTGCGGGCTGCTGGCGGCGAAGCAGCAGGACGCGCCCGACGCGAATCCGAATCGGCGGTCCGGGCACAGGTGAAGGGTGGGAGGCCCACCTCCCGATTTTTGTGTTTTTTGTCTTTCCCAGCAGGGTGTGCTTTTCTTTGGGGGGGGAGGGGGGGTGTTTGGGGGTGTTTGGGGGTGTTTGGGGGTGTTTGGGGGTGTTTGGGGGTGTTTGGGGGTGTTTGGGGGTGTTTGGGGGTGTTTGGGGTGTGGGGGTGTTTGGGGGTGGGGGGTGTTTGGGGGTGTTTGGGGGTGTTTGGGGTGTTTGGGGGTGTTTGGGGGTGTTTGGGGGTGTTTGGGGGTGTTTGGGGGTGTTTGGGGGTGTTTGGGGGTGTTTGGGGGTGTTTGGGGGTGTTTGGGGGTGTTTGGGGGTGTTTGGGGGTGTTTGGGGGTGTTTGGGGGTGTTTGGGGGTGTTTGGGGGTGTTTGGGGGTGTTTGGGGGTGTTTGGGGGTGTTTGGGGGTGTTTGGGGGTGTTTGGGGGTGTTTGGGGGTGTTTGGGGGTGTTTGGGGGTGTTTGGGGGTGTTTGGGGGTGTTTGGGGGTGTTTGGGGGTGTTTGGGGGTGTTTGGAGTCCCCCGCCAGGGGTGTGTGGCGTAAGTCGTCGGTACTGTGGATGGACGAAATCCATTTCGCACCGCTTTGAACCCATGCTTGAAACCATTGTTTGTTGAATACAGGAGAATCGTCATTCCAGTGGTTCTTAGGTGGTGCAGGTGCGGAAAGACGGTGGTGAAATCGACATGGGTGTCGCAACCATCCACAGTAGGGACTTGACGGGGATACCGAAGGCCACTTCCCCGAGGTTCTCAAAATGGGGTGGGCCGAAGCTACTGAGATAGTTGGCAAACCAGCTGGTCACCTGCAAACAAGCCCTCCATATGGGTGTGGCTCAAAATAAAAAAAGGAGGGGCAAACCGCAGGTTTTGGTCCATGTTTCCACTTACCAGGGATCCATTTTGGAATTCCGGTTTTCTGAATTCGCCACAGCCATATGTGGCAGACCTTATATAAATCTATTGCAACGTCTTCCTTTTCTCCTTGGCGGGGAAAAGGACATTTGGATGCCCCCAGCTCCCGAAGGGCTCTCTTCCAACAAGCTACGTAACTAGGTCCCCCAGTAGTGCCCTTTTACCCTTTTTTTGGGGGAGGGTTCCCCTACTAAAATAGACTACAGAAGAAAGGGTACCCTTATTCCAACCTCTCTACTGGAGGACCTAGGTAAATGCTGTGGAATAAGTTGAGTCTTGTCAAACTTGATCAATAAGCTGTCTGCGCAGGACCGCGTGCTCGCCAGCGCCAATGTGAAGGCAACCGGTCAGCAAGACATTTCTGCGGCAGGGCCTGTGGTTTCTTTGACAGGGTCCTGGGGCTTAATACCGATGTGTCTTTTCTAAGGGTGGAACCCCTTTTGGCGTGGTTTTAAAGGGAAACCAAGAGGAAAACCACTCTTTTGGGGGGTCTAGCCTGAAAAACGACGAGCCACCCATGTGGAGAAACCAAGGTCTGCACCACGACTGCCGAGGGAAGCAAGTATATGGGACGATTCAAACGTGACCAGCACCTGGACCTAGTTTGAAGGTGAGGCAAAAGGGCCTAAATTACCCAGGGCTCCTTACAAGATACATTTTGCCAATTTGAATCATGGCATTTTCCAGCAAAATAAAGGGAAACCACCATTTACAAGGCAATGTTCAGGTCGAAAATTCCATTCCTCATTCCCTAGCTCTTGCAGCGATCGCAGCGATCCTAGCTCTTGCAGCGATCGCAGCGATCGCAAGTTGCAGGTGGGGAAGTACAGCTGGCGGCATCGGTTGGAGGGCACCTTGGAGTTCGAGCGGGACTTCGGCAACACGACCCTGGTGGCGGGGTGAGGGGTGAGGGGGGCGATGGATCGATGGATCGATGGATCGATGTGACTGGGTTGGGGTTTTGGTTGGGGAGCGGCTTGGGAGAGGAGCTGAGCGAATGAGGCTGGAAGAATTGCTGTACCTGTAGTCTCCGAATCTGACCCTTGTAAAATGCGGGTCCCGGATGCAAAGGAACACAAGCCGTGACCAATTGGGGCTTAAGGACGGTTCAAGGACGGTTTTTAGGGGGACAGAGCGCACAAGGCCAAACAAGGCAGAACAAAAACAACTCAATGCACCCCAGGTCAAATAAGGCAAAACCAGGGCCTTGTAAGGCTAAAGAAGGTCAACTCATGCGAGGTAGTTGCGTGGATCTGCAGGCCCAGAGTTGGCCAGTTTTGCTTTAAACCAGGTTGCTTTGAAGGATTTCTTTGTTGAAACAATAGGTGTTTGACATTGCCTCATCCTGGGTTCTCCTCCCAACTAGTCTGTATGGGGTCAACTAGATGTGGTTGAGACTCTGTCAGACAGTATGATTTCTGTGTACCTTGTAGGCCAAGAGGGGTCAACACATGGCTTCCCCAGAGTTAGCCCCCCTTTTCGCTTTTTTGCTTTTTTGGGGCTCCCTTGGTTTTCCACTGACCAGGCAAAACATATATATATATATATATATATTTGCTGGGGTCCGACGTTTCCAGGCGAGATGTGTTTGATGCTTGATTGTTGAAGGTTTTCCCTGAAGCCAGTTGCGAGCTTGAGCTTCCCCGGTGCGTTTTTCAACTGTGGATGGATGAAATCCGTTTCGCACCACCGTTCAGACACCCTGGAAGGAGTCGATTCCCCTATAAATACCAGCAAAAAACGTGGTTTCGATTGGCTTCAAAGTGGTGCGAAATGGATTTCGTCCATCGACAGTAGGGCACCCTACAAAGGGTGGTTTCCCTTTGGTGTCCGGCCTTTTTCGGGTGGTTTCAAGCCATGAGGTGAACGTGCTGGCGACCCTGGTCTTCCCTTCGGGCCAACTGCTCGGGGCGGGGAACCTCGACCGGGGCGAACAACTTCGCCATTCTTTCGGTCGAGGGGATTTGCTTGGTGCTCCCGGCCATCCGGTTCCTCACCTCAGCTTTTTGTTTTTTAGCGTTTAGTGGCTGGATTTCCATTTTTCCCCACTAAAAGTTCTCACACCAAAAGTTAAGATAACTTTTGGTGGGGGACCTGAAAGTGGACGGCAGAGTTTGGAGGGATGAGCCCAGATGAAGCATTTCGCAACCATCCACAGCCCTTGGAGATCCACAGTCCTTTCCTTAGGCGGCCAGCTACCGCGCGGTGGAGCTGGTGCCAGACCAGCTAGGGACGGGGAACCCGGCCGGCCGCAAAAAAAATGACGACCCAGATGGGGCCTTGTTTCCAGGTGCTGTTCTTTCCTTTGGGCAAGTGAGTAGACGAGGGACTCCCATTTTCCTTTTTGGGGAGGGGTCTTTGGGTGGGTGGGTGGGTGAGTGGGTGGGTGGGTGGGTGGGTGATTTGGTAGGCTCCCTCAATAACCTACGAGGCTGCGTGCTACCGTCCCATTTTTGAATCTTCACTGCTTTATCAAGGGCGTTTTCGAGTATGGTTTTGAGGTATTGTGGATGGACGAAATCCTGCACCACAAAAGAAACCCTGGAATGATGATTGCAATGTAAGTACCAACAAACATTGTGGGTTCTTTCCCATGGTGGGTGCGGCTCGGATTTCGCAACCATGCACAGTATGGATGAGATACCAACCCCTACAAGGCCTTTGACTCAAAAGGCCTCAAATCAAGGGTCTTGGGACTGTAGGGACCAATACAAGCTTGTAAGGCAGTACACAGAAGCCCCTTGTACCAGTGCTACTGTGGATGGTTGCGAATCCATTTCGCACCACCTAAGAAACCATGGTTGCAGCCAAAACGTTTGTTGGTATTCAGGTTGGGGAATCACATTGCATTCCGTTGCGTTTCTGAGTTCGGTAGCGCGAGACTCGTGGATTTCGCGAAACCATCCACAGTATAACCATTGTGGAAACCACGAACCAAGGCGCATCCGAGCAACAGACTTGGATCCGCCTGGTTTGCGTTGGAAGATCCTTGTGATACCACCATGACTATGTTGCCACTTATGCGTCTAAATGGGTAGTTTTTTCAACCAGAAGAAGGGAGCAGGGTACTTAGTAAGTGGCTAGCAAGCCTGGTTACAACCCACAGAACGGAGACTTATAATAACCATGGCTTTTGTGGGTAACCAGGCTTACTAACCACTTGCCTGACGTACAATGCCCTTCAAAGAAGGATTCGTGGTTTGGGATTCGAACCGGTCCCTGGCTTTTGCAGAGGGTGAATGGGAACCCCCTCCTCATCCACTCAACCACCGGGCTCCAAACCACCTCTTTTTTGGAGGGGAAGCTGATCCATCACACCCCTCCAAACCCCCATCGCCCCTTGAGGTACCATCACACCCCAATTTAAGCCCACGACGCGTTCGTCGCGCCGGCGTCGGCGCGCGCGCGAACGCGTCGCGAACTCTTCAGGAGCCCTCCGCAGGTGCCCTACATCGCGGGCGGCATCGCCTGCGGCCCAAATGAGGGTCACCTCGTGGTTGTTATTTTTTTGGGGGGGGCTTTGCCACGTGCTTTGTTTTTTGGTTGTTTCTTGGTTTCATTCGTTCCTTTGGCAGGCCAAGCACCCTCCCAAATAGGATGCAACCCTCCAATGGTGGTCCAGTTGTACCTGATGTGCCCTTGTGTTGCCATTTTGGGTCTCCAATTGACAAGCCTTGGTGCTGGTAATCTTTATTTCGTGAGTCACAGCCCCATCTTTATGGCTCTTGGGCACCAAGAACCTTTGGAAGTGGAGAGCGCTTTGTGGGCGATATTTCGTTGCTTCGAAAAATGACCTCCAAAAGGGGCACCCCGAAAGAGGCGCATGCAGAAAACTATAATGTAACAAACACACACACACACACACATATATATATATATATATTATGTTATACATGTATATAGGTATATATATATATGTATACGTATATATATATATTTATACATATATATATATACATATATATATATATATATGTATGTATATATATATATACACGCATGCATGTCCGTTTGCTGAAATGAGTATTTTGTTTATTTTCCCCGGTTGGTTTTAAAGGGACGCGACTTCCTATTTCATTTTTTCCGGGGACTTCAGCAATGAAAGTATATGGCACACACACAAACACTGGCCATATATTGGTATACACATTCTACGCATGACCTATGGGTTTGGCTGCCTTGGCTTCCCTCGGTGCAAAGGCCTTGCTGGTGGTCATTTGCTTGATGACCAGGAGCCGCAAGGCCGGGTTCCACTGTCGGAGTGGCGATTGCACGCGGGTTCGTTTGCTGGTGATCACTGGGGCGTGTTGTTGTTGAGGGTAAACGCTTTTGGGGGTGGTTGTAAAGGAAAGCGAAAGGGACAACCGTCTTAGTTCTCAGAAGGGGGTTTCATTGAAAGGTATCCCTACTGACAAGCCCTTCGCAAGATCAGGAGTTATCAAGCTGGGTTCTGTGTGTTGTTCGCCCTTCGGATAAAACTAGAAATGTTCAGCTACCCGCATTGGAATTTCATGGGGGCTGGGGGGGGCGGGGCGGGGTTTTTTTGGGGCTTTGGGCTCCCCCTCCCCTCTCAGCCCCCATAAGAATTGGTTGGAACTGTTTCAACATTTCGTGTCCTGAGCTGCTGCTGAGCCTGAGGGTTGGGTGGCTCTCCAAAAGCCATGGTCAAAGGATCTTTGGGGGGTGAGAAGGGCAAACTACTTAATAGGGTTTGCAATCTCCCTGCAGGGAAACAGTGTATTTTGCAGAAATTCATCCGATTGCAGATGGCCTTCTGGACTGATCCGCGGAAATCGCAAACGTGGCAACACGGCAGGCGCTTTCCACCCAAAAGAGATCGCATTCTTGACCAAACAGATGTCTTTTTTGGCGTTCCTTTTGAACATCTGCTGGCGAGAAGATGTTCCAGGTGCGAACAAGAAGTCCAACACATGTTGCCGCGCATAGTAGGCTTCTGAAACGCACGTTTGTTGGCTTTGGTGATAGCTACCCCTACAACTGACCCCTTTTTCTTTTTTTCTTTTTCTCGCGGTCTTCTTTCCAAGATCAACCAGGCACGCCTGGTCCAAAACACACGAATTTTGAATGTTAGCCGTAGCCATGCCAAGACTTCATGTCAGCGTACTTTGGACACACGCTACATTCAAGGACTACAGTCGGACGGATGACATTTGTTTGGTTGGGTTTGCCCTGGTTCCCTGCTAAGTGAAACTCCTTGGCTTCAACCACGGAGTATGCTGAGCCGGTAGGTCCAAACACTCGGGCAAGTGAAACACAGATCAGGGGCCCAGCAATTTTCACGGCCGGACCTGGGTATGGGTCAACATTAAGCCACCAGGCGACCGCAGGTTTTGGTCCATGTTTCCACTTACCAGGGTTCCATTGTGGGTACGTATTTTTGACCCACCCCCACCTTTGTTTGATTTGGGCCTTGGTTGGCCGTGGCAAGAATTCGGCGGTCAGGCCGGCACAGGCCAAGCCCGACAGGCGCGGAGGGATCGGATGATTGGATGTAGGTGTCGCACGAGGCCTGCAGGAGAGAACTCATTTACTTCCACTTAAGAATATGCTGGACTTTTCCCTTGTCGGTTTTGGTTCGGGAGTCGATTTCACTGGGGATCTAGCTCTCATTTTCTGGGGGGGCGAAAGTCCGAAAGGCAAAACCGGGGGTTCAGTGGACCAAGGTGGTTCTGGACTCAGAAATGAGTCTTCAGAGTTGGAACCGTCACACTCACTTGAGTGGGGCTGGACCACTCACGAGCGGCCAACAGAGGCCTGGCGTTTTTTGTTTGCCGATCCGCTCACGTGAGCCGTGGGTTTGGAGCGCTTCCAGGTTGGAGCACTCGCCCGGTGCTTCCAGTTCAAGCCATTGTAGCAGGGGAGTTGGAGCAGGGCTCCTGAAAAGAAATTCATGTTGCAGCCATTGGAAACATGTGGCTTTTTCAACAAAATACAGGGACACCACCATTGACAAGTTGCAATGTTCAGGTGTATAATCTAGGGATCCCTGTGGAGGGTAAGAAATGCTGGGTTCAACCGGTGTCTTCGATTGACAAGCCAAGACCCTGCCAGCAATTCTCAGAAACTTGTGTCAGTCTAACCATCCAGGTGCTTCGCCACCATAGCAGGTAACCTTGACGGATTTTACCTTCGACATGGTGGTTTCCCCTGCTTGCCTACGGGAGTAACTGGATCCACTAGGAGGAAACATCAACTCCTTAGACTTGGCCCCGAGTTTTCGTGGACCATAGTCACTTTTGGGGTCTGGACCATATTCGTGGTATATAACGAGTTTAGTTGCTTGTTTTCGCCAATCCTCTCGATCGGAAGTGAGCTCAAAGCCCACTCAACTTGCGCAGGTTAGCCTTCAGGAGCCCATCGAGATGCAGGCGACCTACGACCTCCACGAGGATTCATGGAGCGCGCGCTTATGCGGCGCGCACGCGCACGCACAGCAGGGGTGCGGGGTGTGCACGCGGGGGCGCAGCCAAGCACTCATGCACGCTGCGCAACCTCTGCAGCTGGTGCCATCGCAGCTGGTGCCAGCTGGTGGTGGCGACGCCCTGGGATTTGGGATGCCCAAAGGGGGAAAGCTTCCTGGAACCTCCATCGTAGCATAAATTTCTGCCTCCCCCCTTGTTCGATACCAAAATTGACTCGACGTAGCACTTTTTGCCTCCCATTCGCTTCCGAGCGCTTTTTGACGATTCGGGCAGAAATCCCATTCGGCCGTGTTTTCTTCTTCCCCATGGTCAAGTTGCCGCCAAAACGGGCGCAAAAATGTGCAAAAAAAGTGCAAAACGAGCGCAAATCGGCGCAAAAAAGCGCAAACGAGCGCAAATTCAAAAAATGCTACGAATCGCAGGTAGCAAATTGCATTTGCGCGGATGTCTCGAGCACTTTCTGTTAAAACGAGCGTTTTTTTGAGAAGAACGCGCCACGAGCAAAAATATTTCGTAGCAAAAATTAAGGTAGCAATGGAGGCTCCAGGTTAGGTTTGATCGGTGCCTTCATTCCTGCACCGTGGCTGTTTCTCACGGACCCCTCGCTCGCTCCACCTTGAAATAATGAGAAACCATTGCTTGTTGGGATTTCCGGGGGAATCACCATTCGTTGGCTGCGAAGCGGTACATGATTTCTTATCAGTCTGTGATCCTGCGTGTTTTCGATCGTGTCGAGCACAATAACTTCCCCAGCCCATTGCCTCGGTTTTGCCTGCTGATGTAGGGACACCCCAGGGGAAGCACACAACATGGGAAAACCCCTTTCCCCTTGTGTTGCTGGCTGATCATTAGAGGTATTCCTGCGGCAAAAGGAGTGGGGGGGGGACAGCATCAGGAGACTCATTAGCTTGTGACGCCCCAACCTGAGGTCTCCACCAAAACTACGTAAGATTGTAGAACAGACTGCATACCCTCCCACCAACTAACATGAAAGTGCAAAAAGGCCCTTTTCAGGAGGAAAGTAGTCTTTCTACAGGGGTCTGTGCACTTCCATGTCCCGAAACGGGGGGTTGCGGGTCGCCGGCCAGGACGGTGTCACAGGGCTTCTACAGCAGGAGCATGGCGGCTACGTGCCGCCCAGCGTGTGACCGGAAAAGAGTTCAACACCGTTTGGGCCGAGATGAGAAGCCAATTGAGCCACAATCAACACCCGGGTAGATGAAGGTTAGTAAGGGACAATCCCAACCATAACTAGCTGCGGCCGCCTTCTTGATTCTTCACATGGTTCTGGGTCGACCATTTTAGTACCGGGTTTTGATTGTGACTCAATTGGAGGACCTGGCCAAAAAAACATCGCTGCTATTTGCTTGGATCTTGAGACTTCAGCTTTTTTTGGGACAGGTTTAGAATTTCGGGGGGCTTGGATCGGGGTTTTTGGACTTTCAATACGGACGTCTGCGGCTTTGGGCTCAGGCGTTTTCCACGCAGCCGGCTTTGGTTTTACAGGTGGAATGGAGGTACGGCCAGAGGCTTTGCGTGTGATGTTGCTGATGAAGGCCGCTGCGCCGTTTTATTTCTTCTCCACCCTGTCAAACGCCACTACCAGCCGTTATTTTTTTCGTTTCGTTTGTTTGGAAAGCGGAACGATGAAGGACAATGTTCTCACTCTCCAGAGGCAACCGATGCCAGGTCAGGTCCCAAGAATCGCACGTTCATGTGCAAGCTCGCCCACAAGCTGAAGGTTTCTTGGGTTCATCTTCACGGTTGCCATGTTTTCATGTTTTCAAGGATTTTGTTTCTTTCTGTGCATGTTTGGTAGGGCAGCCAAACCCTTGGGTTTCTTTGCCACCATTCCAGGGGTTGAAAAGTCATAGGCTATTCCAATGCAGACAGAACCACCCGGACTTGGCCATCCCGATTGCTATGCCCATCCCGGACAGCGGGCCGGCGGTTCCAGTTAGGCGCGCTTTTTTTTTCCGCGGAGGTTTGCGCTGAGATGGCGTGCCCGGACCCGAAAGACGTTCCAGTCTAGAAATGGGGGTGAATTGCAACACAACACCATGGGATGTGTGAGTTCCTACACAAAGTTTAAGGGTGGTTGTAGATGCCACTTTCTGTGGCGAGGGGGAGTTCCCCAAACGAAGTTGGGATCCCAGCTTGGTGCATATGACAAGTGACAATTGTCCCTGTGGCTTGTGTAGGTATACGGGTTATTCGGAGTTATGTACCTGGACCCTCAAACTACCCCTAAACAAGGGAATTCACCAACCATAATTTTGGGTTGCAATACCCAATGTTTGAGTTGGACATTTGAGAGTCGAGTCCAGGTGCAAGTTCTTGAGAGCTATGTATTCACATGTCCTTTTGGCATAAATGTCATTGCGCCTGTGCTGTGCTCCCAGCTGCCCATTCACACCAGTCTTTTCTTGGGTGGGTTGTCCATCAAAGTTGACCAGAAGGCGGGCACTCGGCACTCCTTTTGCCCCTCGGGCATTCACATGATGCCTGTTCAGTCAGAGTGGTGTTTTGGCTCCCTCCGCGAATCTGTGCCCGTGAAACAACTGTCAGCTGAGCAGCACACAAAGCTGCTTTGGCCCATTTTCATCTGGGTTCTACTAACCTGTTTAAGGGGGGATTCAATAAGCTATGAAATCCTTGAGCTGCGGCTCGGCACTACAAATAGTCAATGGTGATACGGTTGAATTGGCATCACTTCAACCACTAGCCTGTTTACCCGCTCGAACGCGTCGGATGCTTTCATCGCGTTTTTTTTGGCCAGAACCAAGCTTCTTTTAAATGTTCATGACTACTCAGAACTTCAGTGTCTTGTAAGTGATGTCTTGAAACCTTTTTGGCAGAAGCTTGTTCATGACTACTCAGAATGTCAGTGCTTTGTACAGTGATGTCTTGAAATCTTTTTGGCTGCAGCTGGTTCGCGGTTCATCTACACTGGGAGTTTAAAGGAGGATCACACGAGGAATCCGCCAACGCAACTCCACCTTATGAGTCTCCCAAAATAAGTGGGATTCACGCTGCGTACAAGCCACTTAGGACTTATTAACTAAGGATATTAGTCACTTACGAAGCAGGGTGGTCGTCACTGGCGTTCATGCATGTCGAGCAAGGGCAATGTTGAATGCAGTTTTATTTGCATGCATTGCATAGCCGAGCCAACATGGGTTCGTAAAACGGTACTTGGGTGTTCGGCCAAGTTACAATCTTGTTGGGAACCTAGGTTATAACCCATCAATAAGTTCCCCTACGTGGAGTTAACCTTGTGGGTAATAACCCAGGTGACTAACCACTTAAAAATTCGGCCGAACACCTAAGATACCATATACTTCTTTCGGGGCGGAAGGGGCCAAGTTGCAAACTGAGTTGCAAGAGCTGTCGAGGCCATGGACAGGAAGCGACGATCAGAGGAGAATCTCGGCAGAGATTAGTCCATAGACCCCAAAGAAGGCACCAATATGGCTGTGGCTCAAAAAAGTGGTACCATTTTGGGATAGGCGCACCACCCATTTTAGAACCTATTTTAGTGGGGATTGGGATGTTCACTGGGGGTACGGGGGTTTGACCCATGGCCATATGGTGATTTTTCCACGAGGGTGTGTGTTTTTTTTTTTTTGGCAGACCTCGCGAAGGTGGGGATTCATGTCCGCCAACCACTTGTGAACTGGTTGCTGATTAAATTTCATGGCGCCATATCAAATCAGCTGCCGAATAAGTTAGGGGCTCCTTGAGTTTTAGAATTGCACAGGACATATGTCTACAACTATATATATATATATATATATATTATGGTGATGGTCATCAATCCCAGAAAGGGGATTCGGGCAACCACGGTAAAGGCTCCTACTGTGAATGGACGAAATCCATTTCGTACCACTTTGAATCCATGGTTGAAACCATTGTTTGTTGGTATTTACAGGATAAATCGCATCATTCCGTTCCGTTTCTCCTCGGTGGTGCGAAATGGATTTGCTCACGCTAACGGCCAACTCACTTGTCTGCCCTGAGTTCTTTAGCTGCCATTGGGGTCTTTTTTTTTTGTGGCTACCCCCCGTTTTTGGTGGCTTAGGGAACCAACGGGGGAAAACGCCGCTTGACATGTAGTGGTTGGCCAACCCCTCCCAAACCTCGGTGCTTGACCTTTTTGCCTCATGTGCGAGGCTCGTTGGTTTGGGGACAACTCATGTATGGTCAGGGCTCTTTTGGACCCGAAAAGAGTTTTTTCGACAGCCATGAGAAGGATTCCCGTTGAGTTTGACCCAGGATTAACGAAAGCCCTGGTTGATTGATATGGAGTGCCGAATTTGCAGAGCTTCACCTTGATTATTCTGTCCTTTATTTAATCATTCACCAGGTTGATGCGTGCTGGGTCGAACCATAGTTGAGCCCCCATCATCATCAGGAGTTTTCAAAATGGATTTGATCCGCAGGGGATCCTCTGAGTACACAAATTCCGGGGCCTGGGCCATTTGGGGTGAGTGGGCATAGTAAGCCATGGTTAGAGCCAACTTACATGGGTGGAACATCCAAGTCCAAACCACCCTCCAAAGACTCGCCAAGAGTGGCCAAGCTGGGGGTGAAGTTGGTCAAGGGGGGGCTTTCAGGGGCGGGTACGACCTCTGAAGAGTATCTGAAAAGTACTGGATGGACGAAATTAATTTCCCACCACCTAAGAAACCATGGTTGAAACCATTATTTGCTGGTATTTACAGGGGAATCGACTCATTCCAGGGCTTCTGAAAGGTGGTGCGAAGCTGATTTCGCAACCATCCACAGTATGTGGCCATGGGTCATAACCTATGCCTTCATGTTGGGGCGGATGAACACCCATGTACCTCCGATGTTCACCAGGGGACATGTGCTTTTGTCGAAAGGCCGTCCGAGTTTGTCAAAAGGCGGCGGCCTTTTGGGAGAACTGTTCCAATCATGGCACTAGGTCCCCCAGCTAGGTGCCCGACCTCTCACCGTTTCTTTTTTGGTTGGGAGGAAAACCCCTACTAAAGCAGACTACAGAAAAAGTTGGCACCCTTATTCTAAGCTCTGTACTGGAGGACCTTGAGCACTTCATCCGGGTACTTACCCTACGAATCAAAAGCAAGCCGCAATGGTACTTCGAGACTAGGCATGGGAGGGGGCTACTGGCGGAGGGATCTTCTAATGTTAAGACATACATCATCAAATACTCGCCTTTGCTTGGGCATATCAGAAAAGCCGCAGGTTAGACACTACGCGGACCCTCCACATTCCAACTACAAAAATAGTTGTTGTTTATTGCAACCCAAAATTATGGTTGGTGGCTTCCCCTCTTTGTGAGCAATTAGGCCTTTTGTGTCCCGGGGTTAGATTCTTCCACTAGGTTTTTATCCAGTACCCTTTTACCCTTTTTTGGGGGAGGGTTCCCGCACTAAAATAGACTACTGAAAAAAGTTGGTACCCTTATTCTAACCTCTCCAGTAGAGAGTCTCGTCAGTCCTCACCAGCTGCCAGCCTATACGATAAGTTGCTGATAGTTGCATGCCGAAAATCCCCCCGATACTTGTAGTTCTTTCACGTCCCGGGGCTTAGATTCTTCCAGTTTTTGGTCAGGGGTTGACATCCCGCCGAGGAACATTCTGGGCATCTTCGCCGAGGGCGAGTTCGAGGGCACGCGGAAGCGGCGCCAGGACAAGGCCAGGGACAAGGCCAATGCCGCGCCGTGCCCGGGCGGCGAACGAGTGATAATGAGCGACAATCAAAACCTGGGTAGATGAAGGTTAGTAAGGAACAATCCCAACAATAAATATCAGCGGCCGCCTTCTTATTTCTTTACATGGTTCTGGGTAGACCATTTTTGTTTCGGGTTTTGATTATGACTCTAATGTTGCCCCAAGATTAATAAACCCGTTCCATTATGGGGGTCCCTCCAAAAGTGATGAATCCACTAGAAATGGGACACCCCCCTATTAATCAGCCAGGCGTCTATTAATCCGGGGTTAACATTAACTTGTTCTTGGCGGCTCCCAGCGGTTCCTTACGTTTTGAGGCTTTAGCTGGTTTAGTGGGGGGTTCCATTTAGCCCGCTAAAAGTTAAACGCTTAGGGCCTCTTTTGGTTTGCTTTGGCTTTGTGGCCTGGTCGTCTTTGAAGAGTTTACCTGGACAATCAAAGTTCCAACTTAAAAACTGGCCCCACAATTCTGGGATGAATACTTTGTATGGGTAGTTTGAGATTTTAGGTACATGTTTTGGGGTTGTTTGTTCAGGGATGCCAAAGAAAGAGAAATCACGCACTTCGTAGCTTCAGGGAGGGTTAAGGAGAACAAAGCAGGCAAGTACGGAGTCAAGGAGTCAAGCAGTGTGGCAAGTTGTGCTGTCTTGAGAAGGGAGAATGCACTCAAGTCAAAGTTTCCTTTTCTGAACGGAATGGTGTCCACTTTCATGGTACCACAGAACTTGCTTTGAATGATTCGCGAGGGCTTTCAGTGTGTAGCACCGATTTGATTCGTTTCGCCCCACTGGTCCCCCTTCTGCCAATCGGCAGGCAACCCGTCAGGTTGGTGGTTTGGAGCCCGTGGTGAGGATTTGGATGTGACCCCGTAGTTCTTGGAGGGTAAATGGGACACCAACCCGGAACCACCCATCCAATCCACCAACTAGGGGGAAGCTGAAATAGTATTGTCTATGACTTCAGCAGGCCAACACGGGAAACCACCAGTTCAAAAGCTTGGCCTTATGCCCACCCCCCAGCGCACCAGCTTCTGCAAACACGGCACCTGAAAGGGGAAACCAGCAACAAGCAGTTTACGCCGCGTCTTTGCAAGGTTCGGTCATACTGCGAATGGACAATATCCTGCAGTTGGGATGGATAAAACCCTAGGATAACTGAGGGACACCCCCTACTTTGCATTCCTGGACAATTATGTTGTACTTTAGACTGAATATGGACCAGACTCTGACGCATATCAAAACCCTCAAACTACCCATAACAAAGTGTAAAAGGGAATTCACTCCAAAATGCCTAAACCAGGTATACCAAAACCCTCAAACTACCCGTTAAAAAGGAAATCCACCCCATGATTTCGGGGCTCAATCACCCATTTTTTCGAGGCTTAATCACCCATCAAGTATGTACGTAGAAAATATATATATATATATATATATACAAATAAACATGTATATATATATATATATATATATGTTGCATAGCCCAGCCACCGGACGCCCAACAAAAAAAACGCGCCCCTTTTCAGCGGGCACGGGCCACGGTTCACGGCTTTGGACGCCCAAGGAACCTCACCGCCCCGATGAGCTTCGTGCGGGGCCAGACCCTGGCGCCCACCTCCATACCTGCGCCTTGGAGATCTCATGAGCCACGTGCTCAAAACCTGGGTAGATGAAGGCTAAGGGGCAGTCCCAGCCGAAATGGTTGCGGATATCCGCCTTCTTAATCCTGTACATGGTTCTGGGGATCGACCATTTTAGTACCAGGTTTTGATTGCGACTCACATTTCCCAGTCTTTTTTTTGCTGGGCACAGTCACTTTCTCCGGGGCAACCTTGCGAATTCTTTCCATGGTTCTGGGTTCGCCATTTTTGTACCGATCGGTTTTGATTTTGACTCTGGCGCTTTCCTCTCGAGAAGCGGACGGCTGGATCGAGTCGAGACGGACCCCGACTCAAAAATGGGTCCATGGGTCAAGACCGTTTTGGGATCCCATGTTGGGGTTAGCGCACCACCCATGTTGGAACCTATTTGAGAGGGGATTGGGATGTTCACTGGGGTACGGGGGGATCTGAGGGCAGACCAGAAAAAGGGGGTCCATGGCCCATGTATTTATTTTTGGTGGTGACGATGACCATTTTTAAGGGTCATGGAGAAGCCACGGGTTGCAAAAACGACACGGGTTGCTTTGGTGGCCCAAACTTAAACAACTGGAAACACAGGGTTTTCCGTCTTGCTTTCCATAGGTGCATTGTTGGGCGCCCTTGAATGCAAGCCATTGAAAGATGGGGGTTCTTCATTTTTTTGCGGAGGAACAATGGGGGTTCTCCAAAGACCCAGGAAGGGCAGCAATTGAACCGCAACAGGGACTCCATTGTGTGGGTGTTGCTCAAACTTAAACAGCTGGGGCAAACCGCAGGTTAAAAAGAAAGAAAGACCATACTGTGGATGGACGAACTCCTGCACTGGTTGAGAAACCCTGGAAGCATGACACCCCTGTAAATACCAACAAACAATGGTTTCCCATTGATGCAGGATTTCGCCCATCCACAGTGCTTCCCCCCCCCCCCAAAAGAAAAAACGACACATACTCCTTCAATCCGTCGTCCGCTCTCGACGAGGCGCCCAAGGAGGTCAAGGACGACAAGGATGACAAGGATGGCAAGGATGGCAAGGATGACGACTCCGATGAGGCGCTGTGTTCTCGGATCCTCGCAACAAAATGTGTGGGTCAAGACATAGGGCAAGCCCAAAATGGGTTGCCCTGGTAAATGGACAGGACTCAAATCTACGGCCCATCTCCTGGTTGTTGTTTTCTTGACATCCATATCCAGGTGTGTTTTCTCCAGATTTTCAGATCCCCGGATTGGCCGCGACAGGACCCGAACGAACTACCCACCTGGACCCAACCAAAATTCCAACTTACACATGGGCCATTGCAACCCAAAGTTATGGTTGGTGCATTCCTCTTTTTCTTCTGGATAGTTTGCGGGTTCAGGCATACAACAGGTGGGACTTCAGGCATTCCAGAAGTTTGGGTGGCAATAGCCCACTCTCAAGGCTGTTTGTTGGGTCCAGGTAACAGATCAGGTAACTACCTGGAGTCTCCGAATCTGACCGAATCAAACTTGTGCCGGGCCATTACCGAAAATAAAGAATGGGTTAGAAGGACCCATTTTTGATTTGGGTCAGATTCGGAGACTCCAGGTACAGCAATTCTTCCAGCCTCATTCGCTCAGCTCCTCTCCCAAGCCTCTCCCAACCAAAACCCCAACCCAGTCCCATCGATCCATCGATCCATCGCCCCCCCCCCACCCCTCTTAGATCCGGGCGCCCGACCCTCCCGACCCTGACTCGGACCTCCAGTCTTTGCTTTTCCGTTGAGTTTCTCTTCAGCCAGAGAAAGCAATTTGGGCATTTGTCCCCATGTGAAAATCTGGGCGTATCCCGCTTGGGATCTGTTTGGGGCCAGTTGCAACTTTGCAACCATCCACTTTGACCTTCCATCCGGAGCGCAGGAGGCCATAGGGTTTGGTCTTTGGACACGTCTCACCCACTGAAGCTTCCTCCCAGACAACGCGAATTGGGACAACTGCGAAGAAGCACATGCCGCCTTTTGTTTTGGAGTTGGTATCCTTTTCAGGTTGGTTCAAGGGAAGATCAAGAGGAAGCTTGGGTAGCTACACGCGAAGCTGCTATGTGGAAGCAGGCAAGCAAGCAAGCAAGCAAGCAGGCAAGCAGGCAGGCAGGCAGGCAAGCTGAAGCTTGGGCGCTTCAGGCTTGGAGGCTGTTGCCACTCTCCTGTGAGCCCTTGGCATCACCCAGGGTCGCTCCGAGACTTCGAAAGGTGACCGAAGCAGAATGGGAAAGAGATGGTGTTGGGGGCCTTTGGTTTCTACCGCCTTGATGCCACCCTAGCTGGGTCTGTAGAGAACCCCTATTGTTCCTCCCTACACAGGTGGATATTTTTCGGTAAGTGGGTTGCACAGGGCGGTGATGAATCAAGTGGGTTCCCGTTGCTTTGACACAGCTCCTTCAAAATGGAATTGGAGGAGGGGATGACCCCTGGAATTCCCTTCATGCTTCCATTTCAAATTTTCCCTGTGGGATATTGGGAATTTGGAACCCCAGGTGGGGAACTGGGGGGGGGGATGCTCGATAGGCCTTCCGACCCCATAGCCACAGTTGGGTCCTGTTTAGAGGTTCAACCCACGTCGGATAGCTAGGTTGTAATCAAGGCTATATCTGGGGGAACTGGGGTTAGTTGGCTTACACTCATGGATACAACCTAAAGTATCCAACTCTTTCCCAATGTCATCCCCACTGTATAACCATGGCTATAACCCAGCTACTATGCGGGTTTAACATCTAGAGGATTGGAACAAAACTGAAACCAGTTTGGTTGCTCAGCTGACTCGTATATGCAAACGGATTGACCGCACGCTGCTTTAGCCCACAAGGTTTCACTGATAGGCTGCCAGTTGTTTTTCCTTCTTTGGACTCCAATTGTGTTTTTTAATGGTTGCCTGCTATAGTGGCTTTTCCAACCTGGTAAGCATGGGAATGTGTCGGGGTTATGACATGTTTCTCCCACTTGCGACTTCTGCTGCTGGTCCAGCCACAGGACCCGTCCAACTGCAGGTGGACAGCCGCTTCGTGCTCGACGCCTCACTGCCCAACGGGAACTTCCAGCCGGCCGTGGCGGGGCCCAAGCTGCCTGCCCGCCCCTCGACTCGACTGGCGCTCGAGCTCGACTGGCGCTCGAGCTCGAGCGAGCGGCAATCGCGAAATGGGGAATTTTCGCCCGTTGACGTGTCGAAATATGTGTCGAAATGGGGACAGTCGGACACGTCACTTCCTTTTGGATGGCTTTAAAAGGGAACCAACTCAAGAAAACAGGCCACAATAGGGGCCAATGCGCTTGACCGAATTCTATTTGCAGTTGGCCTTGAGAAGTCAGACCGGTTCGACGGGTTATAAGCGGGTTCCGCTCGCTTGCACAGGACAGTCATTTGGCTGTGGGTCAAAAATAGGTGCCCAAAATGAAACCCTGGTAAGTGGAAACATGGACCAAAACCTGCGGTCCCCTGGTGGTTTAATTTTGACCATACCCATTTGGGTATGGGTCAAAATAAACCCACGAGGGGACCGCAGGTTTTAGTCCTTGTTGCCTTTTACCAGGGTTCCATTTGGTACCTATTTTTGACCCACCCATGTCTGAACCCATTGTTGATAGAACCCATTGAACAGGACATAAGCTGTTGCGGTTGGGTTCTGGTAAGTTCTTGGGTGGGGCATGGACGGGGGGGCGTTCTGGGGCTGCTTCTGGGCCCCAGTCGGCAAGCGCGTTCCACGCATCCAGCACAGGGAGAGCAGTTCTTTGGTGTGAAGGTTTCTGAAAGGTGGTCCAAGAAGCGGATTTCACAACCATCCACAGTATGACATGGGATCGTGAGTACTTTTCAACCGTCAGGTAAGTAGGCTATAACCAAGGTAGCTGGGGCAACTGGGGTTGGCTGGCGTATAATCCTGGTAACCTACCCCTTAGGGACCCAGACATAGAAGGTGATCACCTTTTGGGGCCGTGACGAAAGATGGGTACCAATATAGGAAAACCAAAAGGTCAAAAGGTCGGCTTTGGGCACACGAATATAGTGCTGACGCCAGGGTTTGCCTTTTGGCCGCTTTTGAGGAAATCAAGGTACCCTGACAAGACCCTGTCGGGAGTCCGAGTTTGACAACCTTGAGGGCGCCCAACCCACCGCACAGACCACGCACTTCCAATGATTGGCCAACAAGTCTAAAGGTGGATTCGCTTTGGGCAGGCTAAAGTACCCCGCCCCTTTCCCTATGTTATCCCTAGTGGCTTGGGTCCCCACCCAAAGAAAACATCAGCATCCTCCAAAAATGTATGGAAGGCACTAGAGCGGGTCCCGGTGAATTGCCATAGGAACGGCACGCCTTTTGTTTTTTGGGGGGGGGAGGTCTGGGGAGTCCTTAAGGTTTGCCACTGGAAACCCTAGCTTGACATGCGGTCGAAACTCCTGATGCTTCCCTTACAAGAGCCTTAGTTCCCTGAAGAGTGCACAAACCAGTCATAGCCTCCTGTAAATATTACGCAACCATCCACGGTAGCTTGTCCATGGTCAGCCCTGAAAAGTTTTAAATCTGTCGTGTCGCTTAGGGTATTTCGATGACAGCCCGCACTCGGATGTTCAACGTCAGGTCGGTTACAACCATGTTGTTAGAAGTGGTTGGTAACTGGGCAAGTACCCTCCCCATTCCGTGCAGGGGTCCTTCACTTGACATGAGCAAAGTCCATGGAAAATGGCTGGTTTCTCTATTGAGATCGATGGCAAATGGCTTCGGTTTTCCTGTTGGTTTCCCTTTAAAACAAAGCAACACCGAATGCCACCCATGGGAACTGGATCGTTGGAAGCCCCCATTCGAAGCTTCGCACCGGGGCCCCTCAAAACGTGTCCGAATTGTCGGGCTTCTAGTGGTTGATTCCAACCCTTCTTTCCAACCATCGTTCTTTCACAGCTGCTTCCCCACGCGTTTGTTTGATGGTTTCATGAAAAGAGTCGGATCCCTGGAAAGAAGGACCCCTACCCGAATTCCAGTGCTTGAGCGACAATTTGGGCAAAAGCGGAGGTCCAGGGGCTTGGGTTGATCACCCAAACGAGCCGCATCCGCCAAGACTCACCGAGCTCGAGGCAACAAGCTCTCCTTCGGCCAGATGGCCGACAACTACGGGAAGGGCTTTGCCATGCTGCAGACACTAAAATCAAAAGACCTCCAAGATCGATGCGACGTGTTTTTGCTCGGCTTTTGTCTCGTGTGTTTGTTGAGTTTGTGGTGAAATGTGTTTGTGTTTGTTTCTGTGGTTCTCTTCTCTTGGCTTGTTTTGTTGGTATGGTTGTTTTTGTGTTTTTCGTGGTTTGCTTGCTTTTTGTGGTTTTGCACTTGTCAGTTTTCGAGTCCTCTCCTTTTGCCGTGTTTGTCGTCCGTGTTTTTTTTCCCCAACCGTTTCATGGGGTCAATCAAAGCCTAGGATTGGCGTTCCTAGAGGGTTCCGCGCAGGTTTCGGCTGGAGATGAGGCTTGGGCGTTTGCCGCATTCAAAAGTCAACCAAACTTACCGCAGTTGAGATCATGTACAAGGTCAGCCAGAAGCTGGCCATGTAAGCCAAAGAGGGTATAGAAAGCTATGCCATTCAGTAAAAAAAAACTTTTTTATTTTTAATGTATTTGCCTTTGAAACTGTATTTGAAATTTTCCTGCCAGTTGTCCCTTCATTTTCCATATTCTTACTTTGTTAATTTAATGCTTTCTTCATTCCAGTTTGTTCCCATTGACTGGTGGACTAGAGCAGTCGGCCTTCAGTGTTTGCAACAGGATAAATAATCCTAAACCAATCCCTATATTTTCTCCAAAAAGTCAACCCTACAACAAAGTAGTGAGTTTACATTTTTAGGGACCTTGCAACCCTGCCCCCCAAAGACCTCCACCCAAGGGTTAGGGGTGTAATACGCCACGGTGTACCCGTGGAAAAAAAACCACATGACACGCCCAAAAAGCGCGCCTCGAATCGAAGGCCTCGAAAGTCGGAATCCTCGTGGCTCAGGAAGATGGGCTTCACGGGGGGCGGCTTGGGCCGGCACCGGGACGGCATCGCCAACCCCATCGCGGTGCAGAAGCGGCAGGGGAAGCAGGGCATTCAAGACGACGGCGAGATGGTGGACCAGGAGGGAGCTTGCGGGGGGGAGGAGGGAGGGAGACTTGAGCAGCGCAGCTTGTGGGGCGGGGGGGGGGGGGGAGGGGAGGAGGGGTGGGAGGGGTTGTGTAGTGGTATATATATATATATATATTCATGAAGTGGGTTGCTGCCCCAAAATTTTGAGGAATTGGTAGATTCTTGGTTTATGGGTGGTTTGAGAGTTCAGGTTCCTTTTAAGGGAAGGAAGGGTTCCTAAAGCAAATAAAGGGTTCCTAAAAGGTCGTCTTGAAAGGGAGACTTGAGGAGGGGTGGGGTGGGGTTATGTAATGGTATATATATATATATACACATGATGTGGATATACCACTATGTATGTGTGTATTGATTCTATCCATGTGTACACATGTTTTCCCTTAGTAGTGGACCAGAAGTGGAGGATGTTTTGTTTCGTTTTGTCCGGCTCTCTGGGCTGAACAGCGATCCACACAAGGATTTCGGTGGCGAAAAGTTCGGGGCTTGAACATCAGCTAAGCGGCCATAAAAGGATTTCCTTGTGGGGCGAGGTTTAAATGGTAGGGCACCTTGGTATCCTTGGTTGGTTTAACGGGAGTGCAAAAGGACAAAGTTCGGTTCTCCAGTTGCACGGTATCCTCACAAAAAGGCCGTTTGGACTTTCCTCCTTTTCTGGGGCAATCAAGAAGAGCTTACTGTGATGAAGGCTCTTTCCTTGGGGATCCCTTATTTGGGTGTGTCTTGTTTTGAAGGTACCTCTCTGTTTTTAACCTTGTCGAAAGCTCTGTGGTCGAAGCTGAGTGAAAGCGAAAATAGTTCTGGGGCACCAGCATCCCTTCTTGCAAGATTCGACAATTCAAAATTCATGGTCGCCTCTCCCCTGGTCCACACGATTCACTGGAACTCTTAGCTGGTTCGCATGGACCAGCTCGGCTTCTGAGTCTAGGACAGCATGATCGATGAAGCGCCGAAGCATGCTTTGCGTGGAACGCGTAGCCCGTTTGTGGCTCAGATCCTCCCTCAAAGGGCTGACCAAGCGCCACGAGCGGCGCACTCATGAAAACCGCATCACAGCAGTGTGAAAACTCTCTCCGGACAAGCCGAAATGGAGATGAATGCAGCCATCATTCACCACACATTAAATAGACGGAGATCCTCTTACAGATCCCCAGATGCTAGTCGTTAGCATCAAACTCTGGAGGCCTGAGGTGCATTTTGTCCGAGCGCCATGACCAGCATTGAAATACGATTGGACGATGCGGACAGCACCGTGTTGACAGGATCCACGTGGGGCGATCCTGGCCGACCTCTTGTTGTTGCGCTTCCTGGGGGCGGCGGAGTGGTGATGCCCAGGTACAAATATCTGGGTCCGCTGATAGCAAGTGCAGGCTTCCGAGTGGTTGCCATGAACCTACGCGGATTCGGAGGAAGCACGGGAAAGCTCGAGGGTGCTACATTCCGTGATTACGCCAACGACGTTGTGGGTATCATTGAGAAGCTGGACGCGACCAAGGCTCATTTGATCGGCTGGGCGGGAGGGAACCGAATCCAGCGGATGGTGGCTGTGACACACCCCTCGAGGGTGTCTAGTGTTGTGCTGCTTGCCGCAGGGGGATCGGTTGGCCCTGCGCTAGCCCCAGATCTACTGAAGAAAGGTGGACTCATCCAAGTCCCGGGCGCTCTGACCCCAGAGGAGAGGCTCGTTGTCACGCGTGCCATCATGTTTTCGCCCGCGACGCCGGACGAAAGAGTGCAAGAGTTTGTGGACTCACTGGACGAGACCTGGCCGGAGGCTGTCAAGGCACACGCAGAAGCCGCGAGGTCGACTCCCAATGAGGTTTGGTGGTCGGGTGGGGACAGCCAACTCCTCATCGTGCAAGGCTTGGACGACAAGATGGCGCCGGTGGAGAATGGCAGGAAGATGAAGGAGATGTATGGCGACCGCATCGAGCTGGTGGAGCTTTCGGGTTGCGGGCACATGATGGCGTTCGAGAGGCCGCAAGCGTGCGCGGACGCCATCACCGCTTTCTTCAGGAAGTGTGAGCTTCAACCAGAGGCTCCGCACACCAGCTAAGTTCTGCAGCCTCTGCGAGCGAAACACCGCCGGAAACACCCACGATCGAAGCCACGGGGTCGATAGGTATCGGTATCCCTATTTAAAGACGCCCATTTCGGCGATTTCGGGTTGTTAATGTATCATCATTTCCAGAGAGATGTGAGGTCCATTCAAGGCCCCAGTCGGCTTTTGGGGCCAACATGATCTGAATTTTGCTTTTAGACTTTTTCTTGCAGGAAGTGAGAGTACGACAGTCCTGTAAACCTTCCTGTTCACTTGCATGATTGGAAGGAGGGTAGCAGATCAGATTGGTCGCATGCCATTTTGTACCATTGAGGCCCACATCAGGCCCTTGTTGCATGCCTTAAAGTTGCCCTTGAGGCTTTTCCCCTTTTCTCGCGGCGGAAAGCTTCGTGCGGGTCTTTCCCCGCGGTCAGGACCTCTACGGCAACGAGCACGGCTCAACCCGCCAGACCCTGGAGGAGCTCCTGTGTATCGGCAAGAAGCCGGAGTCCAAGGCGGGACGGGTGTTGGTGTACTCCGGGGGGGTTTTTGCCGGGGTTTTGGCCGGCTCCCCATCATCCCCCTCGAAAGATGGCCCTACAGATGGCGCAAAGAGACGATACGTTTCTTTTTTTTGCTGGGCAATGGAGTGAAAATCCCCGATTAGATTTGAGGGGGTTCATAGAACCGCCAGAACGTTTATTTAAGGATCGTCAGAATCCAGATTGGGTCAACCATTCTTTCAATGGGGGTTGAACCCTAGGGGGCCCTCCGTCCCCCGTCTAAAGATGGTCCTAAAGATGGCGCTTAGACGAATACGAGGGGCTTACTCGGCATACACACACACACACAACTTGTCCTTGTCGTATGATCATGATAATTGATTGAATTCGAAAGTACCCCACAACCCCCTTGGCAATGATTTAGGCCCTAGCACCGTTTGCTTGCTGGGCTAAATGATCAACCTTCGAAAGGGCTCCCTTTTTCTAGCAGGGTCACTGGACGATAAGGTGGTCGAAATTAAAGACTTCCTCCAAAGGGAGCATGGCTATGAGAAGTCAGGCTTGTTCTTCTGGTTCCTTCTTCTTCGACAAGGATGACCGCCACCGCCGCCACCACCACCACCAGCAGCAGCGTCAGCAGCAGCACCACCACTGTTCCTATCACCACTTGAGTCACAATCAAAACCCGGATAGATGAAGATTAGTAAGCCACAATCCCAAACAGAAATAGCTGCGGATATCCGCGGAAAGATTCTATAAGCATGGTTCTGGGGCTCGACCAGTTGAATGCCGGGTTTTGAGCAAGTGACTCACCACCAGCAGGATCGCCACTGTTCCTTTGTTGCATTTTGCTTGGCTGTTAGGACTTTAAGTTTTTGCCAACTCATGGGTTTTTCCATTAAACCACTAAAAGTTAAACTTTTAGCAGGGGTGCAGATTTCGCAACCCAGGTTCCTAGCACCACTTCGCGCAACTCGGCCCGGGAGACCAGCAGACCGGCCTTTGCCGACGCGCCCAGGAGCCGAAGATCTCCGACGGCTGGAAGCGCGACGGGAAGCCGAAGAAGCCGAGGCCGCGCCTTTTTTGGAATTCCACAGACGGGACGCCCTGGCTTCGGGCTTCGGGGTCCTTGAGTGGATGGACGGTTCTTTTTTCAGCAGTCTTTGGTACTTACAGGGGAATCGAAGCATTCCAGGGTTTCTTGGGTGGTGCAACGTTTCGTCCAGAGCACCAAGCCTAGATAGAGCTCATTGCCGCCTTGTTTGCAGGGGGTCTTTGGTTCCCTGCACCCACTGGTGCCTTAGCGCATGCCTCCTCAAGTCGCGGAGCAAAATCACCAAAGACCAATCGCTGTTCAGCCAAGGTAGTACGTAGTTAGCCACCAGGGCTATATCCCACATTAGACTAATAAGAATAAGGTTAACTCCACTGAACGGGGGACGTATAGTTGGGTTGTAACCTAGGTTATCAGCAACTTACAGTGGTTATGACCACTTCAACGCCCCCCTACATAGATTTAACCTTGTTATCAGTGGGTTAATAAACCAGGTGGCTAATTAACCACTTACTAACTTGGCGCCTCGAGCGCCCAAGTAGCTCCCTTCGTATCTTTGAGACGTCGGATGTCTGTGGGGGGCCTGCGGAAAGGGCCGCTCACAGGACCCTGTACAAGACCGCAGAGGAGTTGTCGGCGGAAGCGCCCATCTCCATGCGAATCGTGGACATGCGCGGGCCGGAGGCAGGGTGGGGTGGGTGAGGGTTGGAGGCCGGGCCGGGTGGATTTGAAGAAGCGTGACATATCCGCGAGTCGCCTGCCGACAAGGAGGTATGTGACATTGGAAAGCCAAGTTGACACCAGACAACTGTCCGGTACTCTGGAGCCAGGGTGATAGCCCCTGGTTGATGAGCTGAGGCGGGTCCCAGAAAGGCCTTAGTTTTGGAAAGCAACCCATACATCCTCCAATCCGCCAGGTTGATCGGGGCGAATATTTTTCTATTGAGATACCTGGATCCTCGAACTACCCTTGAACATGGGACAACGTGTGTGTGTGTGTGTGGTTTCAAGAGGAAATCAAAAAGGAAATCAGTCATTTTGGGGTCCCCTATTTTGACACAGACCCAAATGGCTCCAAAATAATATGTACAACGGGCAAAACATGCGGAGATCCTGGAAGACGACTTTCCTTAAAGAGGGACCCTCTTATGCATATTTCTAGGGGTACCTTCCCCATTCTTTCCAGGGATCCTTCTTTCTGGAAAACCTCCAGCAACCCAGAAAAACTTTCCTGGTTTTGGAGAAGAAGGATGATTGAACAGAATGGACAAGGAATCAACCCCTAGAACCTTCCCCCCACCCCCGCGCCCATGAACCCCCGTAGTTGTTCGGAGTCGGTCGGGGGTGTGCAGAGACAAGGGGTGTACCTGGACCCTCATGGAATCAACCCCTAGAATCTTCCATGGCGGACAGGAGGGCCATTTTTTAGTTCTCAGCCGCTTCATTGACCCCGGTCGTTTCTGAGGGGTTTTTGTATTACACCCTGGGAGGGAACGCAGTTTGGGAAATGACCCGGAATGGTTCAAAAGAACACGGCGGTATCCGTAAAATGCGCCCTCTTTGGGGTCAATACCCAGTGAGTGAAGTTTCCTAGGCCTCGGTCTTCCAAGAGCCTGCAAAAACAGGGTCCTTCTTGATTTTGCTCGTTTGAAAAAGGAAAGTCAGCCAAGGGCTGCTTTTTCAGGGTCCTGGAAGATCAAGGAGGGTGTCATATCAAAACCCTGAGATCGTTTCTTTTGGCGGGACTTTGCTTTCGAGGTGAAAGTCGCCTCCTCCTTCGCCGAGCTGGCGGCGAACTTGTCCGGGGACAGCGTGCGCAGCCTGTGCCGCGGCGAGATGGTGCCGGGGGTGCGGGGGGTGAGGGGACTTCCCTATACTTCCCACTAAAACATCAGCCCTGCCAAGGGAGACTCACCTTAAATTGGCCAAGAGGGTGATGTTATCACAAGAAAGGGAAAGTCGAGGCCACTGTTGAAAAAGGCGGGGGGGGGGGGGGGGACAACGAAGACTTCCGGGCCTGCAAACTACTGGCTGAAGGCATAGGTGTCCTTTTTGATTGATTTGGTTGAAAAATAGAGGGCCCTGGTTTACCTAGTAGTTCAATCAACTACCAGGGCCATCTATTTTCCCAAGAAGGACACCCATGTCTGCAGGGATGAGCAAAGGAGCAGGAAATGGATGAGCATTTGCCCACTAACCAGCGAGGGAAGGAGCAAAGTTGAGGTTTCCAACCACCAGACTTGTTGTTATGCTAGTTTTGGAGTGCCCCAAACAGGCCAAGGACCCCCTAACACTTCAGGGCGCAAGGGGAACAGAAAAGGAACCCTGTTGAAACGAAGTCAGTCCAAGGCCGACCCTTCCACTTTTTGTGGCTCCCTTCCTCCTTTCGTCGTCACAAAAAAGGGCTCATTTCTTCGTCCACATTGGCCGAACGGTGGAAGTAGCAGTGGGGCCTCCACGGAGAAGGGAAAGCAAAGGCCAGGGCCTTGGCGAGGTTCCCCATGGCGAAGAGCTATACCCTGGGGTTCAGTTGCCACCATTGAAACAATGGTTGGGTTCATAAAACCAACATTATTTACCTATAGTCATCATCTAAATTGGGTTTTGGCCTTTGTTTGGGGTTGAACAGGGTGTAGGCGCATGGAGACTCTTCCAAGACTCTGCGAAGCTAAGGAGCCTTCATGATAGATCAGGGTAAACTAGCAATGATTTTGCAACCCTTATTTAGTTGTTGGCGGAAGCGTATATGAAGCTAGGAAACTGCTAGTTGGCAAGTTCCGGTAAATCCACCAACTGGCTTTGCTGGAGTAATTGCTTGTTTGGTTGAATCCGCCACTGAATCTATGGTTTGATCCGGGCTAGGGTTTGGAGAGGATCCGGGGTTGCAGAAGGGTTGCTGTTGGAGATACCATCTGGATGTGTCGTTTTTTGAGGGAAAGCACGTGGTTGCCCGCAACAGCCCGGAACCCCGTGGAATTTTCCACTGGAACCGGGGCTTCCGATTTCCGCCTCAAGGAAGGAGTTCCGGCACAACACCCGGCTGCTGGTGGCCCGATACGAGGCCGGCGAGGGGCAAACCAAATTTCGGGGGTTCACAACCACGCTAAGGCTACTCCGGGCAATCACAAAAACCCAAAGCAACCCACAAGACTGCGAGACTGTGGTTGGTGAGGGTCCTTTTGCAGGTTGGTGGAAAGGGAATCAATACAAGAACAAAATTGTGTAGTCCATTTTGACATATTCGAGACAAGCCTCGTTCAAAGCCGCGAGGACAAGATCAAGGCGGCGGCGGAGAGGAAGCGACACTGCGAGGACGTGGTGCTGTCGGCGGCCAAAGAGCAGGCGCTCGCGCCCACTGAATCGCCCGGGGGTCGGGTCGCGGAAAAAGCGGCTGCTTCAGCTGGGTGACTGGGTGGCTTGGTTTTTTAATCCTTTTGGTTGGTTTTGAGGGAACCCCTCGCTTTTTTTTGGTTGGAATCCCCTTTTGGTTGGTAAGGGAAAACCAAAGGGACAACAGAAGCCATGTTAGGGGGTTCCAAAGAAAAAGACACACCCGAGGCCGTTGTCCTTTTTTTAGAGGGGGCCCCAGAAAAAAAATAAAGACAAAACACTGAACAAAAAGATAGCCACGAGCTTGAATGCAGAATAGATGCCCAACGCTACCGTTGTGTGTGTGTGTCTCCCTGTTTATCTATTTACCTGCCTGTTGACATTGACTGTTCGATTTGTCCATTTGCTTGCCTATTCATCATGTATCTATTTGATGCATCCACGTATTTGTGCATATCTTTGTCTACCCATCTATGTGTCCATCTGTCTGTCCATGTACGCATCTGTGCATCTACCCACCTTTTTTTTTATTTTATCTACGTAAGCTAGTCTAGTCTAGTCTAATCTAGTCCATCTATGTCTCTGTCTATCTGACTACCTATCTATCTACCTGTAGCCACCCAAATGGTTCCCTTGGTTACAGCTGGAGTCTCCACGACCCTTTGATAAGTTGGGTCATTGACCAAAATCAAGGGGTCATGGACCCGTGTTTGACTCGGGTCAGAAGGAGACTCGTGAAAAGATCCACTTCGCTTCCAGATCTTCGCTTTGGGTTTTCAGGAGCGCCTAGCGACGGCCAGCAGCGTCAGCGAGTCCGAAGTAAAGACCTGCAAGGAGCGACAACCCGAAGGGCGCTGATGTGGGCGGGCGGCCGGGCAACGAGGGATGTCTTGGTACTTATTTGGGTTTGTCTTTCTTTTAAGTACCCGCTTTTGGTTGGTTTTAATACTAAACCAAAAGCAAGGCCATATTTTTTATTTATTTTGGGGGGGTCCCCGAAAAAAAAGACGTGCTTATTTGCATGGCTCGTCTTTTTTGGCTGGACCCCCACGATAGATTTTGGTGTTCCTTTTGGTTTTCTACACCACAAAAAAGGAGTTCCCATCAAAGCGACACCCATTTGAGTGCTTGGGGGGTTGGGGCCAAAGTACCGAAGAAGCTGCCCTCTCCACAAACATGAGTCTGTTCCTTACGAAACCCACGATCGGTGGGTTCCATGTTAGCGAATCCAGAGGGTACCTGGGCCGGGCTATTGCCCCAAAATTATGGTCGGTGAATGCCTTTTTATGGGTAGCTTGAGGGTCCAGGTAAATGGAATCACTGTGCAACCCAAGATCTCCTTTTAGGCTCCCTTCCCAAGTTTCAGACGGTGGTGACAAACAAAGAGTCACGATCAACCTTGGAAATGAATAGGGCGGGCGGGGGGGGGGGGTTACAACTCCCCCAGAAGTGCAGGATTTACTGCAAAATGGGACACCCCCTTAGTAATGCCAGAGGTTTATTAGCTCCATAGCCCTTAGTTTGACTGTTTATCAAAGAGTAGAACTGGGGTCATGTCCCTGCAACCTGCCCCCACCCAACAGCCTGGACGTTGGCGACTTTTGGGGTCTGGAACACTGGCTGGGTGCAAACAAACCCAGTTCTCCCCGCAAACAAGCCACCTCGACTTGGATTGGACGACTAGTTTGGCGCCACTCGAGTGAGTGCAGAGAAATGACCCCGGGACCGGGAAGTTGTGGGCGGCGAACTCACCTCAGTCTCCATGACCCTGTAAAAATGGGTCCATGACCCCTTCATTTTGAGTAATGACCCGGCCCATTTTTCAAGGGTCAGAAAGAGACTCCAGGCAGAAAGTTGGGCTTTGAACTGTCCACTTCCAAAGAATTTCGGGATCCGAAAACACGCCTCCGAAAACACGCAACCCACTTGCTACCCAGGTCCTCACTTCCTGAGTTCCGGTTCCGTTCCTGGACTTTTTCGTGACTTTGAGGGGTCTGGGCCGATGCTCGGTGGTGAGCCAGAGCTTTTGTTTTTTTTTCTAGGGGACACATCCCCAGTCTTTCCAAAAAAGATCCGGATCTTTTCAGAAAACCATCAGAACCCCAGGGGAAACGGTTGGTTTTTGAAAAAAAAAAGATGGTTGAAAAGAATGGGAAAGGAATCAACCCCTAGATTTTGGGCCAATCCTCTCGAGAAGTGAAGCTCGGGTCCGGCCGGTCAGCGGCTCAGGAGCTGGTTTTGGAGATCGAGCATCTGCGCGAGCGCCAGGAGCGTGGAGGGCAAATGGCTGTGGTTGTCAAAACCACTGGTATCCCATGTTGGGGTAGGTGCACCATGGATCCATTTTAGAACCTATTTTAGTGGGGATTGAATTGGATGTTCACTGGCACGGGATTTTGACGCATGGCCAAATTTGGTGAAGATGTCCTGCCTCATTTGGCTCCAAAAATGGTACCCTCCCACCAATTAACACAGCCGGAACCTGACATGGGAGGGGACCAAGTCCTGGGTTCTGAAAACTCCCCTCCTGGGGACACACAAGTATTATTGACGGAGCGTGTCTCCAATCAAAGTCTGCAGTGGTTTCCTTCCAAAGTTCCTTTGGTCTCTTGTCCGATCTATGTTCCCCCCACCGGTTGGTGAATCATCCATCCACACAAGCGGCAGCTTATGTGTGTTTCCAAGCAAGAGATTTGCTCAATTTCAGAAACGTTTGCGGTCAACGACGTGTCTACGGCAAGCACTGCTCGGTTACCCATCCACTAAGTTTTGGACCTTATCCTGGGCTCCGAAGCCACAGCCTGACAACATTTACCGATCGGAGCCAGACAAATTTGGCGAATTTGGGCAGCTCCGTTTCACTGGTCGAATGCGCCGACGCATTTGCTCGGATGACCGCCCGGCTGAAGTGATGAACATGTCCCTGGTGAATGTTTAGATTGTCCCCATGGGCTGTACGAATGGCACATCCCGCTTGAGGGACTCATTCATGGCGGATATCAACTGCTGGCCGCATGGCGGGTTGGGTTTAGATACACTGGGGGATTTCAGGGAGGTTGAAAGGACTGCGGGGGGGGGGGGGTGCAGGGGTGCTGTTTGTTGTTTTTGTTCGGTGCTGGGACCAATTTTGGTCGATTTGTTTTTTCGCCCGGCGCGCTCTTTCGCCGCTTTTCCCCCTTCTCCTCCACCTCCTCCTTTTTCTTTGGCCTTCTTGACTAAAGGCTCCTCCCTCGCCTTCGTGGCGGAAGGACGCCGGTTCCGCGTTCCCTTCGGCGGTTCGCAGTTCGGTTCGCGGTGCGCGGCGCAGGACCAGGGGGGCATCGGGCTGCAGGAGCTGGCGGAGCGGTTTCTGCATCTCCGCGCCTTGAGGCCCAAGGAGTTCCAGGCGCGGGGCGGGGGGCCGCCGGGCCGGGCCCCGAGGCGCGAGGCGGGGGCGGTTTTTGAAGCCCGGCTTCCTGGAGTCTCCGGGAATCCTTTTAAAGGTAGGTCCATGACCCATTTTTCTTTAGTTTGGGGTAAGGAGCCCTTTGCTCAAGGGTCATGGAGACTCCAGGTGAGCGACGTTCTAAAACTTGAAAGTAGTATTCGGGAGGAAATATCGTTTTCAAAATGTTGACTTTTCCCAGGTCGCGGAAGCGCCGCGCAAGGTTCGCGGAAGGGGTTTCTCAATTACTCGCGGAAGCTTCGCGGAAGGGCTACGATTCAATCGCGAAAGCAAGAAATTGTAGTTTTCCTTCACGCGCGGAAGCGAAAACAAACTTCAAATTTCTCAATCCGCGGAAGCGACGCGGAAGCGATTCCCTCTTCAAACCTCTTGCGGAAGGAACCTTTCACCCCGCGCAAGGTCCGCGGAAGCCTTCGCGGAAGGGATTTGATATTTCTCTTCGGCCGCAACTGGGTTTAGAACACTGCTCAGGTGTAGACGAACTATGGACCAGAACATGAGCACCTGGACGCTGAAACCCAAAGTTGGAACTCGCACTACAAGTTTGGGTTGCAAAGTGTCGAAGGTTGGACTCTTGAGGGTCCAGGTGTCTTGTTTTGAGGGTACCTGTTTTGCGGTTTTTGAGGAGAAGTCAAAAGGAGCACCAAATGAATTGGCCCCCGTGAGAATACACACCCAAGTTTTGCCACTGGTTGATTGACAGGATGGTTTCGTGGCGGGGTGTTTTCAAAAAAACCCTTTACGCGCCGGGTTGGTATTGGGGGATATAGACTCTAGGGAGGTTCTCCTAAAAGGGAGCCAGCATGAGAGTTTTGGCCGTGCCATGGCAACTTGTTTGGTTTGCCTCCAAATTCCAACTTAAGTATGGGGCAAGTTCCATCTTAAGTATGGCCCGGGGCAAATTCTGACCCATGGAATGGATGAAGTCCAAGCTTTTCATGGCTAGTTTGAGGGTCCAGGTATTTGCGTTTGTTGCAGGGCGAAAATGCCGATTTGGGGCTTGCAGCTGAGGGTTCCAGGCGACAGGTGGCAAAAACAATTTCTTCGTGGCTTGGGGAGGCTACGGATATCCTTAGGGGTTGACATGGGTTGACATACTGTGGATGGTTACGAAAACCACTTCTCGCACGAAACGAAACCGTGGTTGAAACCATAACGTTTGTTGGTATTTACAGGGGAATCGTCATTCCAGGCTTCTGAGAAGGTGGTGCAGGATTTCGCCCCATGAACAGCATTCGAATGACCGAAGGAGAAGCCGGCCTTGTTTCCCTCTAAGGCTTATTCACCCTTAACCTGTGTGTTTTGGGGGGCTTGGTAGCAAAAGGCTTACCCTCGGATCTCAGCGAACGAGGACGCCCATATTGAACCACCCCTTGCGGCTTCCTACTTAAAAGAGCATTGTACTTAGTAAGTGTTCGTAAGCCTGGTTACAACCCACAAAAGCCATGGTTCTAAGTCTCTGTTCTGTGGGTTATAACCTGGCTTACTACGCTTACTATCCACTTACCTGACGAACGTACCCGATCGCCCCTTCAAGTAGGGAATGACTTGTTCCAATCCCACAGCACAGAATCGATGCCCGAAACCCGAGAGCCAGCTTTGGGTGCACTGGTGGTATCCGCCATCCGATGCCATACCCCAAGCCCTATTTCTACAAGAATTGGCAAAGGAATGGCCGACTTGAACCCTCAAAATTCCGACTTAAAAATGGGCCGCTGGTGCCCCTTTTTCCTTTTGTTGGGAAGGGTTCCCCTTTGAAATCAACCAACCAAGAAAAGGATGCCCCAGTTTCCCATGGTCTCTGAGCATCTACCTGTTTTGAAAAAAAAGTGTGTTTCAGGTACTGCGGATCAAGGGAAATCCCACTTTGAAGCATGCAGAAAGCGCCCCCTAGTAAGGCTTCGGATCACTTGTGAGTGACATCACCCCTTTTGATACTGTGAATGGACCCAATCCATTTCGCGCCACTTTGAAAGCATGGTTGAAACCATATCGTTTGTTGGTATTTACAGGGGAATCATCATTGCAGGGTTTCTTAGGTGGTGCAGGTTTTCGTGCATCCACAGTAGGTTGGGATTAGACAATCTGGGTCCCATAGGATGGGTTACTACTCTTCCCATTACCCTATGAGGATGGTTTTCGAGGGATTTAAACTTGTCAAGGTCAGGCTCTTGGACCCTCAAAAGGCGATTCATCCTCATATGCCACTTGGAACAGGCTGTCTTTTTCAAGGGGCGTCCGCAGAATTCAGGTAACGCTTAGTTGGATTTCAACCCCAGGGTCTTGTAGAGGGTAAATGCCCACCCCCGCAACACTTACAAACCACCGAGTCGGCTCCCTGAAGAATGGATTTGTCCGAATCCTTTCAAACTTGAAACAGAATGGGTTTTTCAAGGTGCCTCCTCCTCGGCATGGTTTCTCCCCCCCAAACAAAAAACAAAAACCACAAACCAACAACAACAACAACAACAACAACAACAACAACAACAACAACAACAACAACAACAACAACAACAACAACAACAACAACAACAACAACAACAACAACAACAACAACAACAACAACAACAACAACAACAACAACAACAACAACAACAACAACAACAACAACAACAACAACAACAACAACAACAACAACAACAACAACAACAACAACAACAACAACAACAACAACAACAACAACAACAACAACAACAACAACAACAACAACAACAACAACAACAACAACAACAACAACAACAACAACAACAACAACAACAACAACAACAACAACAACAACAACAACAACAACAACAACAACAACAACAACAACAACAACAACAACAACAACAACAACAACAACAACAACAACAACAACAACAACAACAACAACAACAACAACAACAACAACAACAACAAAACAACAACAACAACAACAACAACAACAACAACAACAACAACAACAACAACAACAACAACAACAACAACAACAACAACAACAACAACAACAACAACAACAACAACAACAACAACAACAACAACAACAACAACAACAACAACAACAACAACAACAACAACAACAACAACAACAACAACAACAACAACAACAACAACAACAACAACAACAACAACAACAACAACAACAACAACAACAACAGCAACAGCACACAGCAACAACAGCAACAGCAACAGCAACAGCAACAGCAACAGCAACAGCAACAGCAACAGCAACAGCAACAGCAACAGCAACAACAACAACAACAACAACAAACAACAACAGAACACAACAACAACAACAACAACAACAACAACAACAACAACAACAACAACAATGACAACAACAACAACAACAACAACAACAACAACAACAACAACAACAACAACAACAACAACAACAACAACAACAACAACAACAACAACAACAACAACAACAACAACAACAACAACAACAACAACAACAACAACAACAACAATAACAGCAACAACAACAACAACAACAACAACAACAACAACAACAACAACAACAACAACAACAACAACAACAACAACAACAGCAACAGCAACAGCAATAGCAACAGCAACAGCAACAGCAACAGCAACAGCAACAGCAACAGCAACAGCAACAGCAACAGCAACAGCAACAGCAACAGCTACAGCAACAGCAACAGCAACAG